GTGGGGTAAGGTTACAGTTCCAACCCGAGACAACCGACGATGGCCACCAATGGGTCCTGTCATACTTCCCCGGAAGAACTATGGCGGCACTCCTCGCCCGAAAGCACTCAGATCCACGATTTCATGCAAAAGTCGGCGAAAAAATATGACCTGCCTTTAAACAACTACCAAGACCTGTGGCAGTGGAGCGTGTCCGAGCCGGCCCAGTTCTGGGAACACGTGTGGGAATATACCGGTGTCAAGGCCCACGAACCCTACAACCGCGTGAGTAGACCCGGCGATTTCAGCGATGATGCGTCATTGATTCCCTTTGTCCCATCACCAGAGTTTCTGACTGTCGCATAGGTCCTAGGAACGGATGACTCTCTCTTTCCGCGGCCGAACTTCTTCGAGGGCAGCAAGCTCAATTTCGCCGAGAATCTGCTCTACCCGACGAGTGCCCCCGATGAGAACGCCATCGCCATCATCGGTGCTACGGAGGTGGGTCGCGAATACATCTCCTGGAAGGAACTCCGCGAGCGGGTGCGCAAATGCGCCAATGCCCTGAAAGAGGCCGGTCTACAGGCAGAGGATCGGGTTGCGGGATTCCTCGGTAACCATGCGAATACGGTGGTTGCCATGCTGGCAACAACTTCAATCGGCGCATTCTGGACCGGAGTGTCCCCGGACACCGGGGTGCACGCGGTGCTTGAGCGCCTTCAGCAGATCGAGCCGAAAATCTTATTTGCCGACAACGCCTCGATATACAATGGGAAGGTGCACGGAGCGAACGCAAAGCTGGGCTTGATTGCCCCGGAGATACCGAATCTGGAGCTGCTCGTTTTGTTCGAGACGGTTCCGTCCCACACCTTGAACCTAGAGGAGATCCCGCTCGTCAAAGGAAAGGCTCTCACCTACGATTCCTTCCTCGGCAACGTCAGCAACTCCTCGGCTCCGCTGGAATTTGGCAGCTTCAGCCCAGAGCACCCCGTTTATATCTTGTATTCCTCCGGTACTACTGGTGCGCCGAAGCCCATTGTGCATGGGTCGCTGGGCACCTTGCTGCAGCACAAGAAAGAACATGCACTCCATTGCGAGATTCGCCCGGGAGACCGCCTGTTCTATTTTACAACCGTCACCTGGATGATGTGGCACTGGCTGATTTCCGGCCTGGCTACGGGCGCCACTATCGTTCTCTACGACGGTTCGCCCTTCCGGCCGTTCGACTCCGAGGGAGGAAATGGCGAGATGGCGATGCTGCGCCTGATCGACGAACTACAGATTACTCACTTTGGCACATCAGCCAAATACCTCTCCGTGCTGGAGCAAGCAAACCTGAACCCCCGCAAGCATCCCCACCGCCCGGTGGCCCTGCAATCCTTGCAGGCGATTTTCAGCACGGGATCTCCCCTTGCTCCTTCGACCTTCGAGTACGTCTACTCGTCGATCCACCCCGACATCATGCTGGGCTCCATCACGGGCGGCACCGATATATTGTCGCTATTCTGCGCTAGCTGCCCGATTCTACCCGTCTACAAGGGCGAAATCCAATGTCGCTGCCTCGCGATGGCAGTCAGCGCATATGACTATGCAGGCAAGGACATCAGCGCTTCCGACGAGCCCGGCGATCTGGTCTGCACCAAACCCTTCCCCGCTCAGCCTGTCATGTTCTGGCCGCCGGGCCCGACCGGAGCAGATAAGTACCGCAAGAGCTACTTCGACGTGTTCGGCCCGTCGGTCTGGCACCACGGTGATTTTGTACGCATCAACCCCACCACAGGCGGCGTGACCATGCTCGGCCGAAGCGACGGCGTCCTCAAACCCTCCGGCGTCAGATTCGGCAGCGCAGAGATCTACAACGTCCTCCTCAAGCACTTCGCGGAAGAAGTCGAGGACTCTCTGTGCATTGGGCGCCGGCGCGAAGGGCTCGACTCAGACGAGACGGTCGTTCTTTTCGTGAAGCTAGCCTCGTCGTGTGAATCGCCGACCGGTATGCCAGCCGACCTGGCTACCCGCATCCAGACGATGATTCGCAAAGAGCTCAGTCCGCGCCATGTGCCTGGTGTCGTGGATGCCTGCCCTGAGATTCCGGTCACGTCTAATGGGAAGAAGGTTGAGAATGCTGTGAAGCAGATCTTGTGTGGACTTAATATTAAGATCGGGGCTAGTGTTGCGAACGCTACTTGTCTTGACTGGTATAAGAACTGGGCTGCGGAGCATCCTTGAGTCGAGGCTTTCCCTATATCAACTGTACATGTATAGATAGACTAAGAGATATGGATAGACCAAGATGTTAGATGGAATATATATAGATTTCCTCCCAGGGTAGCCTGAACTTGAATTGAATGGACATCCCCAATCATAGGGATTATCCTCGTCGATATTTGAGGTTGATTAGTACACTACGCGTATTGAGCGGATGAAGCCTGCTTGCTTGTGCTTTTCATAGTGCAGCGATTGGCATTCCATCAAGCCGAGAACGCAACGTTTCCAGCATGATCGTCAATTATCTGACACCAATTCGAATTAACAAAGATTTCTAATACCAATTTCCTTCTCTTACAAACAATTTGTTTCTGCCAACAATCTGTAGTCGCAGAATCCTGTTCTTCCGACCAGTCCGGGCCATCGGCGCGTCTCGATTAGATAAGCGAACCCGGCCAAATCCTTTTCCAGGGCAGACGGCCGTGACGAAACCTCTCCGGAAGTAGTCGACTTTCTCTCACCATATCGCACGGGGAGGCGCAAGTTGAACAGATTATTTCTAACCGCGCCTTGAAATCTACAAATTCACCATGCGTCGCTCTGTACTGCGGGCAGTCGAGTCCGCGAAGCCTCTTGCCCGCTTGCCTCGTGCAGCGTCCAGAGGTTTTGCTACTGCCCAGGAAGATAACTCGAAGGTATGCCCTACTTGATACATACGCATAGCTTTGGGTATTGCTGCAAACAGTGACTGACACTTTCATGTTTTAGGACCCTGTCGAGTTGGATCAGATCACCGCTCTACCGAACGGAATCCGTGTCGCTACCGAATCCCTACCTGGACCTTTCGCCGGTGTTGGAGTGTACGTGGACGCGGGCTCTCGCTATGAGGATCCAAGCCTCCGAGGTGTGAGCCATATCATGGATCGGTTGGCGTTCAAGTCGACCACAAACCACTCCAGCGACGCCATGCTTGAGGCCCTCGAGGGCCTGGGTGGAAACATTCAATGCGCTTCTTCCCGCGAGTCGCTGATGTACCAGTCTGCCAGCTTCAACTCCACGGTCTCCACCACCCTCGGCCTGTTGGCGGAGACGATTCGTGACCCGCTCATCACGGAGGAGGAGGTTCTTCAGCAGCTGGCGACCGCGGAGTACGAGATCAATGAGATCTGGGCTAAGCCGGAGCTCATCTTGCCGGAGTTGGTCCATATGGCTGCCTACAAGGACAATACGTTAGGGAACCCTCTGCTTTGTCCCGCTGAGAGACTGGGGGAGATCAACAAGTCTGTGGTGGAGAAGTACCGCGAGACGTTCTTCAACCCGGATAGGATGGTCGTTGCGTTCGCGGGAGTCCCGCACGACCAGGCTGTGAAGCTCACGGAGCAGCTTTTCGGCGACATGAAGGCACACGGCCCGAGCAAGGGCCCTGTGCTTTCCGGCTCTGGGGTGGACACAACCTTGTCCTCTAACGAAGGACAAGTACACACGATTCCTCAGTTCTCGCCCACGTCCACCATTTCGTCCACGACTGCCTCCCAGAAGACCGAACTCGGCTTCCTCTCCAAATTCCCCTTCCTCAAGAATCTCTCCGGTTCTGGATCCCAATCGGGCTCTACGGAACCGCTTGACCCGGCGCTGATGGAGTCGCCGTCGTTCCATCTGACGCGCCCGTCCCACTACACCGGTGGATTTCTCTCCCTTCCCCCGATTCCTCCCCCGGCCAGCCCCATGCTCCCCCGGCTGAGCTACATCCACCTCGCCTTCGAAGCGGTCCCGATCTCGAACCCCGACATCTACGCCCTCGCCACTCTTCAGACCCTTCTCGGCGGCGGTGGATCCTTCTCCGCTGGTGGGCCCGGCAAAGGCATGTACTCCCGCCTGTATACCAACGTGCTAAACCAACACGGGTGGGTCGAAAGCTGCATCGCCTTCAACCACAGCTACACCGACAGCGGCATCTTCGGCATCTCCGCCTCGTGCAGCCCGACCCGCTCCACCGAGATGCTCGAGGTGATGTGCCGCGAGCTGCAGTCGCTGACCCTCGACACCGGATACAGCTCCCTGCAGCCGCAGGAGGTCAACCGCGCCAAGAACCAGCTCCGCTCGTCGCTCCTCATGAACCTCGAGTCCCGCATGGTGGAGCTGGAGGACCTGGGCCGTCAGGTCCAGGTGCACGGCCGCAAGGTCGGCGTTCACGAGATGTGCCAGCACATTGAAGCTTTGACGGTCGAAGACCTCCGACGTGTGGCTAAGCAGGTCTTTGGTGGCCTCGTCCAGAACCCCGGACAGGGGACTGGTAAGCCGACGGTCGTGTTGCAGGAGGGCGAGCTGGAGGGATACCGTCTTCGTCCGTTCCCGTGGGAGGAGATCCAGGAGCGGATCGCGCGCTGGAATCTCGGACGTCGTTAATCAGTGATGTTAGTGATTTCGAGGTCTGCGGTCGCTTGGATAGGCACTTACTATAGAAACGTCGTGTCATATTAGATGTATAGTATAGAACGAAGACGATCGGATTAGCATTCCACTCTATGTATTCTGAAAATGATAATGAGATTCATTCTAATTTACCATATTGAATTTTTGCAGGCCATAATTTATTAATTTACATATTATTCGTAGCCTCAAGCGATACTATCTCATAGAAAAAATACAAAAGAAAACAAAAACGAAGAAAAAGTAAAAACATCGTCATAGTACTTCCATGCTGCATAGTAAAAGCGGCTCCCGAAGCTCCTTGCCACTTTAGTCGCCGAACGCTCGCTCGCTCCGCCGGGAAAAAAGTTGGACCATCGGTGCTCAACCTCATCCGCCTCGGAATCCGCAAACTCACATCTAACCTCCCCTTCCCCGACCACATCACTCTTCAACCAACGCGCCAAACAAATTCCCTCCTACTCCTATACACGCTTTATAGCCTTTTTTATTCACAACCTTCACAATGGTCAAGCTCACCGAGGTCGAGGACGAGCACTTCACCCAGGAGAAGCCCCAGCCCAGCAAGCATGATGTTTTGCTGGCTTCCGATGATGAGGACGACTACACTGATACTGGTGAGTACTACTACGTCAGCTCTCTTTTAGATTGAAGGAGATATATTTTCATCGACAATCCATGGCGCTGGTTTGCGTTTTTCCCTCCCTCGCAACATGATCATCAATCATCAATCAACATCTGCGTCATTCACACCCGACACGGCCTCTCCCCAAAAAATCAATCAAAAGAAACCGAACCCCATGTTCAAAGTGTCATCCATCTAACCAACAATTAAACAACCAGAATCCGAAATCTCCGAGCAGTCCGACGAGGAACTCGACAGCGAGTCCTTCCTGGACCGCCTGTCGGCTCTGCAAGACATGATCCCTCCGTCGGCCCGCCGCTCCTTCACGAGCTCCGTCTCCGCCGTCACCAACCTCACCAAGTCCAGCCTGAGCTTCAGCGGCAAGGCCCTGTGGATCCTGAGCACCAGCGCTTTCCTGGTCGGTGTCCCGTGGGCGCTGGCTTATGCTGAGGAGGAGCAGTATATTCAGCTCGAGCGCGAGCAGGGTATGATTAAGGGTGCTAATGATGTGAGTTTATACGTTTATTTTCCTGTCTTATTTGTCTGTTTTAGAAGTTTGGGAATAGCCTTGCATATGGTTACTTCCGGTGTTGTGCCTTTGGATTGCGGTGACGACGTGAAAACTTTTTTTTCGGCGATGATGGCGCCAACAACATTAAAAAGAGTGCTTTCATTGCGTTATATCTCCACCGCCACACCCTTCAACCCAGCCAGTCACTCACTTAGTTGATCTGTCATACTAATTCAACCTTTTCTAGATGCTCACCCCCGGCATGGCTCCCTCCGACGAGCAGAAGGCTCAGTCCACCATCTAAATGAAAAATACCGACGAATATAAAGATCACAACAATTCGAAAGATTCGCCGTGAATCCGTTGCACTGGCCACTCGATCCGCTCGACGCTTTTTTGACCTTACGGCTTATGATTGTGGTATACGATGTCATCGATCTGTCCGGCGGAGAAAAGCGTTGGTCATAAAAAAAACAAAAGGAAAAAGGGAAAAAAAACTGGCAGAAAAGAAGAAGGGAAACGCAACAGCAAATTGCTGATTGGTTTGGAATCAAAAAGGGAAAATGCTCATCATTGGAGCGGAGTGGCCTAGGAATCAAAAATGGGCATTTGCATGATCTGGTTTTGTTTCCAACGCGTTGCAGTGCACGAACGGTGTTTCATCGATATTTACCCATCCCTGTTGATTGATCTTTGTTTTCATGCTTATGCTCAATTCTCGTTCGTCTTCTCTCATCTCTCATCTCATCATTGTTTCGGGAGTCGTGGGATATCTCGGGCAATGCTTGTATTTGTACATTTCCTTTTTCTCTCTCTTTCTTTCCTTTTTGTCTCCCCCTGTTGTTATGTGAGTTCTTCCTTGTGTTTAGTATAGTATCGACCTACGTTTTCCGGATATGGACTGGATGAGCGGATGGTGTTGGGAATGAATCAATCAATTTAGTTCCTTTCCTTTTTATCGGTTGGACTATGTGTGTACGTATGTGCCTATACGTACTTGGTTTTCTAGGACGGCTGCAGACTTCCTCTTCGGGACACTGCCGCTTTAGTGAGGGCGCTTAGGGGTCTGCTCAGTGAGTATTTCACATCAGTGAGCAGTGATCCATGAGCACTCAGCCTTGGCCCTTGCGAAGTCACGTATACTCACTGAGCCGCTCACCCCATCTATTTTGTGCGGGTAGTTCAACGACGACGTTCAGAGCGCGATCCGCGTTATTGTGCGTATTGTATCCATCAGACAGGTGTCTTGAGTCCGTTGGAGAATGGTACAGTAGAACAGGTCCATTTTTCGGAGACGCATTTGCTACAGTCGAGGCACTCCCAAGAGACAGAGCCTATCATGCTGGAGAAAGTCAATACCTAATCTTGGTTGGCCAACATAGTAGAGAGGCCGCAACGTACTTCGTGGTTCTCCCGTAAGACGATTCAACCGCTGGAGACAAGGGATTCAATGAAAGGATGCTTAGATGATAACATAGCCATTAAGTCTTTCAGATAGCCTGGTTTAAAGTAATCAAAGGCTACACGACCGACAGAATACGGGTGTGCTGCTGTGAGATAGCAGAGCCCTATGATAATTGAGTGATACCAGGCGGCTTGACGCATGGACTCGCGGGCTGATATATACTACGTTATGTCCTCTATCTGGCTGTTTAGCGGGCTATGGACCTGTTTGACACTGTTCACATCGTAGGTTGACCGCCTACAGTGAACTGGAGGCTCTTCGCTGTATTTTCCAAGGGAGGAGTTGCAAATCCGGGCTGATATTTGGTCACTTTGGGAGATCTCTGCGTTCGCTATCCTTATAAGATACGAGCTTTATGTCGTCCTGGGCACTACCTTAAGTGATCACCACCAACGATGACTGGGCTTCTTGCCCCGTGCCATAAAGACCATTGTGGTCTCATCTCGATAACGTGGCCGTATTCCCATTCCAATTTGCGGGACCCTTATGGACACTGCACACTTGGTCTTACCGCGTATCGAAACAATGAGACATGTGAAGCAGGTCGTTGCCCAAGATGTATTCTCTTCAGGATCAGGCTTCCTAACCTCACTCACTGGATGGGATGCGCAAAGCGTAACAGTGTGCTCCCTCGTAGGTCTGGGGCATATCGTGAGGAGAGCCACGTCAGATACCCGGGTATCACACGCTTAATCACTGTCAATGATCACCTTCACAGCACTTCTCCGGGCAAAAACGGCATCAGGCGAGCATCTGACTCGGGTCACGTCAGAAATGCCCGCCATTAGCTCGGTATTAACTGCAGCCGCCTTCAACTGTAAGCGTGGATTTTGAGCATTAGAATACCACTGGTGCCTTTTTGTATGGACTTCAACGAAACAGAAGCTACTTAAAGATCTAGAGCACGATGGGAACTATTAATAGACCCTCAGAAGAGGATCGGCGCGGAATGGAATAATCCCCAGGCCATTTCAGCTCGTGTAGAGTTCCCTGCACAAATACCCTCTCATGTTAAACAACACTCCAGCTCGAACCTCCCATCAGCAAAGGAAACGGTCCATCGTGAATCATGGACGCCACCGTACATCACTAGAGCTATTTCCCCATTTGTTGACGCCTTCGCCGCTACCCTAGGACGCGTCCATGTGCCCGAGTTTTTGGGGGGGAACACTTGAGAATAAACGTTATCTGCTCTCTTCGTTGAAAGAGGCAATTGTTTACTGAGCACCTGCTATCGTATGTAAAGTGGTAGGGATCAAGATTTGTCGACATTCCTGAGGGATAGATAAAGGACGCACCTGTATCACAGTATGAGATACTGAGGCTATGGCGACCAGCTAAGTTACCGGTTATTCCTACAGCACACCTTGGTGAACAAAAAGTATGCTTAGCAGTCAATGAGTCTATGATGCTACAGAAAACCTGGCTCGTTGACGAGCGTGGCGATGGGTATTTCAGAGGAACCCCTGATGACCAGCTGTCTATCTATGTTCGTATACAATCTGTCAGTTGTAAGCTAGAGTCAAGAACATCATACCATTAGCAGATTTTCCTTGGGCAATTTTCAAAGCGCACCGAGTAGATGGACTTTGTTGCATTGGTCATAAGGAGGTTACCCCGGATAAGTCCATCTAGGTTGATCGACAGATTACCTTGTCAGCCAGTCTATCCTTGTAATAACGTATCTGCCTGGCATGATCCCTGGGGCATCCAGGTAGAAAGACAAATAATGGCCGATCATAAGATGGTTTTAGTTACGACTTCATAGGCGTCCCATGCTTATGTCTTTACTTAGGTCATCATCAGGTCCCAGAGAGGTGAACGGATGACGTGCTGGTGAGTTGATAGAAGACGCGGGTGTCAAGTAAGAAATACCCACCTTGCTCCCAGGGGAATCCACAGGAGTGTAGATATAAAATAACCTCGGGTTAGCTACAGAAGGGCTTTGCGGGGGAAGTCTAGGATACATGGTTCCGGAGATCGCCCACCTGTCAATTTCCAGGGTGCTCTCAAAGCCGTCTGCGTGCTAGTATTGGTGATTGAACCCTTCGAATAATAAGCCCCTCGCTTATCCTGATATTAGGCCCCCTGCCTACTCGACATGGTGAGTTCACCTCAGCATAGGTCGGGGGGGAAGGTAACAGTCGAACAAGTCAACACAACAAGGGTTGAAGTAAGGCCTACCATGGACAAGTCCTAATTGGTTTAAAACTGATATTTCATCCCTTACAGAACATGCAGCCCCAAGCTGGCGTGAGATAGGAGGAGCTGCTCGATTCCAAATCCTATGCGAGTGGTAATATCACGTCAGCTTCCCGGAGAGTTGTGCTGTACAAACAATCTGCTGTGTTTCTTTGCATGCGACTACTTTGGTAGATCATACGCTTACCTACGGGCTGTGTAACACAGTAGGACGCCAACAGAAATATCCCCTACACCAACATGATCCTTGAATACCTGGTTGTATAGTCAGCACATTGTTTTGACCGTCTAGCCGTAGAATTCAACAAGGAGAACCAAAGAAGAAAGATATAAATACCCCCTTAATCTCCTTGAATATCTCGGTATAGAACCAAGCAAGAAGCCAACCTCTCCTTCTCTGTCAATTCCATTCCATGCTCCATCTGTGATTCAATAAAAAGTTAGGGATCCCGCAATCAGCTCAAATCGAAACCGAAAGTCTTTTACAAGAATATATCAACACTTTTGCAAGAAGGATGAAGCTGTTATCCGCTCCAGTTACAGCTCTGATGCTGTTCGCTTCACTGTTGGGCCCAGTCCTGTCGACTCCGGTCCAGGCGGAGGCAAATGAGGTCAACGCCAGCTGTTACATCACCAGCAAAAAAGGCAAAGACTGCAACGCTAGCTCCTGCAGAAATGGCGGGGGCAGCTGTACATACAATGATCAGACTAAGAGATGCCGAACAAGCGGAGACTGGAGTAAGGTTTTTGAATGCAAGACAAACTGTCGATGTGCCAAGGGCAGTTGAGGGACACGACGAATCTGATGTGACTGCTTAAGGTTAGTAAATAAGTTTCCAGCTCTGTTCACATTCTTGTTAACCGAAAAATGTAGGCTCGTTGAGGAGTGATTAGCCGGGCTATGGGGGTCTCTTTCAACAAGAGACCAGTTTTGAGCTTTTTGTGAAACTTTACAAGGCAAGGATATAACTTAGTTGGTGGATTTTGGAATCTGGCCTCGTACAATCTCTTTACCACGCATTACCATTATTGTTGTTGTTATCTTCTATGTTAGCTAGATAGTGTCGCTTGCTACAATTGGGTTGTCAATCAATCTGCCTGTGTGTCTGGCTAAATTCTCAAATGTATTGGTGATCTACGGGTGGAAATGATAGACTATCGTGTCACCGGGGAATTTATTTGTCAGTAGACAGGCTTTGGAAAGGAATTCAATATCTAGCATGCATCAGGACTCTCCTTTAGTTCTCCATGCTCAGCAGTTAGGATGGCAGATCACACATCAATGCTAAGGTGTAATACGTCTTCTTTGCGTGTCTACACTGTTTTCACCCGCTAGTATTTTCGACATATCATCCACATTTTAGGCAGCTGCAGGTGGCATTGTCACGGGTTAGGCAGACAGTTTAAATATCATTCAAGAGAATAATCCACTACAATGCTTCAGCCCAAAACCGACCCCATTTCTCTTTTTTCACGTGACCGTCAGATGGTCTTATAAAGGTTTGTTCGGACTTCATCCCTTTCATCAACGAAACCAATCCTAAATATCCTCAGTTGATCTAGTAATATCTCACTCTACATCTTCTCAGTTAATTGTCTCCTGGCTATTGTTCTGATAACCCCATTCCTTTCCCTCTCTACCTTCCAGTCCTTCAATATGGACCCCACCCTGTTCATCTACGATATTAACAGAAAGGCGGAGATCCAACAGTCAGCGCAGACCGGTGATAGTCTGTTACAGGAATATATTGAGACTTTACAGCTCTTTGCAAAAGATAAAGATACTGTCATTATGCACTCCAACTACAGTCCTGAGTCCGCCCATATTACGATCGACTCTACACCTGTGAAACAGGACGAGGCTTCCACTACCTCCTAGGGACGTTTCATCCGTTATCATGACGGCCAAGGCCCAACAATCAACCAAAGCCTCTGACGTACAACCTTGCATTTTTCCACGACCCTTTTCCAATCATGAATACATCACTTCAACATGCTTAAATTCTCCGACAAAAGCCAAAGGAATGAAATGACGGATTAGCCGGCCCTGTGGAGTAGACTGGGAAAGCGAAATACCTCTCTGTTGGTTGTGAGGACATGACTGGCATGTCGCACGATCAGCTTGAGAAGGTCTTTTGCCGGTTATTAGTCTTGAAATTCCTGTGCAGTTCCCTAATAAGAACAATTAATCCGTCGCAGAAGATGACCAGTTGTTTCGTTTTGTTTAATAGCTTGATTCTGTACATGTTCCATGCAATACCAAAGATGGTTGAGCAATATCGCAACCAAATACTTAACTAATGGTTTAGAAATATAGGAGCGCTATCTTTATTAGATGATACCGCCAGAACGATGGAGAATACTCAAAGCTGTAAGACGCATAGAATGACAGCTTAAAATAGTGTTGAGTGTGGTTGTTTTAGGCAGCTCATTTGCTGTCTTTTAGTCTAAAACAGTATAATAGTAAAAAAAGAGCTGAATCATCATTTTATCCATCCGAAATAGGAAATATCTTGGAGGAATTATGCAATTCAAGTCCTGTCAGGTTTGACCCTGAGTCGAACCTGAGTCGAACCTCATAGAGTTGCGATCCAACTCAGTCTCTAAAAACTAGAACCTGGGTTGGACGGGCGTTCAGTTTACAAGCCCCGGCAGACTATTGTAAACACGAAAAGCCCTCGTCCCCACCATCAACAAACACTCCCCGGGTTCAGTCAAGTCGCTTTGTTCAGATTCCCACATCAACACGCTTCCACGCTGGGTCAACCGCCGGAACTGACCAGCCCGCTGCATAGTCGGGAATATATGAATCTCCCCGGTTTAAGTTTATCTGCGGCCTTTAACCGAGTATGCAGCTCGCTCACTAAATGCCCGATACTAAGATCCGCTCCTACCTCTAACATATGCAATTTTCTAGCCAGGAGAGAGCGGCGAGGAGCTTCTAGTTCACCGATAGATGGTTAACTTATGATCCCGCAAGCCCGCTAAACGGCCAGGTAGGGGACGTAGCGTAATATATATCAGCCCATTAGTTAATATTGCGTTAAGTTACCCGGTATCACTCAATGATCATTGGGCTCTGCTATTCTGTTAGTTGTGTGGTCTTTACTTAGTTTAACCTAGACTATCCCGAAGACCTTGTGGTTTTATTTGGCCTGAGCCTTTTTTTATTAACACCCTTGTCTCCGGCAGTTGTATCGTCTTATAAATGAGCTACGAAGTATGTTGCGACTTCTACTATACTAGTGAACTTAAACCAAGAATATGTATTGACTTGCTCTAGAATGATAGGCTCTATCTGCTGGGAGTGTCTCGACTGTGGCTGATCTGTGGCTGATTTGTCTCGACACCCAAAGACTGATTCTTTTACTTAATATTAATTTTCAGTACTACGTGCTTTGATAGAAATATATTAATTGCATCGTTCTATCTAGTATTTAGTTATAATAAAGACTAGAGATGTCCTGATTAGCTAGCGCAGTTCGCTATTCCAAGGGTCCCTTGACTCTTAGGATGACCGGAGTTCGTCCCATGGACTTCTGGGCTTTGTGTGGTCTGTCGCCGCAGAAACCCACCAAAACATTTTCCTACTCGGAAAAGAGACCTGATGGTAGTGCTGGGCTTTGGGGAGCGTGGCGGGCAAGAGTAGACTGCGAGTGGAGAAGCGGGCAAGGGGGTGATTATTAGTTAGGGTACGATTTATTAAGATTACTCGTTCAGACACTCGGTCTTCCGCTCATGCTATGCTCAGCAAATCGCCTCAGTCTGCTCGGGACGTGCTCAGATCTACTCAGAGAGCAAAAAGCGGCAAAGGATGAGCACTAAAGTGGAAAGAGTAGGCCATTGACTGTCCTAGAAGTTCAAGTACGTATGTATCAACGGGTACCCCTCTGTCTGCCAATAAGTATGGGGTGCTCCGTATATGGTTCGCCTTTGTAGAAGGAAAAGCAAAAAGAAAAAAAGGAAATGTCAAACCAAGAGGTGAAATTGGGTATCACAAGAAATATGGAATATGGATTCCGTAATAGAAAAAAAATGACAAAGAAAGCAAAATGAGTAAACACAGGCAGTAGCAAATTCCTTCCATAACATATGTACGACCATTGAGGAAGAAAGTAAAGGTTTGCAAGAGAAACAAGACAAGAAGGCAACGAAGTTGGAATTCAGGCCGTACTGCCAGAAAGAAGCCCTATCAAAGTGTCTACAACAATCAGTCAGTCAGTCAGCAAGAAAGAGGATAGGGAAAGGAAACATACAGTCGACTCCCTAGCCGTCCGCAAATTAATATGAAAATCGCGCCACAGCTTCTTAACCTCGTCGTTTTCAACCATCGTTTTGAAGACCTGCGCGGCGTACTTCGTCTGTTTCCTCACACTCCAGTGGCTGCGTTTGACGACTTCCTCGTCGGAGAGGTACCCCATGCGTGCGAGGTGGTCGACGACCCATTCGTTGAGGTTGAAGCGCCAGTGAGTTAGCGTGTGTGCGATTGTTGCTCGGTTTTTGCAGTGTCTGTGGAGGTGTTAGTTTAGAATCTATTGGGTCTAGAGGTGACTATGGGATAGTCGTACCGGCCGAGATAGAAGCGGTTGTTTTCGTCGGGGAGAATGTGGCCTTCGCGATCGCGCTCTACGCCGTCATCCTCGACCTCCTCCTCCTCCTCCTCTTCTTCTTCTTCCTGCTCCTCCTCCTGTTGTGAGAGTTGTCCTTCGTCGCTGCTGTCCTGGTCTGTAAGCGCCTCCAGCGTTTCCAGAGAATACGCCTTTCCATAGAGTTTGATATCCGACGATGCTGGATGTCCAGACCGTTTACAGGCATCACACGGGTGGTGCTCGGATGTCGGATAAGAGGTGACCTCAATGTATGGACGCGCGAGGAGAGCGTATCGGAATTCCGCGTTCCACACTGACGACACGAGCGTTGACCCTGTGCGGCCCTTGACTTCGCTTTCGAGCTTGTCGAAGGCGACTTTGTAAAGCGGGTCGGACCGGGGGAAGGCTGGGTTGAGCTTGTTGTGCACCATCCACTCCACAGCGTCTTGGAAGTAATCCTTGAGTTGCTTGTATGCGTGGCGAGAGAACTCGAGAGGCATGTCTTCGTGGGTAGTCGGGACGCCGAGCTTGTCGTCTTCGTCTTCTAGCACGAAGTCGTCCTCGTAGCGATCTAGATCGTCGTTGCTGGCTATGGCGGATTCGACGTCGCTGTCTTCGTGCGTGATCCGGAGTCGGGGTTTTTTGGTGCCGCTTGTCTCGCTGCTTGCTTCGCTTTCTGGTTGGTCGTCCTCTTGCTCGGATTCTTCGTCCTCTTCCTGGTCTGCGGATTCCTCGATATCATCTTCTCTTTGTCCTGCCCGTCGGCGCCGCAAGGTCTCTAGGTGGAGCTGCCGCTGGGATTTAGCGGAGTTTGCTAGTCGACCACGGGTCCTTGTTTTCTTCACAACTACTAGAAGTCAGCTATGTATACCAAAAGCAGGAAAGATCTAGTAGCATACCGGAATCTTGAAGATCTGCCAGGTCTTCCTCGATGTCTAGCATATCCTGGTTTTGATTCTGCGGGGGGGTCTGAGGGGGTTCGGCAGGCGCACTAACGCGCCGTCTTTTGGCGGGCGACACCACCGGTTCATCCTCGGAATCATCCAGTACTATTGTAGACACCGGCGCTGGGCCTCGTCTCAACTTGCGACGAGGTCGAGTGACTATTTCGTCCGCGTCGCTATCTTCCATAACGGCTGGGCTTGGAGGGGTTGCAGATGACGGCTCAGGAGCATCCGGAGTGGGGGAGCGTTTTCGCTTGGATCTTCTCTCTTCCTGCTCAGATGGCACACTGCTGTTGGCCTCCACGACCTCTTCCTCTTTGGCAGTTCTCATATTTGGATCGGGAGCGGGGAGGTCATCGGAGCCTTCGACCTGCGGCGACTGCTTGTCTACTCGAAGACTCATCATCAGCAACAGACACCCCGACAAACCGTAGCAAGTGTGTAAGCACCATACCTTTCTTTTTCTTCCCCTTCTTCTCCTTCCTAGCCCTTTTTCTTTCTCGCTTCTCCTTTTTATCTTTTTTGTCCTTGGTTTTCTTTTCGCGCCCGGGCTTCATGGTGTCTTCCGCAGATTTCGTCTCCGCGATCGGGCTGGGCGAGACACGGGGTCGTTCCCGGCGGAGTGTGGCCGTTGAGGGATGCCCGTAACGCAGGGTCGCTCGGCGATCGGTTCCATCTGCGGTTTCTTGCGAATCTTGGGGCGGCGACGCTACCGGGGCGAAGGAAAGCCGCGTCTGTTTCGCTTTGCCATAGGTGCGGGGCATTTGCGATGGGGGAGTGATGGTCTCAGTGCGTAGGATGGGAGAGAGGTCAATACTGCTTGAAGTAAAAATGCAAGTAGAATAAATCTAGGGACTGATCTGCAGGCCGAGAGATTCTCTCAAGACTGAGGTAAAGTATGGTCCACTAAAGGTTTTGGAGAAGCTCCGGATGAAGATCCGCGGAGATCGCGTCGGAACGTCACGAGAGCACGTGATATGATATAGACCGATCAGTGTAGGCATATCAAAGCTACCGATACCTCCTTTGCTGTAATTGTACCTGTTGCAGTCCACATGTCGATAATTGAGTTTACAATATGTGATTCTGTCCCCAATCACGCCCTTTCTTAATGTTGAATATAATGTAATGTGGGATTTCGGCCCTGTCATGTAAGATCACATATGACTAGTAGGGTGTGGGCTACCAAAGAAGAACTTGACGACTGCTCACTTGTTATTATACTTTGGCTGATACCTAAGATATTGTGATCGTAATGTTTTCGCCTTCTTCCACCATTTTTTCTCAACGACTGTGTTCTGCTTTATGATGTCAAGCCCACTGCCATAGCCCATATTAAATCGACCTCGCTTTGACTCTACGGGCAGTATATTCTACTGTCTGTATCCATGGGGTATTCTAGTGTCAACATTCTCAAGTCCAAGAGCATAGGGCTAAATCATCGTGCACTTGAGGCTTGACTCTCCTTCCAAGATCCGTGGCCGCACAAGCAAATCCGGGCTATTGGATGGAATCGGGCACCCAGCACGGGTTGCCAAAAAGGATTGTATAATGCACAGCTGAGCTTTCCAGACTGGTGACCAATATCAGATCAGCATTACAGGCTATATACTAGCCTACGTTTGGAGCCCATACAAGCACTGTCTCGTTTCATTATTCAACTCAACCAGGATAGAGCTTACTGGATTCTGCTCGCAAACCGATCTTACCGCTTGATAGATCCGTGAATGACAGACCAACCATACTAACGCCATACAACAGTAAGGTACTTTTCTCTCCTTGCTACTTCTGAACTCTGATTCCCCACAATGGGCATTTGTCGGGAGCATTTCAGGAAATCTCTTCGGCTTCTGAGCTTGAAACCTAGCCTGTCATTATCTTCTCCTGCTGCCGTCAGCAGTTCGCCTATAGAGGAGGAGCGAAGCCTCGGTTACAACTCCAAGAAATATTACCCGGCCCAGATCGGAGGGACCATTGGGAAATATCGCATCATATCTAGACTCGTATGAAGTGCTAATTCTACCGCTTGGCTAGCGAAAGATATTTCTCAGTCAGTTGAGTCGTTCTGTTCGCGGAGCATAATCTAACGCCGCAAAGCTGGGCCTGACAGTCGACCAGATACGTAACTTCGAAAGTCACTAACTCTGGGGACGCGGAGAGGAAGGCCGCCGAAGATGAGCTAAAATATCGAGGTATATTTCTGGGCTGGGATCTAAGCATGAAGGTTCTGCATATATCAGGCTGGTCAAGGAGTCGTTCCGAGTGCGAGGAATGTCTGGCGACCATATCTGTCTGGTTTCCGAGCCGTTACGAGAGCCGCTTTGTCTTCTGGGCAAACATCTTGGGAGCATTGGCGTGCCTACAAATGTTCTCAAGGCTTTCTTTGATCTGACTGGATCACAGACTTGAAAGCCGATAATTTCCTTATCGGATTCGAGGATGCTTCCGTCCTCAAAAGTTACGTCCACGAGCAAGAGGTTCATCCCGCTCCACATGTGTCTCGGAATGGACGCTCGTATTTGAATCTAGACATGACTTTGGGCCACTGAAGAAAGGAGTGGGCTCGTTGAGGATTTGTGACTTCAGTGCTGCCGTTTTTGGCAATGTGCCGACGCCACATAACCATGACATTCAACCTCAGCCATTCTGTGCCCCTGAAGTCCTTCTAAAGGCAAGGCATTCCGAGCTGGGGAGTCCTACCGCGATTGCACCTCGCCTGGGGCCATTTTTCAATATTGTGGAAAAGACATGGCCACCGAGTCGTCTGTACCCAAGGTCTTAGAGAACAGGCTCATGAACTTGAAACTTTGGGCTCCCACGTGGGACCAAGATTTCTCATCCCGGGAAGAGTCACTGAAACCTTTGATTGTCTAAATACCATAACAACCTAAAATACATCTAGCGGGTCACCAGTTGCAATGACATACTAGTTCAGCATTCTCCATCCAAATCTATAGATTTGCGCATTTCGCATGCCTTTCAGTAGTTAGAGCCGAAGTTCTTCTTAAATATACTGATGTATCATTGATGAGAGATTTCTTCGCGTCCTTCCGTGTACTGCTACACCATATTGACCCAGGGTGTACCACCTCTCATCACAACAAGCCCTGAGTAATACAAGCTCATAATCCGACTTCGATCGTCGGTAATTCTCAAGGACCTCGACGCATTCTGTTCACACGGAAATAATTGAAGCAGCCGGGAACATACATAGGTATTGTTGTCTGATAAGATTGGCATAATATGCTAATGATTTGTGGTCTAGGAGACATGTGACCCCTGTTGATTCTCAAGTCTGCGAATCCCTCTGTTTCCCACCCATCTACTCATTCTTGCCCATCCATCGCTCGTTTCCCCAGAAATCGGTCTTGAAAGGTCTTAGTGACGCCAAATATCAAGAGATCCTGAATCTATAATGCTGCTTTATTCGTGGATTTTGTGTCATCCCATTTCCTCGTTCGCTTATCTCTGATTCGTGGAAATTACAGTGTACTTTCTACGGCCCAGAATTTCCTCGAATACCACCCTAGGTCGATCCAGATAGCTTCAATCTCGTCGACGCCTCAAGCTACCCCTGCTCAAATTATCACCCTTCGTTGGCCCTTCCTGGTCATTCCACCTTTTAGGGGCTGCATACCAATTCCTAGTGCTATGGGCACGGATGTTAGCGTTGGTCAGGGAAGCCCGTGTCATGGGTTCGGGCTACCACCAAGCATGGGACTCGATTATGGCCTTCTTATGGCTTAGATATATAGACTATGTCTCCGCCCTTTTTCTAATCTGTGATGACCCACAACTCGAGCGTATCTTCTATTACAGGGCATCGTCAGGTCAAAATCTACATACGACTTGTGATCATCCATGCATGGGTTTGCAATTGCCAAGGACTATTTAAAAAAAATCTCGTTCACTCGGTATCACATCTCCCCTCCTTGCTCCGCGAGCACATACCGCAATATATATCACAGGCACCATGGGAGCCCTGGGCTTAGGCCTCTCAAAACGAGGCTACAACTGGTTCGTATACATTATGACCCAGCTAGATGAGCATGTGGCTAATTTATTTCAAAAGGTACATCTCGCTTGTCGCAGCAGCATGCATGGTGCTTTACGGCTACGATGCATCGGTGTACAACTCCGTCCAAGGATCCACCAACTGGGTGACTTACTTCAATGAACCGGATGCAAACGTGATTGGGGCTGTCAACACAGCATACACTGTCGGCGCCATTTTCGGGGGCTTTTTCCTCGGCGGCCCAATTGCCGACTTCTTAGGTCGGAAGCTTGGGATGGGTATTGGCTGCGTGTTGGTAATTGCATCAACGTTTATGCAGACGTGGTCTCCTCGTGGGAATATCGGGTGCTTCCTTGCTGGGAGATGTATCATCGGTATTGGACAGGGGATTGCCTTGAGTAAGTCATTGATACTATGCTGTCACCGTTAAAAGAACTGAAGTTGAATTGACCGTGCCATCTGACAGCGTCGGGTCCGATCTACATTGGCGAGCTGGCACCAGCGGAGATTCGAGGGAAAATTATGACATTTTGGCAAATGTTCTATTCGGTGGGATCTTTTATCTGCTTCTGGGTGAACTATGGCTGCACTCAACACAAAGAAAATCTCGGTGAATGGGATTGGAAAATGGTTGTCCTTTTCCAGCTCCTGGTTCCCATCTTGATTCTCGTCCTGTTGCCGACTATTCCCGGCTCGCCACGATGGTATGGTCTCACATACTAGGCTCCATCGAAGATTTATGCTAACCTAACACCAGGTATATCCAGCGTGGAAATAACGTCGAAAAAGCCCGTGCCGCTCTTGAAATGGTTCGAGAAATAGCGGAGGAAGTAGAAGACGAGCTGCTGAAAATCCGGGAGGCCCTCGAATACGAGAGGGAGGCTATATCCAGTACCTACTCGGCCCTTTGGAAGGACAAGTCCCTGCGCAAGCGTATGGCTCTGGCTCTGGTTGTCAACGCCGGTCAGCAAGTCACCGGACAGGGGACGTTGAATACGTACTCCACCAAAATCTACCAAAAGGTATTCACCAGTGCCGGCCAGATAGCCCTCATCAACGCACTCAACGCCACATTTGGTATCCTCTTCACGCTGAATGCTGTTTGGATCATTGATCGATTTGGGCGAAAGTTTCTCCTCATCATTGGAGGCATCGGTATGGGGATCTGCATGATCATTGTCTCCGCGGTTGAGACAGAGACCGCATCACCCGGTGGCACAAAAACCCAGCCAGTCGGGATCTCGATTGTGTTTCTACTATTTCTATTCATATTCTTCTGTGAGTGTCAAAGACCCACCGAAACTTGTGACAATTACTCATGACAAATGCAGACAAACCATCCTGGGGCGCCACGGTATGGATCTGGACCTCGGAAATCTTCTCTATGAACGTGCGAGCACAGGCAGTGGGAATGGCATCGCAGACGCAAAACGTCGCCAATGCCATCTTCCAACAATTCTTCCCCATCTTCCTGGATAATTGCGGTTTCTATGCGTTTTACATGTTCGCCGGTATCAACTTTCTGCTCGCCGTGTTTGTGTTCTTCTTTATCCCTGAAACCAAGCAGGTTCCTCTCGAAGAGATCGATGCCCTGTTCGGTGGAGCTAATCATGTTACGCATGGCGAGGATCTCATCGGGAATGAGAAGGAAGTTGAACCTACGTATTCGGATGCTGGTGCAAAGAGGTCTTGAGCGGTTGGGATGGATATGCCTGACTAGGTTAATTGGTAGAAATGCCACAGCATACAGCTTTACCTATTCGAATGCCATTGCGAATGTAGCCTCACATACGACAGTTATTCTCACCGATAGTGGAACATCAAGAAGCACCTGCTAGGACACCTGGCCAGTTGAACAGCTTATTCCCACACCCCCCAACCAAAGTGGAGCCGAATGCCCAGCTTTATAGACTAGACCTGGCAGCCGTGGTATGCGGGGAAGCGAGACCGCGGACTAAATCCGGGGAAGGGCTCCATCATCTCTATTCTCCCACAGGTTATCTCCCAGACCATAATATACACTGTATTGTCCTCCTTTCCCCCACTATTTACAGATCCATACACCACAAACCAATCGAGACCAAGTCTCGCCCCAAATTCTAACTCATATATTCCCACGTGGACAACAAGCCCTAGCGTCCAATCCTCCCACCTAAATCCAAGCGCTAAACACCTCCAAGAAATGAAGGATCCCAACAAACGGAATCCCATTCCGCCCGCCAAGCAGATCAGCTAGCCTAATCAAGGGCGAGTTGAGTCCCGGGCTGGTTCTTTTCCTGTATTGACGTGGTGGCAAATCGGCGGGCTAACTCCCACCCAACCCAGAGATGTGGTCGGAATCGCTCCGCACTTGTTTGGGATGTCCGGGGTTTGCGGGGGAGGATCCAGTACTAGCTTGGCATGCTCTTCCTCTCTCCAAGTGAATTTATTTGATATTCTGGGGATTGCTATATTAATTGTCTGTGTATGTTTTTTTCAAACGCCCTTTACAGGTTATTTAGGCGTGTAGGGATGACTTGTATTGCTATTTAGTTGGTCCTGTTGACAAGTAGTAGTAGTACAATTCCACTGTGCGCCTTCCCTTCAACATTTATCCATAGAAAAACCTATGTATCTTCACTTCTATTCTCGTACTTCGCAACATGCCCGACTTTAAGTATCACCCCCAATAAGAACCACATACCGAACTGATAAAGACAGATCTTCCTTGTCGAGACATCCCCATTAACCAATTAACCTCCAACGCCAATCCCTCTTCCCTGCTAGACGAAAAACCTTCTTTGTACCCAGGGTCCTTGGCGCGCGGAACCCGGTTAAGAATGCGGAATCCTTACGTTCCTGTGTCATGTATGTCTGTTGGAGCAGCTAGTTCATGCATATGGCCGTCGGAGAACACACCGATTTTAGCATTGGTTTTTTATTTCGTTTATTGAATACTGGTTTTCTATTTTTTATTTCGTTCTGGGCGGATGGCGCTTAAGTAGGTGTGATAGTAATAAGTGTTAGTCTGTATAAAAGGTGCTTGCCCCGCGCTTTCTGCGCTGGTGATGTGGTGATGCAAGGGCCGGTGTTTATTATCCTAGGTACTCATCTTCTATTACATTCTCAAGGTGTGGCATCTGAGCTGTCATCTGAGCTGTTCTGGTAGTATCTGCTTCAATCATTGACTTTGTGGAATACCCCTACCTACCTCCTTACTGCCCTACCTTCGCCACTTCAGAGTTCACAAAAGCCACCTGGGTAGCAATCCAGAGCCACAACAGAACCCGCAATGATGACACCACCATCCGACCCCGAAAAAACCGAGATGTCTCAAGAGCACCTCGAGGACATCAAGTCCTCCTCAAACTCCACTCTCTCACCCAGCGCCGTCTCCGAGCGCGCCCTCCTCTGGAAACTCGACCTCCACGTCGTCCCAATCCTCACAGTCCTCTTCCTGTTCGCCTTTCTCGACCGCATCAATATCGGAAATGCGAGGCTCATGGGCCTGGAAGATGACCTCGGTATGAAGGGCCATCAGTATAATATCGCGCTGTTTGTGTTCTTTATACCGTATGTGCTGTTTGAGGTGCCGAGTAATGTTATCTTGAAGAAGGTGAAGCCGAGTTGGTGGCTTTCTGGGATTATGTTTGGGTGGGGTAGGTTGATCCTTTCTTGCCTTTTTCTCCTATGATATTGATTTGGTGGTTTTCTAGGTATTATCACAATCTGTCAGGGTGTGACGGAAAGTTTCAAGGGACTAGTTGCTTGCAGGGTTTTGATCGGGCTGTTGGAGGCTGGGTTCATGCCCGGTTCGTGCTCCCTGAATACTCCATATTATCGGATGTATGCTGACTCCAAAAGGATCCGTATACCTCATCAACATGTACTACCGTCGCCACGAGCTCCAGTGGCGCCTTAACGTCTTCTTCAGCGCGAGTATCCTGGCCGGTGCAATCAGCGGGGTATGTACCTCTTTCTCCAGCAAGACGACCGCGCAGAAATTAACGAATATAGCTTCTCGCCTACGGCATAGCCAATATGGACGGCATCGCCGGATACAGCGGCTGGCGCTGGATCTTCATCATCGAAGGTCTTGCCACTGTCGTCGTGGCTGTCATCGCCAAATTTATCATCGTCGACTGGCCCGAATCAGCGACCTTCCTGAATGAGGACGAGCGGGCTCTCCTGCTGAGGCGGCTGGCTGAAGATCAGGGCGAAGCGAAGATGGACCGTATGGATAAGAGCTCGATGAAAAGGACGTTCTCGGATCCGAAGCTCTATCTTGGGTGCGTGTTCCCTAATCAAGACAGGTGTAACCCTAACCTCCGAGATTCGTTGAACTAATGATCTGGCGAATAGTCCGATTATGTACTTCGGCATCGTCAACACCGGCTACGCGGTATCATTCTTCACACCGACCATCCTGCACCAACTCGGCTGGACGCAAGTCCGCGCACAAGTGATGAGCATCCCCGTGTACTGCGTCTCAGTGGTCATCACACTAGCAACAGCCTACGCCAGCGACAGGCTCCGACACCGCTTCGCGTTCACCCTGACCGGGTGTCTCATCGCCACGCTGGGCTACGTGATTCTGCTCTGCCAAGGCTCTGTGCCCGTGGGAGTGCGCTATTTTGCCGTCTTCGCCATCACGAGCGGCGGGTTCCTCACGCAGCCGATCTTGATGGGTTGGCTCAGTAATAACATGGCAGGTCACTATAAGCAGTCGATTGCGTCGGCGATGCAGATCGGCTTTGGCAACTGTGGGGGTCTTGTCGCGAGTAATATCTATTTCGACTCTGAGGCTCCCGGGTACCGCACGGGGTATGGTGTCAGTTTGGGGATGACCTGGATTTGTGGGTTGTCTTGTATGGCTTTTCTTTGGTATCTGGTTAAGGAGAATAAGCTGCGAGAGAGGGGGGAAAGGGATCATCGGTATGAGCTTCCGAGGGAGGAGTTGGAGAATCTGGGAGATGATCATCCGAGTTTTAGGTTTACGTATTAGAGTATTGTTTGTTGATTGGGGGTCTGAGCATATTGGAATCAAATTGGGGTCCCGCGTTTATTCAACTTGTATTTACTCGGAGACTGGGACTATGCTGTCCCGTGAGTATATCGTCGACTCGACCTCTCTGTCTGCACTCGCGTCCACTCTGCCGGTTGACTCGGTATCAACGGTGCATTTCCAGGAGGATATGCTCACCCCGTCAAAGTGGAATCGATAGCAGTATCTTTTGCGTAGGTCAGATTGTGAATCCCCTATTGTACATGTTGCGTGAACAACAAGCTCGTCTGGGACCTGCTTTTCTTCTTCAGCCCGCTGGGCCAGCGTAGCATTTAATCCATGCGAATGGCGAGAATTGTCGTCCTCTGGCCAAACTTGTATGTGTGGGCTGCAGGGGTTCAGAAATGTGTCCTTTAGACGGTAAACACTGCGTCTTGTGACTACTCCTGTCTCGCTGACCTCTTCACAGAGAAATTCCTTCTCGTATCCTGGGGTAGACACATATCGTGGGTGGAACGTCACTGTACCAGACGCTTTCTTCTCTCCGGTAGAGTTTGTCCGCGAAAATCGCCAGGTTCCATGGAGAGCTCGAAAGACTGCAGCGGCGGCGGCCATATTTGGTAGATCGGGGCTGGGAGAGAGGGTGTTCTCCAGAGATTCCAAGACAATACGAACGTCTTCATCTCCCAGGCCTTTTTCTCTCCCCTCGCGACATGCACTGTTTGTGATAGCCGTATACCGCGCAGGTATAACAGGCCCTGGCTCTCCCTCTGGTGTTGAGAGTGGAGTACGACAGATCCCTAGCTCTCTAGAAAAAGTCTCCATCAATCCTACATAGTCGCCCATGGGGAATTGACCGCGCTGCAGGCGCGGATCGGCACACCTGAGACTTCGAATAGTTTGTCTTTCCTGTGACCGTGTCTCAACCTCATGGCTTGGGATTTCAATTGGATCATCAGGTTTACCTCGGGACCAGATTTCCGCGAGACTTTTCGCCTGCATCTCCATGGCGCCCCAGTATGGACCGCGGTAAAAGCCCACAAACCCCAGGTCGGGGATATCAGCGTGGGAAGTACCTTTTCCGTCTAGAACAAGTGACAGGAAGGAGTCGCTTGGTGAGTACTCCAGTGTCGTGAGGACATCCTCCGGTAGGTAGGATATAGAGGTAAATGGCGTAAAGCCAGTGGCTGTGACGATGGCAGCAACGTTGTCTAGGGTCTTCGTTTCGCCATTTGGAAGATTCACTTCAATGCTCGCTTTGTCAGAGGAAAAAGGCTTCACGGCGCATACCCGTCCAGTGACTGGGTTGATTGTCCCTGCGCGCACATATTCTGCATAATCGTCTTGAATGGCTACCCAGGACGGTGGTTTGCGATGATCTTTTCTGTCATTCGAATGGACATCAACACTTCCGACGCGTCTGTGCTCTTCTCCAAACAAAGAGAAGAAATAATCATTTAGTCTCGTAGCCTGTTCTTGACCGATAGGCCCATAGCCATATTCGACTGGTCCTGGTGGACGCCGTGCTAGGTCATAAAACACTAGGTCAACGGGTAAGAACGTTGAGGGTGTCTGAGCAGCAGCCGACGAGCTTGTATGTGGAATGTAAATCGGGACTGTCCAAAATGGCCTTGAACAGACATGGTACACCTCAAAGTGCGGTGCATTTCGGGACGAATGTAGTGAATGCTCGAGAGAGGACAAGTGAAGTGAAAGTGCCGATGCAGCCTCAGCACCGGAGATACTGCCTCCAATGATAACTAGTTTACCACCTTCGGTTCCGGCTGCGTCCAAAAATTTGCGCATATCGCCTTCATTGTTCAGAGCTGAGCTGTGGATAGCCTTGTGATCAAAGTTATCCAGCCCGGGAATATCTGGTGTGTGAGGACTCGAGAAGTATCCAGATGCGGCCAAGAGGAAGTCGAAGGTTTCACTGCTTTCTTCTTGGCTGTCCTTATCCTGACCTGTACTATACAGACTTTAGTCTGTATTCCAAGCGTCCTGGCACACGGGTAGAGAAACCTTTCATCAGAGACCCAATGGACAGTCCACCGCTCACTCGGCCTCGCCTCAGCACAGCGGACAGCGCGAACAACCCGCTGGCCCAACTTAAATACATCCGGCGATAGATACTTCTCTGAATACCTCTTCAGATACCTCCCCACCTGCCACGCCTGGGGAAACATAGAAACATCCCGTGGCTCGAATACTGCATCCCACGCCAGATCGGAAAAAGCCACCGAGAACCTGCTGAGGTTTGTCCTCATCAGCGGATCCACCTGCAGCCCGCGCGTCGGCCGGTAGCTGGAGCTTCCATTCTCAGCTGCTGGGGGCTCCGTAGGCCATAGACCTCCTATATCATGGCGTTTCTCGAAGATCACGGGCTGAAATGTCCCGGCTGGATGGTTTTGGAGCAGCGTTTTGGCTGCTACTAGGCCCGAGGGACCACCGCCTGTGTTTGTTAGCTGGGGTATTTTGCTTTTAAGGGTAACCCTCATGCTGTACTAAGGGAGAGCTGACCTATTATGGCGACTTTCTTTGGGCGTTGCATATCATGCTATCACATCACCTGGCTGGGAGACATGAATGAGTGAAGGATGAGGGGTTCCGCCCGTGCCCCGCAGAGGGGTATCTTATACAATAGACCCTTTTCTCGACAGCACATAGTAATGACAGGGGTGGTAAGACAGAGATCACACGGGGACGTGCTTTTGAATTGGCTCCTGATAATCATTATTGTTTGCTCTTGTCTTCAACCTCAAAAGTTTCCCATTGGCATCCAGTCTTTCTAGGTTAGCAGTAGGCCAATTACTGTAGATACACTACGATGTGTTCGGAAAATACATTATTTATAGTTTCGCCGACCTCCCAGCAGCACCTCCCTGAGCATTGCGATAGTCAATCGCGAAACTATAAGCGGGATCGTAATGCATAGCCCAATACCCATCCCAGATGGTCTTAGTGATGGGTCCAACGTTCCCCCCATTTACAGGTTTACCATCCAACGACGTGATGGGCATCACACCACCAGCAGTCGTACACATGAAAATCTCATCACAGCAGTAGGCCAAGCTAACCGGCACGACCTCGACGCGAACCGGGATCCCATTAGCCCGCGCGACGTCGATGACACTCTTGCGCGTCACGCCTTCCAAGACGCCCCGGTCCGGAGTATAAAGGGTGCCGTCCTTGACCAAGACAATATTGTACCCGGAGCCCTCGGTGAGGTTTCCATCTCCGTCGGTCAGGAAAGGATAGTCGGCGCCGCGATCGGACGCCTCAATCAGACCACGCGTCAAATCACCCCATTGCAGGTTTTTCACGGTGGGGTCCATCGAGCCGGGTGGGACCCGTCGCACAGTGCGGGTGATGATAGCACTACCGCCAACGTGCTGCTCCTTGGGCTCCATAACCCAGACATAAGGGACGACGAACAGGTAGAGGGTATTGGTGAGATCTTTGGTATGGGCCCCGCGGACACCCTGAAGACCGCGGGTGACGATTAATTCCACAAAGGCGTCCTGGATGCCGCTCTTCGCGACCATGTCCACCAGGATTTGCTTGACCTGTTCCCGGGGCAGAGGGAGCTTGAGGTGCAGCTTTTGACAGCTGCTCTCTAGGCGGGACAGATGATCGTCGAGGCGGAAGAAACGCCCATCCCAGACTGCGGGGACATCATACGTCAAATCACTGTGCAAGAAGCCTTGGTCTAGGAGTGGGATGCGGGCCTCGCCGATGGGGACGAGGTTCCCTTCCACCCAGGCGATTCCTTGGGCAAAGGGACTATTGTTTGCTGCGAGAGTGGCCTGTCGAGAGGTATAACCTGCGAACACATCTTTCATGGAGGTCATGGTGAGGACTTGTAGTATGGGTCAATTTTGATTTTAAACAATCAAAGCTGAATAGTTGTTAGACCGTATGGACTGCACAAAGGTCCTTCTTATAAGCTCTCCGTGAGGAGAGCGTACAGGCTTGATTGCTCCCGGTCACATTAGGTACATTAGTGTCAATGTTACCTCCATGTTGACGCGTTGGATAGAGCGGGGGAGCGGGCGGGCAAGGCAGCGAGGCACCCAGGCTGCGATAAGGAACGAACTTCCTAATCTGGCAGGTCAATTGGCTGACATAATCAACCCGGGCCAAAAAATGCGCCGAGCCCTGATTGCCTTTTTTCGGTTAGCGCCAACTGGCCAATCTGCACGCAGCACTGTAAACGGAAACAAAGCTATCTCGACAAGCAATGGCCCGGCCAACAAATCGACATATCCGTGCAATTGAACGACGAGCTATAGCCTATAGGTCAAGCAATGGATCCCTTAATATGGCCTGATCTTACAATGCGACCAAGTCTCCAGTGCGGGGCAAACCGAAACCTTTAGGTAATTGACACAGGGACCTAGCCTTGGTGCTTGCTATCAGCGGAGGTTCCCCACAGTCCAGTGGTTGGTTTTAATTCGGACCCAAACCTCAACCTGGGGCGGTTCATTTGTCTTCCACCTCTGTAACTTCTCCCGACAAGAGAAATTCAAGATTGCAAGATGTCGCAAAAAAATGTCGTTGTGATAGGGTACGGAATATGCATTGGTTTCTTCGATATGACATGAACAACTAACGACTGTAGAGCCGGTGTCGCCGGGTTGACAACCGCTCTCCTTCTGTCCAAGCGTCCCGGCTACAAGATTGTCGTGGCTGCCAAGCACATGCCGGGAGATTATGACATTGAATATGCTTCCCCGTGGGCTGGAGCGAACTATATGCCGTAAGTCATACTGTGGATCTTTGCTAAACAGTGACTGACTGGTTTCATGCAGTGTTTCTGTTCGTGGAACAGAGGCGGCAAAGTGGGACAAGGACACTTGGGGTCCGCTTGAAGACCTAGCTCAAAACCACCCCGATGCTGGTGTTCACTTCCAAGGTGTGTCAGAACGCCGCCGTAGAATCAACTCCGAAGCTAATGTTACTTAGAGTGCGAAATCCGTAGTCGCTCGAAAGACGTCGGCACTGCGACAGCAGACTGGTTCGCTGAGCTCCTGTCACCCAGCCCGTGGTTCAAGGACGTCGTGCCCAACGTATGTTAAAAATGCATGTTCACAATCAGTGTAGGACCAAATGTACTAAGAACCCACAGTTCCGCACGCTCCCCAAAGAATCTCTCGGCTCAGGGATCGACTCCGGCACGGCATTCACCTCCGTCTGCATCAACACAGCCATCTACCTTCCCTGGCTCGTCTCGCAGTGTCTCAAGAACGGCGTGATCTTCAAACGCGCCGTCTTCAAGCACATCTCGGAGGCAAGCACCTCGGGCATCCACCCCGGAAACAAAGTCGACATCGTAATCAACTGCACCGGACTGATGGCCTCGACCCTCGGCGGCGTGGAAGACAAAACCGTCGTGCCCGCACGCGGTCAAATAGTCATCGTCCGCAACGACTCCGGCCGCATGTACGATATCTCTGGGACGGACGACGGGCCCGACGAAGCGTGCTACATGATGACGAGAGCGGCTGGCGGCGGTACCATCCTCGGCGGTTCCTATCAGAAGGGCAGCTGGGAGTCGCAGCCGGACCCGAATCTCGCGACCAGGATCATGAAGCGCGCTGTTGAGCTGTGTCCTGCGCTGACAGGCGGGAAGGGAATCGAGCATCTGGATGTGATTCGACACGGGGTGGGGTTGAGGCCTGTGCGTGAGGGTGGCACGAGGATTGAAAAGGAGCGTCTGGGAGGGGTGTGGGTTGTTCATAATTATGGTGCCGGTGGAGCTGGATACCAGTCGTCGTATGGGTGTGCGCAGGCTGCTGTTGACCTCGTTGAGGAAGCGTCTAGGGAGAAGGCGAAGCTGTAGATAACATACTGTACGGTATATAGATCTTTTTAGGGTAGGAAGTCAGTTCTGCAAAGCAGTGCCTAATGCTTGATTCAATTCCGCCGGGCGGATAGCATAATGACAATTTACCTCACAGTCTTGAGTAATAGACAGTATACTACATATAGATTTTTAATTTTTAAGATTTAGGAAATTTACACAATCTACACATAGCAGCAGGATTTATACCCAGACAATATTACCCCATAGTAACGGTGTGCCCGCCAGCCCGACCCCACTTCAGAAGATACCACGTTCAAGTTCATACATCACATCAATCAATCAACACAATTTCCCCCCCTACACAACCCATCCCCAGACCTAGACATCTAGCCTAAGTATCTATATACCTCGTTAGAGCCGACACCAACAATGGCCGCAACCGCAAAACGCCCCGAGATAATCGCGCTCGCCCGCGACTTACATGGCGTGCCCATGTGCGAAGACTACGAGCGCATGGTCTCAGGAATGATGTACGTACACTGCACACATTTAGTACCGTTCCTGCATATCATTAGTCACATATACAAGAAATATCTTCCCGCATACAAAGACCTCACAGCTAACCAACAATCACAGGTACAACCCCACAACCCCCCAACTCTCCGAAGCGCGCCACCGCTGCCGGGGCCTCACAGCCGACTACAACAACCTGGACACGAAAGCCATCTCATATGAGGAAATCGGCGCCGCACGACACGCCCTCCTCGGCAAACTCGTCGGCAAAGTCGGGGCCGGCACGTTCGTCGAACCCCCGTTCTACGTAGACTACGGGTGCAATACGGTCATCGGGGAGAACTGCTTTATCAATTGGAAGTTAGTATCCCTCTTGGCCTCTCCCCTTTCCCTCCCCTTCCCATGTATATCTTGATCCTGACGGCGATAGTGTAACAATCCTCGACACAAGCCTCGTCCACATCGGCAACAGAGTCCAACTCGGCACAGGGGTAAGCATATTCAGCGCCGGCCACGACACGAGCGTTCTCTCCCGGCGGAAGTTCGTCGAGTTCGGACACCCAGTGTTCATCGAGGACGACTGCTGGATCGGCGGGAACGTTATCATCTTGCCTGGGGTGAGGATCGGGCAGGGTTCGACGATTGGGGCGGGGTCGGTTGTTACGAAGGATGTTCCGCCGTTTTCGGTCGCCGTGGGGAGTCCTTGTCGGGTTATTAAGACGGTTTTGTCGGCGGAGGAGGAGGAGAGGGAGGAGGGGAATGTTTATCGAGATTTGTAGGGGGGTATTGAGGTTGGATTTTCCGTGTTGGTGCTGGTATTAATCTATGATGCAGTGCTAGTTAGGTTCTAGATATATGGACGATACATGGAAATTACGTTGGAATGTTTTCTTTTTGGCGCTAGATTATGGAATATAGTGCTTGTTTATTTGTAGATCGGGAAGTTTTCATTCGGGTGAAATATCAAGCCAAGTGAACGAACAGTGGTTTGTCCATCTTCCAAGGGCATAGATATATATTTTGGACACTAAGTAAACACCACGTGGAGTTATCAGCCAATGCAATTAGCAACGTAGAAAAGCCAGCTCTACTACTTCCTAGCCATCGAGTACAGTGCATTTGCCATAGCACCTATAATATATACGTGACTCACAGTTTCCAAAGTGGTCAACATAGGTCATTAATGCTTCAAACCGAGCCAAAACCAACAGCACTACATTATATATCCATCTTATAAAAAAAATAAACAAAACACCGAACGGACACTTCACCCCTGGAAAGCCAAAAATCTCATCAAAGTCAATTAAAAGATATATTTAAGCTTCATTATTGGATCAATTGGGTATCAAAAAAGGGTATAGAAGAAGAAAAAGAAAGAGAGAGAGATAGAGAGGTAGTGGAGAAGAAAAAGAGGAAAAAGAAAAAAGATATCAACGGCCCGAGCCGCGGATCGAACGCGGGACCTCTCGCAGATATGCTTGGGTTTAAATCCCTAAGCGAGAATCATACCACTAGACCACCCGGGCTTTGATGATGACGACATGAAGAGAGGATTGTTCCAGAAGGCGGTGGTTCAGGGAGAGTTGGTTGAAGGTCGGTTGAATGGCAGTTGGAATGGAAAGGAGGTGAGACTGGGTTGAGGTGAGGGTCGTGAGATTAAACGTGATGAGCGTTTTTCGACAAGGCTGAAAAAAAGAAAAGAAAGTAAAGGAACAGAGTAAGATGAGGCATTAAGCGATAGGCTGCACGATGATGCTTGTTTTGCGTTTGCGTGCGTCGCTTGGCGCCGTCTGATGACGCCAATGCCAAGGGTCGGATTCGCATGCCCGCATTGTTCTGGAAGTAGGGGGTTGAATCCATGACGCAGCCTGCGCCTCGGTAACCGTCACTTAGGTCGATTGATTTGTTTCAGTATTGGCTGGGTGGGTGTCGATCTGGGGTAGTAGTAAGGTTCTTTGGAAGGGTTGATTCTCCCACCTAGATTGTGTGGCGATCGATGGATGGCGTATGAGTTGTTACACACCGCCGTTGTCGAGATGGTGTGGGTAGGGACTAGGGAGAGTCTAGTGACCTAGTTGGATACCCGCTCCAGCCAAGCCGTCACCTGCACCTCTGGACTGTCGCTTTGGGGATGATAAACGGCAGTGACCTGCTGTGACGTGACAAAGGTATCGACGTTGCGCTCGGTGAGAGGAACCTTGGTCCTGTTCTTCTGTCGGAGGACCTCGCGCTCGGCACGAGCAGCCGGTGATAACTTGGAGAGGGTGTTGCGGATGCGACGGATGCCTCCTCCGCCCGGGAAGGAGGTGATGCGCGGTGGGCCGAACGGGTTATCGACTCTCCACGGGTCTTCGGAGGCGAGAGAGCGAACGCTCTTCTTGCGCTCGGAGCGGAATTTGGACATGATAGGCCAGGGTGCTCTAGAGGGGGGTTTATGGTGGTGATAGTGGAAGGGGAAACAGGAAGGCATCGAAGGGCGGATAACCAATGTGAATATATAGGGGGAGGGTTAAGAAAGTATGTGTTGTGCTGGACTGGCTGGCCCACTAAAGTGATTAACGTGCGGGGAGGGGGCAGGGGACTTTCTTTCTTCGACATCAACTGGGTAAATACGGGATGAGTGGATCCGCATGCACTAGTTCGAGTGAAGTTGGGGGAAACGGAGGGGAATAAGATAGATAGCAAGTGCGCGAAGGAAGACTATACCTGCCATTAAACCTGCAAGAGCCCAGAAGGAAATGCTACGCTACTTGGCAGGAAAGTAGCCCGGGGGGTCCGAGTGTTATGCCATGCCTTGTCTTGTCTTAAACGTGGGATTTCTTACTACCCTTCATCCCTGTCTCGAGAATGAGTGGTTAAGGAGATTAAGATCAGACAAAGGGAGAAAAGAAAACAGTAGCATGGAGGGAAAAAGGGTGACCTAACGACGTCATTGAACAACAAGGCAGACACTAGGATATGTTGATCCGACAGGTTTGGTTTCATGACACAACAACTGTATTTATTATTAGCTTGTACCTTGTACAGATAAGCACTGCCATATCAGATTATATTTAATAAAGAAAACGGCAATAACGGCAATGATTCCACATTCAAGTAATATTATTTGTTACCCGTTCACTTACGTATCATCCCATCAAGATAGTACTGATTGATTCCTGCCTCACTTTACAGATAACACGGCAATCGCGCGTATCTCCTCTAATCTAGCAAGTAATTACCAGTTAGCGCCCGGAGTGGGGTGCAAAAAAGACGACGCCATATCCTTAGAGTCTTAGACTTGGTTTATCTCGACCGGATGAGCGCGTGGATAAGGTTGATCTCCCAGAATCATCCGGATTGTTCGACCAGGGATTGTAGATGCATGAAGCTGATGCTTGGCAGGGAATGATCGCCGGACAAAGTCATCAACTACTCCATACTGTATTTTAGTCCATCTTAGCAGGTTGTGCATAACCAAACTGAGACTACATCTGACACAATCCCGCCTGATAATGAGACAGCAAATAATCCCCTCTTTTTCACCCCATCAAAGTATCCACCCATTCTGTCACTAACAGCAACTCACTCACTCACGCCCCTCCCCCCACCCCGCAGCACTGCATAACAAGCATGCAAGTCCGCGGAGATCAACCCAACCAAACGCAGCTGGAACCATCTGGAAAAAGTCAAGGAATGCTTGGAAGGGCTCCGTGCGGGGTCAGCAGCCACCCGGTGCAGTTATCTCCGCCGGTCCATTGCCCACTCTGGCCGCAGGCCCTGGATGGGTGGTTGATTTGACTGGTTGGTAGTCCGTAGGTAGGTACTAGATGGGGTTCGTATCCTCCGCCCGGCCGTCTACCTTTCTAATGCCTTCGAGGTGCATTATCCCATGCATATCCTGATTGGGTCTTGGGGTTGAGGTTGCGTGGACTCGGGGTGGGCGTGCGTATCTTGTGCAGCCTTGTGCTAGTTTGCACCCTAGGTTGTGGATTAGGTATGGGGTAGGGACTGGTCATCTGACTAGCAATTACAAATAGTTCCCTAGGTGAAAATATCAAAGTTTGTAAGTTGCATAGCCAATTCCTATACACCACTGATCTTTATATCCACAGAGAGATCATAGACAAATCAAATCAACCATACCCGCTAGTTTGAAAAAACGCCAAACGACCTATTTCTTACAATCTTGCGTATCATACCCGATACTAAGAAATCAACAGTTCTCGAACGCTCATTCCCGTCTTCTTGTGGGGATCTGGCATCGCAGCTCGGGGGCCTTCCGGTGGAGTGGGATGCCCCTCGACAGAGCCCACTGACCCCACTGACCCCACCGACCGGCGACATTCCCGGTTCAACATCAGCAACGCAGCTGATGCCTCGTGGTCGAGATTGGCGGACGGATTCATATACTGCGGGCAGAGCGCTGGTGATGTGTTTGCGGACGATGCAGTCCACGATGCATGCGACGAAGGGATACCATGGTCGGCAAGATACATGGGACCTAGGGCTGGGCTAGGGAGGATAGACGGTAGAGGCTCGACTGCTGCTACGGTCGACGGTACACCACTCCAGGGAGAGCCTGCCAGGGATGTCTGGCCCTTCGGAACCTGGTATGGGGGAAGGTCCGGGGATACCGAAGCTGAGGGGTCCTCGGCCTCATCCCCCAGGATTTCAGGTGACGTGGGAGAGGGAGGGCCCGGTGGCATTCGCAGGGGCGCCGTGGCCGGCTGGTCGGTCGTCTTCAGATCCTGGACGCACTGCTCCAGGTAGTTGACGTAGTCAATGCTTGCCTAGTGATACTGTCAGCCGACTGGACGAGAGTGGGCAAGAAGGGTCGGGTCGCCGGACGAACCTGCAGGATAGCCAGCTTATGCATCTCCTGGCCTTGACAGGCTGGAATCATATCCTTCAGCGTCGAAAACTCCTCGTTCATTTTGGACCTTCGCCGTCGCTCGATCAAACTGTGGGCGGTCTTCCGGGCAATTTTCCGACCGGCCGCGCTCGTCGCACTGGGTTGTTTCTTTTTGGATGCCGCCGCGGTCGGGCTATTAATAGGGGCCTTAGCATTCTCCCGGGACTTGTTCGCCGGCGGGGGAGGCTTGGGTTGGGTGTGCGCCTTGGGCTTCATCTGAATGATCTTGCGGGTGCGGGTGGGAGGTGGCGGTAGGCCAAAGTCTTCCAGCGGTCTCTTGACGCCGGTCTGACGGGGTTGGTTTGCACGACTCTGAGAGGCGTCCGGGGAGGTGGGCGAGACCGGGTAGTAAACCGAGGGGTCTGACCTTGAGGACCTCCGGCTGGGGTGGTCCTGGTTGGATGGACTGACGGCGGCGGGAGGCAGAGCGAACAGGTCTGTTCCGTCCAAGGATGTCTGCTCCTTGATGATGAGTTCCCCCGACATGGCGGGGGTCGGAGGAAGACGAGAGCGAGACATGGGGCTGAGGGGAGACGAGGGAATAGCTGAGGTTTCAGCGAGCACGAGACTGGTGCACCGGTCCAGAAGATGTAGGACAACCGGTTTGGCCAAGCGAACGTTCCTAGATGGTAGGGTGAGGTAACAAGAATAGATAAATAAAGAGTCTTATTCAATTGAATTCTCTCAAGAAAGAAAGAAAAAGTTCAGCCCCAATGATCTAAATCAAAAGAAGACCAAAACAGCGACATGCTGGGCTCCTTCGTACTATAAGGAGATCGGGAAGGGGAGAACGAAACAAGGGAGAAACCCAAAAGGATGGCAGAATCCGATCGGGTAATACGTCAGGTCTCAAAGACGAAAGTCAAAGGCAAAAAAGTGCAAGCAGGAGAATGGGATCGACGTGGAACCAGGAGAGAAAGACGAAGTCGATCATGGTGCTTGGTGTCGCGTGCTTGGATTGTCCATGCCCACGCGGGAGATCTAAGGGAGCTAATTGGTTGTATGTGGGTAATGCACTTCCGAGATACCTGTTTACTTAGGGAAGTTAGTATTTTCTTCGTACTTTAGTAACCAATGACTTGGGTGAGAACTCGTGGTGCTGTCTGTTCTCCTGATGGGTGTACCATTCATTGAACCTCAACCTTATCTAGTTGTTTCGACAACCCTGGTACGGAGGAGAGCACCAAACACCAGGGGGCCCGGAGCATGGGGTGAAGTCGGAGTCAAGGCAACTATAACATCCGACATCCGAAGTCTTTCCGAGCCCGATATAATTAAGTTACTCCCATCCAGGAATTTGTTCATGACTTGCAGATTGAAAAAAAAAAAAAAAAAAAAAAAAATGAATACCATTGTTACTCAATATTGGACAAGGACCATAACATGAAACAATCAAAAATAGCGACATCCTTCGAGACGACCAGCGCTCCGAAGATCGTCGTCATAGGTCGCGTGTTATTTTCGTAGCTCATACACTCCCCTATACCACCTTGGGTATACTACCCAAGCACTATAGTTTGTTCCGTGGTCCGCCCCCGGACGGGGATCGGAGCACGTGCACACCTCCTCTTCCCTGAGTGGGATTTGCCCGACAAGTCCATACCGGGTATATTTGGAATCCACTGCAACTATGAATCCGTGGACGAGCATGGATCCCTGCACGGATTCCTCCCATTCAGAGTTGGAACTCCTGCACGATGGAGGACGCCTCATCCTAACGGCACCGATCGGTACACCCAACATACGTATCCCAGCTGTCCACCCATTAGTCAATTGGATCCGAGACAGGAAGAAGATAACCCACCAGAAAGATTCATCATCAGGCAAAGCCACCACGCACGCCTGCGCGGAAATCGCACACACAGCCGAGCAATTGGACGTATCGTCGGAATCACTCGATGCTTCCTTGTTGGCGCCGTGCGTAGTGTCCGGCGATGAGATCTTGGGCCATTTCCGGTGGCCGCCTTCACCGGGCGCGGTCGCCCGCTCTGAGGCTGTGCTGTTGGTACCGGAGATCTTGGCCATGCGGAGGGGGCCGGCGGATGGGAGCGCGGTGGCTGTGGTTGCCAGGATGGCGATGGTTGTGAGGAGGGTATTGGTTAGCTGCATGGTGCAGATACGATGATGTAGTTGATGGATGGACAATGTATGAACAAGTATGGAGAAACCAGGTTGAGACGTCGTGTATATTCAGATGAGGAACTCGTAATGAACAATACTTTTCTTCTTTCCACTGGCTTGAGAGCGATCATGGTCTGCGTTCTCTCTAATTTATAATGTAGACCTCACTAGAAGCAAGAGCCAGCATTCGCAAAGGCACATCCAGCCTCTCATCGACCTTCAACATTCCTCATATTCCCCATGTCACTTTAATTTCTTCACCCAAACTCGAGTCCAAACTATGACTGGGTGAATATAACATGGTGCATACCAGATAATCAGGAAGCATGATCGGATCAACTAGCCGCTATGTACACAACGCGCTCATGCATACCAGATTCGTCGCAGCGAGTATTGACCGTGTCTATGGTGTATCAAGGTATCTGGTGGTGCAGAGTTTGATGGCCTGCAGACTTGGATCTCCAACCTCGCATTGTTATGTATATCTTACGCTGGGTACTGCCATACGGCGCCTCTATGTATACTTACTTCCTATACAACGACACCTGGAGGACAGTCATCCATCCATTCAGTAATCAGAAGACCTACCCACCCACCTACCAATTTTAAAAGTAGACAAAAGAGACAATACAATTTGAATATCACATCACTACACGAAACCTAATACCGAGATATACATGCATGCACACTTCGTCCAGCTTCCTAATCTACCAAAAAACCAAGGTGACTGAATGATATAAGGTGAAACACCAAATCCCCAACCTTGATAAAACATGCCAGCCCAAGGGGTTCGCGTTTTTAGTCATTCCAGCCTGGCGACTTTGTGTTTATTGAGAAGTTCTGGGCGTGACTGTGTCTGGGTTCGTGCCCCTGAGACGGTTCAGGAATGCGGGTCTTGCTTCACGCTGCTCCTGCATAGTATTAAGTTTTACCGATCTAGTTGTTGGATGATATTGAGTGGGATTAGTAGATAATTGTCTTTCCTGCCCCTTGTTCTATCTCCTTGAATTGATGTCATAGTCTCATGTTTCCAATGTTTCTATATACTCATGATGTATGTTTATGTTTACATACAAGTTCCATCGCTGTTCCATGCAACAAGGGCATCCATCCCTTCCCTTCATATACAGACTGACATCATCATCGTCATGTCACAGTGAAGCTCAACCTCACGAAAACACCCTCTCCAACAAGACCTCCCCAAAATTCCCCTCAACAGGCGACCCATCCATCCTCCAAATACGATTCCCCGCCGACGCACTCAACCAAAGACCATGGTCACTGGAACTCTCCTCATCGCCCTCAAGACGGTGCCGATTTCTCCTATCAACGATACAAGCCCCACGCGTCCACTGCCCCGTCGTCTCAACCCGGATATCCTCCGGCGACGTCGCACTCGGCACCCACCGCTTGTCGTCCGTCGTCAGCGCGTACCACACGCAGACAGGGTCGTGCAGGCTCAGCTCGGCGTCGTCGCCTACGTGGCCCTGGTGTAGACGCTCCAGTGTGCGGAACGTATGTCCCATGAACGCTGAGACCCACTCTGCGAGCGGCGAGCCTGCGTCGACTAGCGGAGCGGTTGTTGTGCGGAACTGTCCGCGCTTCATACCGTGTTTGAGGGTGATGTCTAGCGGGAACTGCCGTAATGTGAGTTGCTTGGGCAGCGTCGCGGGGTAGTTGGGGAGGCTTTTTGGGCTCTTTGTGTGCGGCATTGTTGTGTGGGGTCGGGGGGATGTTAGGGCGTAGACTCTTGCTGCTGCGACGGCGTCGGCATAGGCGTTGAATTCGCCGACGGGGGTTACCTGGGGTGGCAGTGTTAGCATACAGCCTCTCTTGATATATTAATGTGTGGATGAGTGTGTTTGAAGGGTGTAAGGGTTCAAGGGTATCTCGCGGCTTACATTTCCAGGCTCATTCACAGTACCCCCCATAACTACAACCTCCTTGACCCGAAGGAAAGCCTCGGGGTCAGCGGAAGACGCAAGCGCCAAATTAGTCAACGGACCGACAGCCACGAGTGTCACAGTGTCGGGGTCATTCTCGCGCAGCACACGCAGGATCTCTTCATGCGCGGGGCGCTTCGAAGCGACGTATAGCGGACGGGCAGGGTCGCCCACCGGAACGGGGTCGATCTTGGAAGGATCCGCAGACGGGTCGAAGAGGTGCTCCCAGGTTTCTTTGGGGCTCAGATGGGGGTGCTATACGTAGCCATTAGTATTTCTATGTTTGTAGGAATGATTGGAATGGTTGTGTATCATACACTAGCGTGGATCCCCCCCAGTCCGTCGGTTCCGTCTGTAGATAGCCGGTCAGTACTTGGATTTAGGTAGTCAGCTAAGAGTGACGGATATACTCACGGAAGTAATCAGCCAGCATCTTCTGCTCCTCAAGGGGATCCTCTGCTCCCACCGCTACAGTGGGAGGATGGGCGCGCAGAGCGTCGAACCCCTCGGGCCTGCCCTGCTCTCGACGCCACTGCATCTCGCGCTCCAGGATGTGAAACATGGAGACGACATTGCGGAGACAGCTGAATATGATCTTGGTCAGAAACTGTATATCGAAGGGGAGAGGAGATAGTCTCGTGGCTAACTGGCCTGACTTACCTTCTCACTTCGATATTGCCAAAGGTCAGCGAGATCAACTCGATTTCGACCTCCTCAGGTTTAGCCGACAGAGCGAGGAGAAGCCCGAGGATGTCATCGATGCCCTATGATTTTACAGTCAACTTAGCATGGGTTATTCAGAGCGAAGATGTCCATTGGAGCGGTATGATATGAAAGATGAGGGGTAAGGTGGCGCACGGCGCAACTCGCAACTGATAAAATTGCGAGATTAATTGACCAAGGTTAATACATACAGGATCAGTGTCAATGATGATTTTCTTGCCCATTTTTTCTAATGTGTCTTGCGTAATTCTGATTCTAACCAAAGGTTGCACAGCAGGCAGGTACCTATTTATTGACCGTTGTTGAATTGAGAAAGCCAGTGACGAAGGGCGGGTTGATCTGGCTATGTCATCATCGGACTCCACTTCGTTTGACGTTAGTCATGGCTATTACGGACTCCGGAGGGTTAGTTAGGGACAACTCCTGAGTATGTGGGTCCCTGGCTACGACTACTTCGAAGGGTCAATTTGGATGTGGCTATGCACTGGTAAGGTCCTTGCATATACAAATCGGAGGATTGACGAACAATTAACACCACACGGTCTAGAACTAGATAATATACTAGATAAGATTAACAATCTACTAGCACGATATAACCGCCCTGTTGGCACTGTTCAAATGAGAAAATTGGTAAATTGCTCGGTCATTAATTGTCATCGAAGTCACTGTATAAAATGCCACTGCTTTACAGGATAGAAGGCGAAAAAAGAAGATAAAATGATTGAGGGAGATATCAAAAAGGAAAAAAGAAAAACACATCCACCTATCAGTGGTGGTCAAAGCCCGCCCCCTTGTGCCACGGGCTCGCGTTGTTCTGGCCACGCTGCATGGTCTGAGCCGAAAGCATCGGGCTACCCATGGGCTGTCCATTGCTGGGGATGAGCGGCACGGATAGATCGACTTGGGACACGGGAGTGTGAGGCGAGGGCTGGTCCAGGCTGTGGCGGCCGCCGAGACCGTTACCGGGGGAGAACGCATCGCCGTACATGGGGTCCTTGTGGTCGCCGCGGGCGGTGGCGCCCAGGGCGTCCAACTCGGTCGACATCGGCAGGTTGTGCGACGATTTGATGAACGAGTCGCGGTTGTCGGCCATGGGCTGGTATCGGGTGTCCGGGTTCTTGGTGAAGATGGCGAAGGCGGAGGAGACCAGGATCGCGATCAGCAGGATGAGGATGAAGACGGCGTTGACGACGAAGAACACGACGCCCATGACACCGGTCACCAGGCCCGGCTGGTTGAACACGCCCGAGAAGAAGAGGAGGAAGATGGAGTTCAGGAATCCGACCGCGCAGATCGCGATGTTGGCCACGTTGGCTTTCTTGTCCATCCACGGGCGGAGGACACTGGCCGTGATCAGCATGGCGGCTTCGATGACCACCATGGCGACGGTCTGCACGACGGGGGCCGATTGCGCGCAGGCGATGAAGATGGCTTTGATGGCGAGATAGGCAAGCGCCGGGACGATGAAGTAGTACGCAGTAGCATTGTACTGGGTGTAGAGGATGCCCCACTTGGTCAGGCAGACGGGGTTGGCATAGAGGATGAAGGCCGGGTTCTGGTGGATTTGCACGGATTGCCGAGCGAGATGGATGACCTTGAACGCCGCGACGCCCACCGTGACCACGGTCAATAGGAGCATGAAGACCGCAAGGAAGATCTCGGCCGGTGAGTCCCGGTGGGTGAACTCCCACAGGCACAGAACACACATCTGGACGAACCCAACGAGGAACAGGCGGAACAAGGTCCCCTTCGCCTTGAGGTTCCAGTCGATTTCCTGGACCTTATGAGTTGGGATTTTCCCCTTCTTTTCCAGGAGGGTATAGATACCCCGGGAAATCCCAAGGCAGATCATGACGAGAATCACAAAGGCAAAGAAGAAGATCAGACCCGTCAAGAAGATATTGGTCAATTCGATCCCGGCGCGAAATCCGACTCGCTCGATGCCAGCGACGGAGACATCATCTGCCGTCCCTTTACTTCCTGCCCTCCTCACCAGGCCGGACGACCTCTTCATGATATCGAGCGACCGCTTTTTGACGACGTGAACGGAAGTGTCTTCAAGGTTGGATAAGATCATGGATGGTTTTCCGCCCGTCGCTCGCTGGTACCAAGTGGTCAGAGTCTCCAGGAATTCGACGTGTATGATCCCCATACTCCACTGAAAGTTCTGCGTCCAGGACTCCACGATCGGTGGCATATCGACCGCCAGCATACCGAACAACGCCTGAGATTGCATGAACCCGAACAGCGTGAGGACGTTTGTCGCAATGTGAATAGCAGTCTTGGATAGACCCATGGTCGACATCACAGCCGAGACGAGCACACCCAGCCCCGAGATGACCGCGGACGACCATCCCACTCCGGTCTGGTAGACCGTTTTACCGTTGGTAAGGGATGCTTCGATACAAGAGATGCTGTCGCCCGTGTCGGTCTGGTTGATGTAGACTCGGATGGTAGCGTCCAGATCCGGCACCGAATATGCGATCCCTACGGCTATGGTTAGGACCATCCCCCACAGCTCCTGCTTGCTTTTTAAGCACAAAGAAAGGTCTTACCAGGAATATTCTTGGCCACATCCTTCGGAACATCGACGTTGGTGTCAATAGGGGGCATTTTGCCCGAGCGCAGGGGACACAGCCCGTCCATTTTCATTTCGCACGGGTCCATCTCCTTCCGCAACGCCTCGTAACCATAGGCCGTGAGGACCACCGTGGCACTCACTTTGCCGGAAATCGAGGATATCAGATCAAAGTTCAGGGATAAGGTGCTGTTGTCCGGATAGAAGATTGCTTCAAAGTGAGATGATGTGATGCCTTGGCCCTCGGAGCACAGAGCCAAGGAGTCAGACTTGATCATGTCAATAGCCATGACCAGCGGGCACAGAAAGGCCGCGATCAAGTAAGAGGACAACTGCATCTTGGCCAGTTGTCCCTAAAAGGGTTTCAATAAAAGGGTGGGAAGAATGGTGTCTGCGATGTAAAGAGTGATGCTCGCAAGCGAGGAGATCGATAATAACAGGAAGTTTCAAGCAAAATGAGAGACTAGTCCACCAGGGCTCATGAGGTTCTTGTAGCGCCAGCGACGAGATAGGACGATGATAGCTCTGTCCTGAAGTTGTACAGAGCTTTTGATAACGAGCGTGGTATTCGGGAGGGGTGGGAGGAGGCCCTCAAAGCCAACAAGCGCCGATGAAACCAAGATCAGAAGGGATTGAATGAATGTATAGGATCGGAGTGACGGAGAGACCGCAATAGATGGCGCATTGAAAATACTCAAGCCTAAATAAAATCAAATGAAAAATAGACCAAAAGGTAAAATAAAAAATAAAAAATCGAAAATAAAAAATAAATGGAAACGGTAGAAAATAAATCTAATAACAAAATTAGATAATAAAATACATGAGAATTAAAGAAGAGAATGGGCAGGACGAAAACGGGCAACGGAGAACGATGGGGGGAGAGAGAGGGAAAAAGAGCGTGGTTGGAAAGACCGAGTGTATGGACATGGATGGATGGGTCTCCTTTTCTTTTAGTTGGCCGTCCCTGGACTCTCTGGCTTGAACCAACGAACAAGGTCTTTGTGGGATTGACGGGCGACGCGAATCGCTGAGACGGACCGTGATGGGATCGTCGAAGGATTATTATTACACAGCCACCCGGATAACTCAGGAGAAGAGAGGGGAAATCTTCCCATGTCGTCGAGTATAAGCTCGCCCCCTTCCCCTCAAGTTACAAGATCCATGGAATGTAAATTAAATCAAATGCTTGCACATGATAGACTACTTACCGTCGTCCCTTCCCCCCCGCAAGAGTGTTTGGGTGTTGTGTGTCTGGAACAAATGTAGCCGGAGGATAAGAGGAAGAATAAATTATCAGCCTTACTGGCGGCCGTCACCCTCTCCATCGACATGATCGTTTTTGTTAGGTGTCTGGACGATCACTATCATCACTAAACGAAGATTGGCTCGTTGAACCCCTGGACCCAGAAGTCCTTTGGTTTTTTCTATTATTTTTGCCTCCCCCCCATAGGACGGGTCCTCGTGTTAGGCCAATATATCCCGTAGATGAAATCATGAGCATCTGCCACTGGTGTCAGTTGCCAATTCTCATATGCTCCTCCGGCTGGACCCGGCGGATGGTACCTTTTTTCTGTTCTTCTTTTCTTCTTCTCTTTGCCTTCTTTTTTTTTTTATGGGGAAGCCCTCCCAGTCTTGACATGGTAAACTAGGTGACGTAGTGGAGGCGGGTTGCCCCTTTTCACAGGCCCACCGCATCCAAAACTCAGCTGGTGAGTAAATGAAGATCATAACATGGCGCGATCCGGGGGGGCACACCATAGGCGCACATTCGCACCGTCCCTTGGCTCGAGGACCCCTGTGGGGTTACCGCAGAAATAGAAACAGAAAGCCTAGGATGTGACTGCGTCAGCATGCTGATCGAAGAAACTAACAAGTCATGACCCTTCCGCGGGTGAAGGTTATATATATGAGGCGAATACCACACCTAATCTATCAATGAATCGTTGGGAGAAGATCCTTGATCCTCCTGTTCATGACGACATCGTTTTAGATGAAAAAGCGAGCCGAAGTCGCACGCCCGTTATGTGAAGTGGAAACAAGATCTTTTTAAGCCGCAGTGGACAGCCGCTATTCCAGCCAAGGCCTGGAGGTCTTGAAGACAAAGCCAGCCATTCTGTCCGACATTTAAAAACAATGACAACTGGTCGTTCGATTGCTTGACGTTGGCCAATGTCAAGTCGACTGGGGAGACCCTGACAAGCGAGGCATGCTGCCGATGGAGAGGATAGCTAGCCTTCCCAATAGACGGTTCTTGGAGGGCTTGGAAGGCTTGGACGGGGCTCTAGAGTTCAGGGGAAGACTGGTTGTGTCGCACGGGTCAATAGTTGTCTAGGGAGTGAGACTGGAGTAATGAGGCGGAGCGCCAGCATTCTGTATACGAATGACTGTGGAACATGGAGTAAGTTTCAGATTTGAGCAGTGAACACACTCCCTTTCACTTCAATAGTTTACTTCATACTTATATGCATCACGTGGTGCATGCCTACTTATTCATAGTCACTTTCATAATTGATCATGAAGGCATCCTTTCTTTATATCTTGTTTTCTCTATTTTTCTTGTGCCCCCAAGTCATACTTTATGCACAGGGATGAGTTTAGAAGTCAACCAAGGCAGAGGACCTCACCACAGTCAGAAATAAGACAAGGTGAGGTTACATCCAAAAGACAGATGACCAAGCACGCAAACCTCGTGATATTTCAAGACATTTCATTTGTGTCGGTCGCCACCCGAATGAGTGTCAATATATTGGTGGTCATACTTGGGATAGGTGAGATGTCTTGGAATTTCATTTTGTTGTTGGGCTGTGTCTCGCTTCATAAAATGGTGCACGGAGACTGGGTAGTTACCAGTTGACTAGTTACTCAAGAGGATACCGCTTATCGTGAACTCGGGGAACGAATTTCTTCCATAACTCTAGAGTCTCGTGTCCAGATATCTATTGCTTTCCCGGGGGTTCAGCGGAGACTCCAGACTACAGAGACAGAGACGTGGCCTGTTCAACCAAGATCCCGTATTGTCAATACGGACGTGGTAACCACTGTACTCGGTGTCTTTGATCCGAATACAGAATGGATACACGCCATCATGATCCTTCCTGGTGATTCGTGTGCGCATTTGATGAAACCATCCGTCGGCCTTGTCTAGACGTCGGGAGACAGGGTTACCGCAGGATGGCATTTCCTGGAGCGAATGAACAGCTTGATCTGTTACACTTGGACCTATCTAGGCCATCCTCTCATCATAATGGGTGACCATATGATTGACAGTACGGACATTGTTTACCTTGTCCAATACAGGTTTGTATTGCGTAGGTCATAGGTCGAGGACAACAATGTCTTATCTGTCACTTAGATGCGATGGACTGGATATTCCTCCCTAGACCTGTTGCTGTTTAGCTGTGTCGCATTGGCATCTCCAGGTGAAGTAAATGTTCTGTGGTGAGCTTACTCTTCTCCTTAACCCGTAAGGGACCAAGAGAAGGGAGCGTAAAGGTATACAACAAAAGGGCATATCTTTATTCTTATACAGCCAAGATCAATCGTCGATATCTCCAAATCTGCAAGTTCGTACTTCACTGTGGTAGATCCATTCCACACCTTTGTCAATTGAACTCCTCCCCTTTTGAGGAGCGTACACCAATGATCACATTGCGCTGAGTGGAGTCTCAAGTCAGTCAGCAGTGCAAAGACCACCTTGATGAATTCACATGATCATGATATATGGAGTACTTTAATCTCAGTGGTGAGTATCGGAAATGGCGATCAAGAGCTTAGCAGTACCTTGAAGTCAACAATACTGATTCTTTACTGCAGTCAAGGTGGAAGACGTAATTACCGTGTATTGAAACATCATTTCATCCGGTGACCGGTGACTAGTTCGTAATTCGGCGCCCCCTTCATCTTCGGCCGTTGTCCTCTTCTTCCGCCGTTCTCTTCAACTCTGCTTGTCTCCTTTTCCTCCTCTTCATATCCCTCACCGTATTGCTGCAATTGTCTTCCGAACGTACGCAATTTACTCTTCCGCAACCCTAAATTCCTCCCTAACACGTCCTCATTGAGGTTGTAGATTGCGTTGATGCTCCTCGGGTGATCCGCTTTTCTCGCCTCTTACCCCGTTCTCGCACGCCTCAGTCTTACCTCGAAGCGCTACGGAACCGGAAAACCACCCCCTGCTGACGATCAACGGTTACTTCGGTCATTCCTAGGTCATCGCGATTCTGCGGAAAGCTTCACCTGCTCCGAGGGATTGATTTCGATAATTGATAATTGTTCCGGTCCATTGGAAGCTAGCCACAGCGCAACCGCAACGCAATCTGGCCTCACGGCAATTAGCTTCTCTTGGCATTTCTCTATCTTCTCCTTCAACCCGCACTTGATCTTCCCATCCTTCCCAGCTCGATGATCTAAAGTCAACTTGAAGATCTGCGAGAGGTCGCCCGCTTGGTATCTTCTCGCACATGTACTAGTTGCCTAGTTGACAGCTGTCTCTTTCCCACTCTTGACACGCGTGCGCCGGTTGCTCCAGTTCCACCGCACGGATTCGCAATCCTCTTTTTTTCACCCCTTAACCCGTCTGTATCTTGAATAACTACTGTAAGTATGACGATTTCGTCTGTTTCCCACGCCATTGGCTGACCCTGCTTTCATTAGTGTCGAAAATGATGAACCCCTACATCAGCTGGGCCCTCGTGCTCGTTGTGGCCGGTGGCCTCGGTTGGTACTACAATGGCCCGGTTCCCAAAACGAAATCCCCAATAAAACCCGCTACCGAGAAGATCGAGGCTGCAGTGAATGTGAAGAAACCGAAGCGGAAAACGAAGAAGTCGCCGGAACCCTCGCCTGCCCCCGCCTACCAGGAGGAAAAGTCCGTGTATGAGCCGCAGGTTGATGAGGCCGATGAGGAGATTGACCAGAAGGAGATGGCCAAGCGCTTTACCGCTGTCAAGAACGGAGTCACCCCTGGTGGCGGTAGCAAGTCGCAGAAGAAGAGCAAGAAGGCCGCGGCTTCCACCCGGGCCGAGAAGGGCGACAATCGCTCCGTTTCTCGTACCTCGTCCACCGGTGCGGATGCCGATGATGATCTGTCCTCCGCCGGCTCTCCCATGGTCAATGCTGCTACTTCTTCCGCCGATTACGTTTCGGATATGCTCGAGGCGCCCGCCCCCGGAGCTTCCGTCCTCCGTGTCACTGGTTCCATGGACTCCGACTCCCAGAAGAAGAAGAAGACCCAGTCCTTCAAGCAGGTCGAAACCAAGAAACAGCGCCAACAGCGTCTGAAGAACGAGGCTCGCAAGCAGCAGGTCCAGGAAGCTGAAGGAGAGAGACGCAAGCTGCTGGAGAAGCAGCTGCACTCCGCTCGTGAAGCTGAGCGTCAGGCGGCAGCCAGCTCGAAGCCGTCGGCGCCTCAGACCAATGCCTGGCAGACGAAGAGCGCGGCCAACGGCGCCAACGGCACCAACGGCACCAACGGTGTCAGCAGTGCCCCCAAGCCCGCCCGGCCTGCCTCGCTGGACCTCCTGGACACCTTTGAGCCCGGCGCTCCGTCCGCTCAGCCCGCGAAGCAGTGGAGCCAAGGGATCCCCACGGAGGAGGAGCAGATGCGCCTCCTCGGTGCTGGCGATGACCAGTGGACGACTGTCCCCAGCAAGAAGGTCAAGAAGAAGGGTGGCAAGACTGACGAGAGTGAGGCCAGCGCCACGGAGAGCCTGCCCCCCTCGTCGGCCCCTACTCCCGCCCCGGTCGAGCCCAAGGTGAAGGTGACCCCCACCTATCTCCCTGACGCTCTTCGCTCCGGGCAGAAGGGTCACCCGCTCGACTCCGACTGGGCCGCTTGAATGACATGTCTTAAATTATCTCCGCTCCCAAAGCCACACCGGCGAAAGGGGGCAGCACCTTCCATCTCCGCGGGGAACGCGCAGCTTGGACTGTACCTACTACTATCACTGGAGGATTTGGCGTTCTCGGTCATCGACTTTATCACCAGTCAACCCTGTTGGCGGGGCATCGCATTGCTGAGGTTTTCGGCGACGGACGATTCCCACCGACGGCACAGAAAACACAAAAAATATCCCTGAACAGAAAAAAGCAAGGTAGAGAGGAGTGGCATGTATTCTTTGATATGATCTTTATCATTCTATTGTTGTTCTTTTTAGGTTCCGGCTTCGTGTTTTCTTTTCTTTACCACTTCTCCGTCCTTTTCTTTTCTCAATTTCCTAATCTTTTTTTTTTTTTCTTTTTTTTTATCATTGTGGAAACCGACCGTGTTCTCCCGGTTATGTTCCGCATGACGCTGTGGACTCGTGGCCGAGTGGAATATTCAACCGGGGTTCATTGTATCTTTCTTCCGACCTGGACGGCGTCCTGATACCTCCATCTAGGCTAGTCGAGGCTCAGACGAAATTGTGGAGTATGATCTGCAAACGTTCGTATATCCACTGAGCGACAGCTGGCCTTTTTCTATTTTTGTTTCTTCACGGAGGCTATGTTCGATCGTCCAGATCAGGTTCCTGTTGTTTTGTCTCTCTGTTCCATGCGCTTTTGTTTTACTACCGGAATTATGCTTGGTTTGGGTGGGGGGAACGAAGAAGATCTGGGATCCCCCGATTGATGTGGGGGATCCGGTGTATGTATCTTAATACCATGTATATCCATCCACTGAAGAATGATTAATGCGGGTGCTTTGACAAATTCAATTCCTGTGGGGAGACTGTTTATTGGCGTAGCGATGATCCCCATTGCATCGGACTGTGGAATTCTATTGAGGTTTCTGAGGTTGATTGAAGGAGGCGCAGGGCGGCAGTCGACCATACCGCAAGGGGACTAGCGGCGAGTTCCGGTTATCGTGTCCTGAACTGGCCTGAAAGTCACGGACCACCACAGCAGGCGGAGCAGAATAACAACTTCCCTTCCACCCTGGCTCCTTTCACCTGGCCTTCTTATACTATTCTCTTCTTCTCGAATTTGACCAGCTCTCTATAGCTTTGGTCTCTTTTCTCTCTCTTGCGCTTCGTTTCTTGCTCTTCCAATCTTCCGGTTTGCCCGTTTATCGTTTGTTTTTCCTTCCGCCACTGCCGAGGATCAGGATTACCCACTATACCCGGCGTCATCCACCTCCCTTCAGCCCTCTTTTGGTTCTCTATTCTAAGTAACAGAAACCAATAAACCAGAAGACCCCAGATTATCCCGCCATGGCGCAAATCCGGGGCACTGCGGGATACAATCTCGGCCATCAGAACCCCTTCCAGGGTCCTGGGCGAGCTGATGCCATTGACGATCCGAGCCCCTTGGATGCGATCCGAGAACAGACCAGCAAGATTGAGGACTGGCTGGACACGATGTCCGACCCAATCAAGCCGTATGTTGCTCTTCCAAGAACCGGAGGTTCTTGAAGTGTCACTCCAGATCATGTTGTATGAAGGAGGCATCGACAATGGCGATTTTCCTGCTAACACCGTGTCTTCTTTGCTCCGCAGGTATCTACCAGCTTTTGGCCGATTTCTGATCGTGGTCACCTTCATTGAGGACTCATTGCGGATTCTGACCCAATGGAGTGACCAGCTCATGTACCTGCGTGACTACCGAAGCAGTAAGCCATACCCTCCTTGCTTTGCGACGAAACGGGCCTTTGCTGGTCCCGTCGCCGACCCCTAGTATACAAGCTGCCATGTCAGAAGCATGGGCTGACTCTACATCTCCTGTAGTTCCCTGGGGCGTCACGCACACCTTCCTCCTGTTCAACGTGCTTGCGATGTCGGTATGCTCAACACTGGTCATCGCCCGCAAGCACACCGAAATCGCCGTCGCCGGCCTACTGCTGGTCGTCATCACCCAGGGCCTCGGATACGGACTCATCTTTGATCTCAACTTCTTCTTCCGCAACCTCAGTGTCGTCGGCGGTCTTCTCATGGTCCTGTCCGATTCGTGGGTCCGCAAGAAGTTCGTGCCCGCGGGACTGCCTCAGCTCGACGAGAAGGACCGCAAGATGTACGTCCAGTTCGCGGGACGCGTTTTGCTGATCTTCCTCTTCGTCGGGTTCGTCTTCTCCGGCCAGTGGAGCTTGTGGCGTGTGATCGTTTGTCTGTTTGGCCTCGTCTCCTGCGTCATGGTCGTCGTTGGCTTCAAGGCTAAGTTCAGCGCCATCATGCTGGTGTTGCTGTTGAGCGTGTTCAACGTGCTCGTCAACAACTTCTGGACGGTATGTTCCATCCTCAAATGCGGGACGCGTGCGTGCAATTACTAATCCCAATGCAGCTCCACCCTCATCACCCCCAGAAGGACTTCGCCAAGTACGATTTCTTCCAGATCCTCTCCATCGTGTAAGTGACGTCATACACCCTTCTATCTGCTCCGCAACCACTAACACCGGTACACAGCGGAGGTCTGCTGCTCCTTGTCAACATGGGCCCGGGTCAACTGAGTATGGACGAGAAGAAGAAGGTCTACTAAAGAGTGGACACCGTCGAGTAAAGCACGAAGACAAAGTAAACGGAAAACAAAGAAAAAGAACGAGTTTGGTCGAACTTTATGGCTCGTGACATGATTTTTTATTTATGGGCCTAGGGCTAGTGAGACCCTTATGAATATTGAGACTTGATTGCATTTCATTTATTTCATTTTCTTTCCTTTCAACTCTCAATCCATCATCCACATCCTCGGGAAGAAGAAAAGCATATTCCGCGGTGCCCTTCATACTGGATTATATTATCTATCTATTTAGCTAGCTAGCTATCATTTAGGGAGGAACTGACAATGGATCATTTGTCGGGTTCCAGCTTGGATTGGATTAGCCGCATATCAACCAGTCAAGTATTCAATGCAGAGGTGAATCCATGCATTCATCTATCTATCCATGTGTTTTTTGTTTCATAGTGTTTTCTATATGCCCTGATCTGACAATACCTCGGGATATTCCATGTTGCAACCACTTGATCTTACATTTGGGGCGTTTCCTCCTTGCATACGTGGGTCTACACTACTTCTCCGACGCCCTTGCTCTGGACTTTTCTTCCGGTGCTATTTTCGTCATCTTATTTACCCTTCCTTGATTGTTATATATTATTGGGCAAAACAATAAGCGGTATCTGTCTACTTGCATATACACTAGATATTCCGATCGCGCATGTATTGTATGTATCTATGTATCCATCTATCTATGGTGAACAGAACCCGACTGGTGGATCCAACGTATAACTCTCTTTATTTATGTATGTAAACTTTGGCTAGATTGTGCTTCATAGATCCAGAGGATAACTATCGGTTTCGATGACCATATATTTCAAGACCTCTGTATTCATGAGTACAATGACCATGTGCCCTGCGAATGATGATGCCAGATGCTGTATGCATACTTAACTTGAGGCCTTTGCTCTAGTCACTAACTGTAGTTTGGTGGTTAGTCTGGTCAGGTGGTAGATAGGCTCATGTTGTATAGAAGGAAGTATCCAAGTTGAGACCCTTTTTCATGTCCATTTTCCCTGGGAGGTGATTGGGATTTAGCGATTCGTGAAAGGATAGAGAGAGAGAAGGAAAGATAATGCTTTACAACACATAAGACGTCTGGACGGTTTCGATTCGAAGCTCTATCACATTCAATCAGTAACATCCAAGTCGATTCAATCATTCATTCCATCTTCGTGTCTCCATATAGTAAATGATATTTGCTGGGTAGGTACGTAGGTAGGTATTGTAGGTCTTGCTTCCTGCGGTAGTATAGATACCTTCTTTACTAGAGGTAAGTGAGCAGGTGCGAGATGTTCAGAAGGTAGCAATAGAACTATTTGGGATTTTACTTTCTGCTTGGTATCGCAGAAGAAATATAGCTTGTTGCATGCCTTATCTACTTCAAAAGGTTTAGATAATATATCCTATCTACTCCTGAAAACGCCGTCTCTAATATACAATAATCAATGCATGCCACTCAATATACTTCCTACCCAACTAGCACGCATCCACTCAACTATACCACCCCACGTATCACTCTAACCTCTACTCATAATTTGAACAGTTCACACAATTGATCCATTGATCTCCTATCTATAACTAAACAAACTAAAAAAAAAAAAAAATAAAGCCAAACAAACATCGAACGCTCAAATGCACCCACGCAAGACGGAAGGCAAAAAAAAGAAAGATATACCTAGGTTATTATTGTAGTGTACACGATGGAAAGTACAGACACAGAGTCATCATATCCATCCAGAGAAGTAAAAAGAAATAACTGATGACTAAGGAGAGTAATCCACGCACGGCAGTTTAAAACAGATAGATAAAGATGTTTAGAACTCCTGCGCAGGGACGGTCGGAATGGAAATTGATAGGAAAGAGGGAAAGAGGGGAAGAAGGAAAGAAAGGTAGGCAGTATAATGGGAGACTTAGGAGAATAGCCAGGCAGGCTACATCCTCACGTTCGATTTCGTGCTGGTCCTGCCATTCTGTGCACATAGCTTTATCTATTCGAACGGCGAACATGCTTTTCTGATGTTTCTGGCTCCCATGCAGAAAAGGATAAAAGAATGACCGCTTTTTGATTGCTGCCAACGCCGAGGAAAATGGAAAGGGTGTATTGAGTACCGCCCTTGGAATCAGAAAAGGGGAAAATGAAAAAAAAGCCACGAGAAAGCCAACTCCCAGCATAACAGAACGCAAAGGATGAAAAGCGAGGAAGGGGGCGCAGTGCGACAATCACCCTAGATATCCATACTCCAACGCCACGGCCGGATCTGTTCCAAGTGGCCTACTGCAACGTCGTCGTGAGGGTCGTTGATTTCCACATGGACACACTGGACCTTACTGGTATCCCGCTGCAAGGTGGAAAGAGTTTTGGAGATCTGGGGGTGGTGCACTTTATCGCCATCGTGCATGGCCTTGGAGACTGGCCGGGAAACGGGGGTATCGGGAGAGTGTAAGGAGACACCTGGAGAGGAGTCGGTCGGAGAAGGGGGTGACGAGGAATCTGACTGGGAATGAAGGGACTCAGGGATGACGAATTTCGATTCATCGCGGCCGTACACGGAGGCCGAGGGCAGGAGTTGAGGGACACGACTGTCGGGACCAGCAGGTTCCCGACTGCGATAGCCACTGGGGGTGACGCGGATCGAAGGCTTAGGTTTCCGTTCAGGGACGCGAGAGGAACGGTGGGATAATTCTTGCGGTGAAGACGTCGGCCCGGTGGCATTCTTTTCGGGGACGGTTCGTCGGGTGCCTTGAGTCGGGCTGCTGCTGGAAGAGCTGAACCGCTCCTTGCCGGCCATAACCTTGGCACTCGGCGGGGGCTGCAGCATCCATCGCGTCTCCGCCTTACTCTTAGGCCCACTGACGATCGGCGGGTGCAGGTCGTTGACAGGAGGCACCCGAGCGATGTAGTATTTACTATTCGAGTCCTCGTCCGCCTTGCCCCGACCGGAGAGTCCAACCGACGAACCCTTCACCTCGACCTCTTCACCCCATAGCGGTTCGTCCTCCCGTTGATTCCGCATCCGATTCCACCGATCGCCGAGCTGGTGCTTGAGCACGCTCTTGTCCTTCTTCTGCAGCCGGTCGAGCTCCAACTCGGAAGCATCCAGGGATCGTGCATCGGTATTCCAACTATCCGTCCGACGATGGTTGTTGCGATGCCTTCGCGGCGGGGGTCCGGGGCCCAGGGCGATTTCCTCATTCCACCCTTGATTAGTGCTAAATGCGGTCGGCTGGGCAAAGGGCCGGGGTTGGTCGGTCACGACGGCGTCGATCTTGGCGTTCTCGCGGCGCGATCGGGCAGCATCTTTCATGCGTTTTCGACGGTCGACTGAGTTCGCACAGGGGGTGCAGGTAGCGTAGTAGAAGACGGCCGACTGGACGCCCCGATAAAGCCACATAGTGACGAAAGCGGAGGCGGAGTGACGACAACTTTAGTTCCAACGGATAACGTGTAACGAAGTGATACCGTTGATCCGGCGACTACGGACAGAGCGTTCAGAAGAACAGACGAGCCCGTAGGCACGAATAAGTACAGTCCGAGGTGTGCAGCGACGGTGACGAGAACATGAAGGGCGTTCTTGGCGTTTGAGAGCTGGCAGGTATAGATAACGGAGGTCGCCCTGCGACCTACAACGTATGGGCGGTGAGATAGGAGAAGAAGGCGGGAAAAGACTCAATACAACGAGCACGACTGAAGACGAAGTCTATCTCCAGGGATTAAGGGAACTGAGGGGTAAGGAAAGGAGCGACAATCAGGCAGAAGAATTAGAGAAGAGGGGAGAGTTGAGGAGGGAAAAGAGAGTGAGAGAGGAGAAGAGAGAGAGAGAGAGAGAGAGAGAGAGAGAGGAAAGAAAGGGACCGATAGGACGGAACGGGAGTGACAGGGCCAGCCAGCCTCAGGCAGTTAAGGGGCAGGACGGGACGAAACAGTTTTGGGAGAGACTTTCTCTTGGCACGGGCGGGGCGCGGATTAGGGAAAGAAACGGCGCAGTCAGAGATTGATGATCATTTAGTTCGCTAGGAACAAGGGGCTTATATTGGTTTAATCGATTGATTTCATGGACATTTGGTTGTTTAATTAGATGTGAGAATTTTTTCAAAAAAAAAAAATGTGAACTCCCAAGATCCATATGCAATCTCCTATTTCCCTGGCCCGACAGTCAGCGGTGCCGAGTTCCCTATCCGGGGAATCCTGGCGTCCTGTTCATGCGGCGGGTGTCATCTCCCTCCCGAACTAGATAGTCACCATTGTAACACTAAAATCAGTAAGGTAGAGTGAGATTGTGTAGTATTCCTTTCTTCGTCCTAATAGTAGGTATCAATGTAGATCTCTCGGTCACAGGTGTCATGTTGGAGTCCCTGAAGGGATTCCATTCCTCCGGGTCTAAGTATAGAGAAATAGAACACATGGAACATGTATCCGTACATTAGTTTGGACCCCACGATGCGTTGTGCTTTGCTTTTTCCCTTCGTTCCCCAAATAGAATCATCACCGCTGATTGGGGTGTGGTCGTGGACATTCCCCCGTCCCAAATTCCAACAGTAGACGGGCCGCACGGATGGCCATCTTGTGCTCCCTGTAACACCCCATCCCATCCCTTGTCAAACCTTGTGTCCACCGTTCCGAGGCTCATAAGTTCCCATGGCGTCCTCCGGAAGAGCGTGATCGGTCCATAGACAGAGGGTATTCGCGGACGTTCAGACCATGTTCACAGCCACAAGGATCGATTCTGATCTCATCCCCCATGCATGCAGGCCGCGGCATGGTCGTGCGCCCCGTCCCCGCATGGTCCCCAGCCAAACAAGTGACGCTTTTCGACCGCTTGCCACCTCACCACCCCCTTCCCTTGAGACCAATAAAAAAAGAAAATGAAGAAAACCGGCAAAAAAAAAAGAGTAAATCATGACGAAAACAACCAGCTCGACTAAGCATGCCAAGCCAAGCCAACCGAACCTCCCCACGTCATGGTTCGATCATCCGCCACCGTAATCGTGAGCAAATTAGAGACAAGAGAGACAACAAGACCACTGGAGAGCGAGCGAGCGAACGAGAGACAGCGAGAGAGGTAGGGAAAGGGAAGAGAGAACCAGCCAGCTAGCCTCCTGTCGTAGGCAAACCGTCGTAAGCATGCATGCAGAGCCTCACGCGTTCTTCGTGCCCCGAACCACTTCACCCTTGACCTTCGTCCAGTCGATGTCCTCGTCGATCTTCTCGTCGACCTCACCGCACACCACCACGTTGTCTCCGCGGATTAAGTAAAGCCCGTGTTCGATCTGCGAGCTCGGCTCGGGGTCGTCTGGTGTCCGGATGATGCGCTCGATCGTGTCCAGGAGGACTAAGTTTGTTAGCTGGTCGGTGGACAGCAGTGTGCCCAGCAGGGTGCGGCCGTCAACGGTCAACACTAGGATTTTCTCTGGAACGCGGTAACCGCGAATTAGCTTGCTTCCCTTGCGTGAAGAGTTTGTATTGATCTAAGTTCCTTACTGTTGATATAAGAGTTGAGAGACATTGTGGGGTTCCGAAGGTGAGAAAAAAAAAAAGGAAAAGTCGTGAAATAGGATTGATATGGTATCTCCGAGCTCGAATGCGCGCGTCGGCTTGAAACCCTGAATCACGATATGCTCCCCCGCTAGTCACAGCTATTTCGGTTCGTCGGGAGTCGCGCTCGTCTCTTACACGAACAGGCGGGAATGACCGGGGTCCTGGACGTAGACAGACACAGTAGGTCGTGGTGGGATGACCGCAAAAGGTTTCAAGATCGCCCCGACTCGGAATTTGGTGAGACAAGTGATGCTACCCGACGTGATGGGAGAGCTCGCGGGCGGTGTCGTCCTCGGCACACGTTCTGGACAGTAGCGTAAATACGGATCGTATATGGTCGGGCCGTTGATAAGGTCTAGTCTGGGTAATGGTGAGTTATGGAGCGAGGAGCGTGGCCGGCAATTGTAAGTGTTTGCGCTGCTTCTCCGGGTCCCGTCACCGTCGCCGATATGGTTTACATGGTCACGTGAGCATATACGGACCGCAATCCATGTCCATGGTGGAAGTGTTCTACCAAGACAGCGTCTCCACTAATTCCTGATCATTGTGCATGATGAAACAATTGTTGAGAAAAATACTTCAAGGAGTCATCTCATGCAACCGTAAGCAATTTGATGAAGGAGAAGTTTCTTTAATTCTAGTAAATCCACTGATCCAGAATAGCATGATACAATTTATGGAATATATTGATTCGCTACTACTGCCTGCTACTTTGCACATTTGCTTCAACCAGTCAAAGCCCTCAGATCCAACGGCACACTGCTCCCCCGCCCAGCGCGATACCGTCGAGCGCCCCCAACGAAAGGCCGAGGCTTGGGAAGAAGCCCCTCGGGTTGGAATTTAAATCGATTGTCATCTACCCGAATAGCTCCGTGCGCACCTGGACCCAGAGGACTCGATCCCAGCGACGGCCCGCCGTTCGTGAGGGTGAAAGCACTGGAGTCCAGAGGGGAACGACTGGGGTGGGAACTGGCGGGAGTGTCGAAGGAAGGTGGAGGCTGAGACGGCTGACTAGGAGGAGGTGGCGGAGGTGCAGCGGGCGCCGACGCTGCTGGTGGGGGTGGAGGGGGAGCGGACGGGGTGTGATGGCCAAGGGCGTTCCTCGCTGCTTGTACGGCTATCGAAGCAGCGGATGTCCCATTAGGCGGCAACGGGGCTGATGATGGAGGCGGGGGCGGCGGAGTAGATCGCGCAGGCGCTGGAGGAGGAGGAGCTCGGGGGGCTGACGCCGCAGGCGGAGGAGGGGGTGGCGCCGACGGACTGGCGGAGGGAGGTGGTGGGGCCGGAGCAGAGGGTTTTTTGGAGAATATAGGTGGAGGGGGTGCTCTCCCGGAACCAGGCACTGGCGGAGGCGCGCGAGGTGGTGGAACATCGGGGGCTGACTTTGCCGACGCAGTTGAGATAGTTGACGACGGTCGAGAGCCCGGCCTCGGCGGAGGTTTCCTGAGATTCGCGACCAGCGGGTTCACCGGAGCAGGTGGAGAGCCTGCCGAAACCGGGCGTGGAGGAGGACGAACGCCTGGAGGCTTTGGAGCTGAGGCAACTGGGGGCCCAGAGCTATCATTTTCCGACTTGTATGGCGAGTCACGGTTTGCACCGGTATCGACACCTCCTCGACTGCGCAACTTGGGCATCCCGCCAGCAAGAATCCCAGCAAGCTGCGGAGGAGCTCCCGGTGCGCTGTCACCTCCTGCTCCTGCTCCGCTATCACTCCGTCCTCGGCTCGCTGCTCCTGGAATTGGCGGTGCTTGTGCGGTGGGGGGCTTCTTCATTCCTGGAACAGGCGGGGCACTTGCAACGGGAGGCGCACCGCCCGATTTCACTCCCCCCGAGACCTGTGGTGCCGACCTGTCGTTGGTAACGGCCTTCTTCAGCCGGGCGCCCTTGTTGATATCTGACAGGAGCGCGCCCTATCCAAGAGATTAGTAGTCGACCGGGGCGGGCGCTTCATCTTCGTTCGTATCTTACCCGATCTTTCACCTCCGATTTGGGCGGTCTATTTGGTAACATGGCTGGCGGGGGAGGAGGAGGAGGACCACCCATCGCGCCGGGTGGCGGCGGGGGCGGGGGCGGCGGAGGCATGCTGTCGAGACAACTATTGAAGACAATTGGGTATGGCGCTCAATGCCGGGGAGATAGGGATGAGGGTCGATGAGGTCACTTAGGGAGAACGATACTCCAAAACGTTAGGGATCATTTGTTCTTGCCTTGGAAGGCCAGGGTAAACCGAATAAAAAGGAACCCAAGACGTAGAGATGTCGTCCAGGTAGCTGTGTTGACAAGAGGGGAAGGGGAGAAGGGGAGTGAGATAATGGAGGGTCAGGTAGATGGTTCGTCAGAGGGACTCCAGGCTCCCTCCGGAGTTCAACGCACTAGTGGCGGTGTTGCCGCCGGCAGTATGTCTCCGCCTTGGCGAAGTAGACGGTAAATATCCATATCGACTTTGTCGTGATCGGCATCTTTCACCACAGTCCCACAGTTCCATGATGATGATGAAAGGCATTGCCCTCCCCCGCCAGAAGGGTTCGACTCCCCAGGCGCTTGTGTGTCAGTTGTGCCAGATATCTGCTTCGCCCGCTCCCCGCCAGCCGTCTCACTTTGCCCGACCCTATACGACCAGACCGTTCACTCGCAAGACGGAAATCGGACAAGTGCGCCCCAGAAATGCGCTGAACCGACCGTTGACCTTCCCTCGATCAATCCCGAGACGATTCGCATCCTCGGCGCCCGACTCCCCCGTCCCGCAGACCCCCGAGGCTACCCTTGCGCAGATCGAACAGGAGCTCGACGAGCTGCGAAACACGGACGCGGTCCCTTCGAACGGTACGGTCGATAGCCTTTTACACCGGTGCCAGGAAATCGCCGAGGCGCTGGCTCTCCCCGAGCAAGACTCAAAGACACCAGCCCCTCGAAAAGACGACAATGAGATATCGCACCTCCTCGACCTGGAGGAAAAGAACCAAACACGGAAGCGAACCAAGTCCTCCCCCAAAGACACGATCCCCCAACTCTCCAGCGCCGTCTCCCGCGTCGCCTACGAGCTTCTCTCCGACGAGAAGGTCTTCATCACTCCCGAGGCCCTAGCGAGCTACTCCAAGATCCAAACGCTGTTGAAGCGCCCAGACTACTTCCCCGAGATCTTCTACCAGTACGCGCACAAGCCCCACCCCGAGGAGGGCAGCTCGCCCGTCAAATACCACAAGGCGAACCCCAAGGACATCAACAGCGCGATCCCCGTTGATATCGCCAACATGGCGCTGGGCGTGGCGATCGAGCAGCGGAATCTGCCCCTCGTGCTGTCTATAATCGACCACACCTTCTGCGCGCCGGCCTTCCACCGCGCCAAGGTCTTCAAAAAGGCTGCCATCCCGCTGGGCGGTCTGGCGGCCGCCCCGGCTGCTTGTTATGCCGTTGCCTCGTGGGCTGCGAGCATGCAGAATACTATGGATCCAAGCACCGCGACGGGGATCGCGTTCGCTGCCATCCTAGCGTATGTGGGTGGTACTTCTTCCGTGGGCCTGTTGGCGATCACGACTGCGAATGACCAGATGGAGAGAGTGGTGTGGCAGTCGGGGATGCCGTTGCGGCATCGTTGGCTCCGCGAGGAGGAGCGGGCTGCCTTGGATAAGGTTGCGCTTGCGTGGGGATTCAAGGATGAGTACATGAGGGGTGAGGAAGAGGGGGAGGAGTGGGAGAGTCTGCGGGAGTTTATCGGTATGAGGGGGATGGTTTTGGATAAGACGGAGTTGATGCCTGGAATGGAGTAACTTCAACATTGGCATTAATAGTATATCTTGTATTTATTTTATAGATATCATGTAGTTCATAACATGTAGTTTTACGCACTTATCGCATCTTCTGTTACCAATTCTACTGAATATAGAAAAATGACTACGAGTGCCAAGAAAAAAAGTAGAACCAAATCGTGAGTGTTTTTCATTCCATACATAAGGCGTTCAAAACCCCACAGCTAAGATCCTAAAACCCCAGCGTAACGCAAGAGCGCAAGACGTCTAGTACAGACGCTTGGGAGGAGACATGGAAGCCTTGATGACCAGGCTTCCAACGTTCTGCCAGCCCTTCTTGAGCAGGGAGACGAGGTAGTTGATGGCCAGCATGACGTTGGAGACCAGCTCGTCCTCGTTCATGCCAACGTTGCCAACGGCAACACCCAGGCACAGAACCTTCTTCAGCTGGAACTTGATGGTCGACTTGACGTCGGTGACCTTGTTGTTCAGGTCCTCACCGTGGGAGACGGGGGTGGGGAACTTGCCGGCTGGAGGGGAAAAAATCACGGTCAGTTTTGAGGCAGAGGATTACAAGGCGAATAGATGTCACATACCCTTGGACAGACCGGGACCGAGGAGACGGGGAATCTGCTTGATCAGAGACTCGGAAGCCAGGAAAGCATCGTACTTGCGCGCGAGCTTCTTGATGAGCTTCTTGTTCTTGTTCAGCTTCTTCAGGTCATCGGTGGACATGCCGTCGATGCCGTGGTGCTTGGCACGATCGAGATCGTGCTGGTCACCAAGAACACTGTAGAAATACAACTGTCAGCCACCCGATTCTGGAATTGCCCATCACTCGATGGTTGTTTCCCGCCGATCTCATCCATTTTTCGAGATTCGTTGGCGCAGAGGCATATAGACGTACCAGACGCTCATGTTGGGGCGGGGCACGGTGGGCAGACGGATGGTGCCGGAGAAACGCTTGTCACGCTGGGGGTCATAGTTCTTCAGACCGATCTGAAGCTCGACGGTCTCGAGGAAGTTCCTCTTCTTCTCATTGAGAGAGTAGTTGAGGAGCTGCGAAACGTTATCGCGCACTCCGGCTGTCACGAGGCAATAGATGTTAGCAGCGGTTTCGAAGGAGCTGACGACGTGAATGAGATGGAAGAATCATACCGACTGTGATCTTCGACATGATGCTGACAGTCTTCCAAAAGGTCTCTTTTAGGGATCTTAAGGTGTGGCTCTGCGCTGATTCCTAAGACAGAAAGAAAAGAGGCTCCTGACATCGAGAGAAAATCCAGTCTCCGCTTGTGGGTGTTAGTGGCGCTAACCGGATGTGGGATAGTCTTGCCCTAAGTGCTTAATGAAGTTCACTGATGACAAAGACATGACATAAATATTAATACCCCAAATCACGTGCGTACGGCTCAATGAAGGTGTTGTCAAGATAAAACATTCCATCTTCTGCAATAGTTCGTCTGACATCTTGACTCTATTTATTAGCTGGGTGGTTGCAAAATGTATGGAAAGAAGAAACATTTTTTTCTTCTCAATTTTGCAATTATCCCATCACTCTCCAGCTCATCGTAGGGTTCTCTGTCTAGGATGGCGTTTACTGTTTACGGACAGACCCTACATCTAGATCTGGGATCGTAGTCTAACAAACTTTATAATCAAGATTTGAGAATTATGTGAAGCAGATAACCACTATAAAACTCATATGTGACAGGATGGAAAGTCACGTTCTGGTAGCAAATGTTTTGGGGGTGTGGTCAGAGGTCGGTCAGCTGCACGAGCCCCTTCCTCACGCCCCCAAGGCAGCAGAACACTGGGCGCGAATCGACTGGTAAATTGACGCCGTCGGCTCAGCCCTCAACTGACTAGTACAGTAGTCATTCGCTCCTAACCTTAGCACGCGGCTGATAATGTGCTGATGATGTCTTGAATGCTAGCGATTATTAGTATGATCGCTGAAGCACTTTGTGCTACTGAAGAAGTGCTTTAATTTTTCTCATCCTTTCATCAGGCTATTGTTTCCTGCTTATCACTGATCCGCTTTACATATACTGTATACTTACTCCACGCTTAATTGTCACTTTGCGAAAAACGCGGTTCAGACTGTTTGTTTAGCACGTGAGGGGAAGCAAAAGCAAGCAAGCATGTCTGAATCTCCGCACTTTCACAGCTTTCAAACACCTCGCGAGTATTATTCGAGCTTCACGAGGAATCCGAAAATCCAGGATGGTTTTGATAACATTGACGATGGAACGAATTTCAGGAATTACTTGAGACACTTGCAAAATCCAGGGACGCGCAACTTCGTGCTGGATTTTGGCAATGATGATGCGTGGTGCGCGGTGAACATGGAGAATGACGATCTCGCAGCCTTGCTCCAACAGCAGGTATGGACTATGGAACATTCCCATTGTCGATAGGCTCTGATTGATTTACTAGAAACCCGGGTTCTTTGGGACTCGATGGATGTGAGTCGCAATCGAGACCTTGCTACTGAAATTTGTTGATCGCTGACAGCGAGCTTAGAAACATCTGGGCCCCCGAGGAGCAGAAGGACATAATCAGGGTGAGTTTCACAACAAGCCCTGCTAGACTCTCCATGAAACTGACTCCCCTAGACGATCACAAGCCACTATGGAGTCTCGGAGCGGTTGCGGGGAATGATGTGTACAGAACCAGTGGGACGTTCATCCAAACCTGCCACCAATGCCGACCCTTCTAAACCACAATCTTCATCGGTCGAAATGATCGATCCATCCCCCCGTGTTCGCATGGATGACCTCGAAGAGGCGCAGGCGATGAAGGACTTGGCAACGCAAACCCAGGCACAGACGGCTGCGTCGTTCAGAGGCCTTACCTTTGCCCATGTGACGAACCAGATATGGCATTTTTGCTCCGTCGACCATGGTCCACGTTGTATGTAGCACTGAACCATTCTATTTTGCTATATTTGTTTTTAACCTGAGGCTGCAGATACCTGTCTCGGGTTCAACTCCCTGTACGTCGTTCCGAACGTTGAGATACAAAATGAGAAATTCCTGCCAGACGGAAAACGTTTATGGTCGTGGTTGATCCTATTCAATGATGGTAAGGGCTTTTCGGGGGGGATTTTGACGGGTTTTTGCTGATTTGGTAGGGACTGTCGTGTCGATCCAGGAGAATCCGTATCCTGGGGCATCCAAGCCGTCAGAAAACCAACTGAAATCTGTCCTTGGGATAGTCCGCCGAAATGTGCAGTTTATCTTTGCTGGGGTTTCTAAACAACACTCTGCCCTATCGGAGAGCGACTCGTTGGTGACTATCCGAGTGAGACACTTCCGCGACGCAGGACCAGACGACGCAAGTATCAAGCAGGACGACGGGCCGAGTTTGCTTTTTTTCTATATCTTTGACGATTGGCCCACGAGTTATGCCCTCGTTGCGAAGCGGGAGCATAGATACGGAGTTGTCCTCGACAAGTTGGTAGGTGATCCCGGTCGTTTGTTTTGTCCCTCGTCTAACGCGGCAACATAGAGACAAGATATGCTTACCAGGCCTGCCATTGATCTGGTAAACGAACTGCACACGTTGGGCAGACAATTGGGCGTGTTGAAACGCCTATACCAGAGCTACGAACTGATAATGCTGCGTATTCTGCAACAACAGCGCACCCTCCGTGACGAGGCTCGGTCGAACCCTCCTCAACCATTGTCAGCGCATATCAATGGAGGCCCCCAGACAGCGGATGCCCAGCACCAAACACTGACAACTAGCCCTAGTTTCCCAATTCTGTCAGACCATAGCGTAGGAGTGCGACTGAGTCCAGCTGCCGTGACGCGTTTCGAACGACTACTGGACCGTATCAAGTTATACTGTCTATCAGAGCTTGAAACGTGCCTCACGGAAAAGGAGTCCATGACATTTCTTGTAAGATGCTTGTCTCATGCCATCACGGACACTTTGCTGACAAGCTGTCGATAGAATTTCAACTTGATCGCCCTGAAAGACTCGCAGGCCGTCGAAAAGCTGACCCGCATCACGATCCTCCTGGCCAAGGTGACGATCCTCTTCCTGCCAGTTAGTTTGATGACCGGGTATTTCTCGACCGAATTAGAGAATGTAAAGGGGGTCTACACTGTCGCCCAGTACTGGGTGGCCTTTGCGGTGATCATGGTCCTGTCCATCTTGCTTCTGGTCATGTTTGGATACATGAGCGACACCATTGAGGGCAAACCCATCTATCAGTCGTTCTGGCAGACATTCTTCCGGTCTTCGAAACACCGACTACACACTCGACAAGAGGACGAAGACTTGCGATTGCACTGAAACTTCAAGTTGTCTGGTGATGGCTTGATATGTACAACTGATGTTAAATGCGTGACGGATTATGAAGGGTGAGAAGAACGATAATACTCGAGCATGATATCCATAGCCAAGCGGGTCTAACAATGCAAGAAGCAACCAACGTGGCCCTTTACCAAACTAGGTACATGAAACAATCCCATTCAAGAGTCGATTATCAATTGAACCATGGGCCTTATATGCTGAGTCACTCCCGCGGCGACAGGAGTGGACACCGAGACCGAGACCGAGACCAACCATCTGATTAGCATTGGGTATTATTAGGTACTGACACTGTATTGTGCAATGCTTGTAACATTATACGCTATGGGTGTAAAATAACAGCCACATGGTTCTAAATGGACACAAGAGTCTGTCACATGGACTTTAGATCAGGAGAGACATCAAGACAGATTGACACAGACTAGTCCAGTAGGGAGACGTAGCTTATCAAGGACAGACAACCAGAGCGGACCCAAAGCGAAATGGCTAGCTTCGAACATGACGCGTATGTGGGTTCCGGACGTTCTTGGGGTTATCTTCGAAGCCAGTCTCCATACAGGGGGCGAATCTATTGTAGTAAGTAGTGCGGTGTAATCGTACAGTACCGGACACGATATATGTAATCAGTGTTCAGATGGCAAATTATAGGGGAAGTCGAGATAACTTCCTGGACAGACGACAACGTCCGTCGAGATCCACTCCCGATGGGGGGGGTTTAAAATCCAGGCCGATGGGGAGCCTATCAGGAGATGGCCAGTTAGGTTGTCTGGACCTTTGTTCGTTGGGTTTAACTCGAAGTTATTTAGCAGTGGTTACTTTAGTCAGGCAGGTTCTCCCATGGATGGGGAAACACCGTGTCCTCTTCGTGACGTACCAGTATTATACCTTTTATTACTTACTTCTTTATTACTTGAACAGGTCACTCCGTACAAGATGCTGGATGAATCGATATGTAGTATTCTAATACTGATGAAAGACCACGGTGGAAGATGGCTAGGCAGCAACAGGAGCACAGTAGCAATAGTAACAACTATCAACAATGATCGACTGGTTGATTAGAGTATATATAGCAGCATTTCCAGTATAGAAATTAGTGTACTCCCTTTCTATCGGTCCCTTGTTTTCCCTGGCTGGTTTCGTTCAAGAGTGACGGAAGCTACGCCGGCGGCTGAATTTCTTGACCTGGCATTTTTTCGCAGCAAAATCCCACCGCCCGACCAAAACAGTGACTGTCTTAGTGTCCGCCATAATAACATAACGCCTGCTTGTCCTGACCGGACTTGACCTGTCCTAATTCTAATTCTCCTTCCCACGCCATCACCACCTTTGAACGAACCTCACCCCATTCCACCACTCATCCCTCTATATCTTCTGGTAAGCTACCTAATGTTTTGTCTGCGCCGTTGCCCTTGATTCTTGAATCGCATACTCCCCCCTCCGTCGACTCGCCTGTATTGTTTCCCCCTCCCTCTCTGCGCCCACTCCGTGTATGCGGTAACCCCTGATTGTTCTGGTCATTGGGCCTTTTTTTTGGGTTTATTCTGGCCCTCTGCCCACTCTGCAGGCCTCTTTTCCCCGGCTTCGGTTATCGTGCACCCTTGATTGCTTTCTTCTCTCCCCCCTATATACCACAGGTGTTTCTGTTTACTTGCTTTCGCTCTTCCGTCCATCTGGCCATTATTGAACAACAAAAGCATTTCGACTATTGATCATTCTGACACCGCTTTTTTCCCTTTCCAGTCCTCGAACTACATCCTCGCCACCGCCAATATGGGTCTCACTTTCTCGCGGCTGTTCGATCGTCTGTGGGGCAGAAAGGAGATGCGAATTCTCATGGTCGGTCTCGATGCTGCCGGTAAAACCACCATCCTGTATAAGTTGAAGTTGGGTGAAATCGTCACCACCATCCCTACAATCGGTCAGTCATCGCCCCTCCCCGTGCTCCGTCAATCAGGAGATTTGGTCGGACCACAGGCCACGTGGTCTGGAGGGGAACTTGCAACTGACCTGAAATATTTCTAAAGGTTTCAACGTCGAGACCGTCGAGTACAAGAACATTCAGTTTACCGTGTGGGATGTCGGTGGACAGGACAAGATCCGTCCTCTCTGGAGACATTACTTCCAGAACACCCAGGGTATCATCTTCGTCGTCGATAGCAACGATCGGGATCGTATCGTCGAGGCCCGGGAAGAGCTGCAGCGCATGCTGAACGAAGATGAACTCCGTGATGCCCTCCTCCTTGTCTTTGCCAACAAGCAAGATCTGCCGGTATGTTTTTTTTTTTCGACAGGAGATTTCAGCGAAACATGATATTGACGTGATGTTAGAATGCCATGAGCCCCGCCGAGATCACCCAGCAGCTTGGTCTGCAGAGTCTCACCCGCCGTCCCTGGGTAAGTTGGACCGACCCCTTTCGGATAACGGTATCCATGGCTAACGAAATCCAGTACATCCAATCCACCTGCGCCACCACTGGTGACGGTCTGTACGAGGGTCTGGAGTGGCTCGCCGAGACGCTCCGCAAAACGAACCGGGACAGCTAGACTGTTGTTATGTCATTAGAAGGATGATCTGGATGGTTGACTGGGAGTTGGGGATGATGAATGAAGAACCGGGGCTGGCAACGACACCCCGTGTAGGGCAGGAAATGCTACGTGGCGGTGCTTGTATGTTCTCTTAACGGCTCTTCATTCCTCTATGCAATTAGCTTTTTGTGTTTTCTTCGTTCATCCCGGCGTCGATCTCAACGCATACTCCTGTTAAAACATCTTTTCCTTTTCTTTTTTCCCTTTGTGTCTTTCCCCTTTCCCATTTTGCCTCTTCCCCCCTATTATTTTTTATTTTTTTTTTACTTGATTTTCCTTGTGTTTTCTACTCTACTGGCAAAACTTGAATATTTACGAGCCACCGTGAACGGGTTACGTTCGAAAACGCCAATGTATTCTGATATGAAAGAACCATAGTAGATTACTATCTAGGCTCACCACATTTACCACATTAACAAGCCATCTATAAAGAACAGTTGAACCCGACAAAATAAGATACAATCAGATTCATCCGCACTAAACCTACACCTAGACCTACGACCCCATTCCCATCCCCCCAGCACAAACCAAAGTATCACTCACTATCAAGTATTATCACCACCAAGCCCCCCAAAGTCTACCACCGTCCCACCCCCACCCATCCCATCCCCACTAACCCACCAAGCAGCAGCGCGTACAATCTCCAGCACACAACGCAGTTCATGCCCATCCCCCGGCGCATAAACCATCACAAACCCAGCCGGCACGCACCGCCCCAGCCACCAGAGGGTATCATTATCGCGCGCGAGCGGATGCCGCTGCGCCCAGCCGCGCTCGATGGTGGTGGCTACGTCTGCGGGGTGGAGGGTTAGGTGCAGGCTTCTGTCTGAGGGGTGGGCGTGGCAGATTTCGCTGCCGTTGGAGGTATTGGTGGAGGGGATGGATGAAGAGAGCCATGCTGTGTTTTTCGAAGGAGGATGTTGCTGTGTAGAGGGTGGGGTGGTTGTGTTTGGCGAGGGTGTGGAGGGCCGTCGTGAGGGCTTGACGCATGGTGTTGGTGTTGTTGTGTGTTAGTTGGCGCTGGGGGGCGATTCCGGAGATGAGGGGGCGGGGGATGGGGCGTGTGGGGAGGAAGTGTGTGGTGGAGGAGGATGTTCGGAGGAGGCCTTGGGGGTTGTGTAGGGTTGAGGGGATGAGTGGTGGTGTGAGTGGGTTGCGGAGGGCTATCAGGCGGAGGAGGCTGATGCGGAGGTAGCCTGTGGGTGTGGAGGGCGTGCCGCCTGGTCCTAGGGCTAGGAAGGCGTGGTAGTCTTTGCGGATGTGGTGGGTTAGGAAGAGGAGAAGGACGAAAGGAGGAAAGGGAGGATGAGGAGGATGAGGAGGATGAGGGGTGGGTTCTGCTTGGCGAGGGTTAGCTTGTGTATCTGATGGATGAGGAGGAGGTAGATAGGAGGCAGGCTAGAGGTATCTATAAGATAGTGTGTGACTGAGATGGTCATGGAGTTGAATTCGGGAGATGCTAGGGCAAGCATACCATGACGGGAGGAGGGTTTACGCTGTGGTATCGTGGGCAAGGTAGGAGGTAGACAGTCCAAATCAACAATATCCAACAGTTCTACTACCCAAGAAAGACAAGGAAGGTGAGTCTTTATCTGAAAGGACCCTGGTTCGAGGCCACATTTATAGAGCGTCTATACCGCACATAGTAGATGGTAGGTATCAAGTAGCAAAATCATTGATAGAAAATCCAAGCTGCTGGCAACAGGTTTGACGAGTACCAGCTGCGTTGTCAATGCAATATAACATTTGGATCTGGTCTCTGGAATGACTATGAATGACTATCAGATGGAGTCATCGTTCGTCCTCCCTTGGCGCGGTTGACAGAAGGTTGATCTGGATAAGGTTGTGGCTTCTATCCGTGATTCCAGCACATTGAATGGAAGTAAAGTATGATCCGGCCCAGGAGGTAGGTAGGCAAACAGGAGCAATGTACGTCCGCAAGCGGGTGTTGGAGTGTCTGGTTGATGATATAGAAGATGTCGCTTAGGCTGTTTCCTGTGGAGGATAATGTTTGCATTATCCACATAATTAGGATGCAGCTATCATCTCAGATAAGCCATTACCTTGCTGTATCTCTAACAGAATGGGCAGATATACGGTAGTGAATATAACACAGATACTTATATAAGTCTGTCAAGCAAGACTCATGCTGAAAGAGTGGGTGTAATCGAGCCCATCCAGAATTAACCATGATCGACCTGCTGTCGCCCTAGCCAGATCGGGTTGACCAGTTGGCCAACCAAGTTTGGTACGAGGCACGGCCCGCCAAGATACCTTCAGGTACCTGGATTTAGGCACACCTTGTACCTGTTCCTCTTGTCAACAAAGACATTTATGATCCATAATAAAAGATATTCCCTTGATAAGAACTGGGATATGTTTATTGCTTGCTATTCGGCAATGATTTCCATCAAGGCAGCATATGCCAAGCCTTGAGGTAACTAGTGGCAAGTGTTCCATCCCTTGGGCAACGCTGGCGTCGATCCAGTGATCCCCGGCCGACTAGTTGCTGGGGCGCCTTTGTTGATATCACTCTATAGATCTGTCTATCTATCCATCTCATCCACTCTCGACCTTAGACCCCACTCGCATCTCAGAGATCGTTCATTGTTCTCCATTCATACCAGTTTCATTCCATTTTTCTTTCTCGTTAATCTAATCTTAAGTCTTTCTTTTGTACTCTGATCTAATAAAGTAGGGAATTGACTGCATGCCGGCTATACCATCTAGGTTGCATTGAGTTTACCAGGAGGTACGTGAGAGATCAGATCCCTTGTAATGTCTCATTACAGTCCCTTCCCTCCTAACTCAGTCGCATCCCAGGACAATCCCCCTTGGTCCCTCACTCCCTGCATCCCTTGACACTTTGGATCGGTCCGTTGATCGTCCTCCTCACATACCACACCCGCTGCGTGGCATTGCTGTCGGTCTTTCGGCAGTCAGCCTGTAGCCCTCTGTAGCCCTTGCTACGCGCAGCCATGACGCTCCGAACGGAGAGGCATTCCTCCAGCTCCGATGGCTCACTCCCATGCTCCCCGGACGGCCGAGATGCCACAATAGACCTCGAGAAACAACACCCGCCACGCAACTACCGCCGAACGAGCTACGACTCCTTCACTTCAGCAGACAGTGGTGACGACTCGGTCACCTCGTCTTCCCCTTCGAACCAACCCATGTTGGCCCCTACAACGGTGCGCCGCACCCGCGCCGGTGTAGGCTTCTACCGCGTCCCCCATCGCATCATGAGATGGCTCTGCTTTTCGCTCTTCATGGCGCTGGTCTTGTTTATTGTCACCTTGTTCCGATTCACGATCACCTCCTCTGTCAGTCCAGTTCCCCTGGAAGTACCTAATACCCCTCCGAAGCCGCCCACCTGGGAAAGCTTCCCGTTCTTAACACGATATCACGGTGGGATTCGGACCTTGGTGCCCCGCAAAGGTCAAGTCGCTGAATATCCGAACGATGAATGGGAGGCGCTGGGGTTGGATGCCAATGAGACGAAGCCAGCCGTCGAGGCACGCGACGAACACCTGCCCCTGTCAAGTTCGGTCTTCAATCCTTATCCCGACTACGCCTCGAAGAAATACACTGAAAAATATGGCGAGAAGCGTGAGTGCTTCTTGGATGAGCATCGGGCGATCCACGTTCCACAGGTCCACCATTATCCTGCGGTTCCGCGGGGTTTCCCAGATGCCGTGATGGGCTCGAATGAGATGCTGGGGATCCAAGACGACGTGTGCTTTGACCGATTTGGCCGCCTGGGTCCCTATGGCTTGGGGTACAGCGTACGAAAAGGCGGCATCGGCGCCGGCTTGGAGGGCGACCGCGACGGCGCAGAGCGCGTCTGGGAAGAACATCCGCCCGTGGACTTTCGCAAAGTCGACTGGGCTGCTGCTCAAAGCCGATGTCTCGACGTCAACCGACATCGATTCCAGGATCTGCCAGAACCGCGGGCGAATCATTTTCTCTCGATGCCGGTGGGCACGCTGCTGGCGACCAACGAGACCTCGCCAAAACTGCAGGATCGACAGGAGCTGTCGCGGAACGGTACTGAGCGGTTGCAGCGGACGGCTGTCGTGATCCGCACCTGGCATGATTTCCGCTTTACCTCCGAGGACATCCTGTACCTGCGTTCTCTGATCTCAGAGCTATCGCTCATGTCAGGCGGCGAATACGTGGTTCACATTTTGGTTCACGTCAAGGACGAAAACCTACAGATCTGGTCCGACGATGAGACATACGACCGTGTTCTGAAAGACTCCCTGCCCGAAGAATTCCGCGGCTTGGGGACACTGTGGTCGGAACGGCAAATGTCTCTCATGTACCCCGGATTGGAAGAGACGATGACCCGCGGGCTGCCCATCCACGGTGTATACCGCAGCACCTATATGCCCATGCAGTATTTTGCACACCAGCATCCCGAGTATGACTACTACTGGAACTGGGAGATGGATGCACGATACACAGGTCACTGGTACCACCTTTTCGACAAGGTCGTGGACTGGGCAAAGGAGCAGCCACGGAAGGGACTTTGGGAGCGAAACGCCCGGTTCTACGTGCCCTCCGTCCACGGTTCCTGGGAGGACTTCCGACAGATGGTCCGGGTGCAGACCGAGATTGGCACCAACAGCCCGAACAACCTATGGAGCGGTGCCAACGGTCCAACGCCCGGTGACAAAAACCCTCACAAACAGCAGGGCGACAAGCCGATCTGGGGACCCGAGCGGCCCGACGAGCGCGACATGTTCGAAGTTGAAGGCGAGGGCATCCCCCCAACCACGGTGGACAAGGACCGATACGAATGGGGCGTCGGAGAAGACGCAGACCTGATCGTGTTCAACCCGCTTTACGACCCAGAAGGCACCACCTGGCTCCTCCGTGACGACGTCACCGGGTACAACCGGGAGAACGGCATGCCCCCGCGGCGGACGGCCATCATCACAGCCTCGCGCCTCTCCCGCAAGCTGCTCCACACGATGCACCGCGAGACGACCCTCAAGCGGCACAGCATGTTCTCCGAGATGTGGCCCGCCACAACGGCGCTGCACCACGGGTTCAAAGCCGTATACGTGCCGCACTCGGTGTACGTCGACCGCCGGTGGCCCACGCGGTATCTCGAGTCGGTGTTCAACGCCGGCCGCAACGGCGCGTCGGGAGGCGCGCGCACCTCCATCTTCGGCGACCGCGAGCACAACTTCCGCGGCACCACATGGTTCTACTCAGCGGGGTTCTCGCCCAATCTGTGGCGCCGCTGGCTGGGCTATAAGGTCGATAACGACGGGGGTGAGCAGGCGGAAGTGGCTGGGGAGGGGCGCATGTGTCTCCCTCCGATGCTTTTACATCCGGTGAAGGAGCTGGATATGGTGATTGATGATGGTGTCCAGCCGAGTGAGTCTACTCCTGAGGAGTAGCCACGCCCTGGGTGGGGACTGCTATATGTGTGATGTGATTTACAGGTTGAAGGTTGATGGGCTGACCACTTACGTTTGGCAAAACGGCGTTGATCTATTTTGGGCTGAGCTTGAGCATGTTGCTGGATGTTAGAGTTTCTTTTTTTTTTTTCCGACCTACATTATATGTATATGAATGACTTGATGAATGATAATTTTCCTTCCGTTTCCTCACCAATAGGCAACAGAGAGAAGTTAAGTTTATATTGTACACATAGTATGTGCTATATATAGAACAGTGCAGCCTTGCATATCGAATTCCTAATAACATTCAAGATCATTGACACAACTACCAGCACATAAACCCACATCCATTCTCCATAAAAGTAGCACTTAAAGCAATCCATATACCTCCATATCTATCTCATCTCAATCCCCAGCTAAACAAACCCTCTCACAAAACCCATCTCAGCCCTTAATCCAAGCCCAGGAAGTCAAAACCCGAAATAAAATCCACCGAACAAGGCTGAGTGACAAGGAAAAAGTAAAAAGAAAAGCCGTGGCGCCAATAGCCCCAACAACGCACACAGCCGTTCAAAGAGCACCCCTCGCCTCATTGGTTATGTCTTGACAGAAGGGGCCCAACACAAGGCTGCCATTTCCCGTGTGTACGGAGTAATCATCCCTTAATCCCAACAAACAGGATGTGCGTACATGCCGGGGGCTGAGATATGAGGGAGGAATGTGATGGATGAAATGCTATGACCCCTGGATTCGAGATGAAATAGAATAAGATACCCCTGCACGCTCGCAACCTTGGATCCATTCTGGTTGTGAATAAAACAAAACAAACGAACTGCTCGCACGCGACCTTGATCCTAACTGAGTCTTAGAATTCTTCATATTGATACCCACACACATACATACCTACCTAGGTACCCAGATATACAAGACACAAGGAAAAATGCACACCAAGTGCCTCGCAAGCAGCCTTGTGGCTTTTTGCCTGTCGGCGACAGCAGCAGCAGCAGCAACCGATTTCCCCAAGGCACCTGTCACGACGAACAACAACCCTACCGTCCAGCTCAAGGCGGAGCTGCTAGACAAGAGTAACTCGACTATCCGCGGCAAGCTTACTGCGTTTGCCTTGCCTCATGGGATCGGTGTCAAGGTCAATGCTCGGTTTACGGGCCTTCCTGACGGGGAGCCGTTGAGTGCGTCCCACCCTTTCTCTCTCTCTCCCTCTTTCTCTTACCACAGCCTTGTGTCCAAATCTTCCCTACCCACCAGAAAATCTCAATATACTAACAAAGCAATAAAATAGAATACCACATCCACGTCAACCCCGTCCCCGAAAACGGCGACTGCTACGCCACAGGCGGCCACCTGGATCCCTACAAGCGCACCGACACGCCCCCCTGCGATATCGACGCGCCCGAGACCTGCGAGGTCGGCGACCTCAGCGGCAAGCACGGCCCCATCTGGGCGGCTAAGGGCGAGGGCTTCGATACCTTGTACACGGACTATTTTATCTCGACTGAGGTCGGCTCGCCGGCGTTCTTTGGTGGTCGCTCGCTCGTGGTCCATGCTGCGGACAATTCGAGGCTGAATTGTGGGAATTTTGAGGTTCAGGGTGGGGTTATCAGGGGGTTGGGGGACTTTCATGAGGGGGATTATTGAGTGAGTGAGTGACTAGGTTGGTTGGTTGTTCTTTGCGGTAGGTTTGACTTAGATGGGGGGCGACGATAGGGGAGTAGCTGGTGGTATTGCCTTGGGGGTAATAACGTTGTTTAAATTAGAACTTGATGGCTATTTATTTGGTTGTTAGATGTTTGTTTAAAAACCATACTTAGGTAGAAAAAATAACCCCCCTGTACTGTGATGCGCCAGCGGTGCAGGTCATTCTATAGATGTCGGATATTATGCTAGTTGAGACCATGATTCCCCTTGAATGTCGACAGTAGACACACTGAGCGGTCTGTCCAAGCAATGCTCTTAGACGAGAATTACTGCCAATATGCAGCTCGCCGCCCAGCTATCAACCATGAGATACGCATTATTCTCCAAATCACGTAGGCTGTCCATCCAAATTCTCCAACCTGCTCTGTATCGCACTCTGGAAATACTGCCCCTCCTCCCCCTTATACTCCTGCAACACAACAGCCCGCATCAACCGCCTAGGGGCCCTTCGGCCAGTGAAGAGCTCAAATTGCGCGAACCCCTGCTCCGGGAGTACGTCTAGCCCGTCGAGGGTGACCCAGCCGCGGTGCGAGAGGCCTCGCATTTGCTTGATTAGTGGGGAGTAGAGGGGTTTGTAGGCGAGCTGATCGTATGCTAGTTAGTATTGGGTTAAACGGTACTCTAGCTGAAGCTGGAGACATACCTCGACGACTACTCCACCCGTGGGGCTCTCCAGCCACTGCGGGGGAATCTCAAAGTTCGGAGCCGGCTGGTTTCCGATGCTGTGCTGCGGGATGCAGGAGCAGATGACGGTTGGTTGTTTGTACTTCTCCGGCCAGGGGTCGTCGAGCGAGTGCAGGATGTGGACTCTAGCGCCCTCGGACGACCCGTTAGTGCTGGTACTGCGGAGATTCTGTCGGTTATAGTGGTAGGCGAGCTTCTCCGCGTTGGCGACCGTGCGGTTCCAGACGAAGATATTCTGCACCCCCAGGTGGATCAAGGAGTAGACGGCTGCGCGGGCCATGCCGCCTGCGCCAATCACTACGCCTGTAGACGAAGGCCGAATTGCATTCGCTGGGGAAAGGCCCCTCCGGAAGCAGTTGCACATGCCGATCCAGTCGGTGTTGTCTCCGTGGAGGGCCTTGATGGGCCCGGCGCGGCTTTTCTCCATGTACAGCGACGAGCCCTCCGTGTCTGTGGTGTCTGTGAATTTGCGGATGGGGATCAAAGTGTTGACGGCTCCGATGGCGCGCGCGTGGGGCGACATCGAGTGGAGGAGTGGAATGACCTCTGTCTTGTACGGTAGACTGACGCTCGTGCCTCCGAAATGGGGGTTCTCGACCAGCTCGTTGAGACCGCGCAGCGAGGACGACTGGTGGAGATTGTATGTGTGGGGTAGTCCGGAGGCTCTGTATGCGGCGTTGTGCATCGCGGGGGATAAGCTGTATGTGACGTTGGCGCCGAAGACGAAGAACTGCATGGGGTCCAAGGCGAATGAGGTGTAGAGGGCCCCCTGCGCCTCGCGTAGGGTGATGCACGGTAGTCCCTTGGTGTGGATTTCGGGCGCGAGGGACTGGTGCACGACGGGGGTTAGGATTGGGTTGAAGCAGCATGATAGCCGGCCTAGGGAGCTGGAGTTGTATGCGATGAGAGGTAATGATGGTGTTGGAAGAGACGTGATGCGGTGGCGGAAGCGTTCCACGGAGAAATTGTCCTCTATCGATGCTGCAGGCTGGGTCAATCGGACCATGTCGCAGCCGAGCTGTTGAGCTCGTTCGTACATCGTCTGAAACTCGGCGTTGTCCCAGCCTCCGGGGCGGGATTCCAAGGCCGCATAGTGGCCGATCACTTTGCTTGATCCTTTTGAGGAGATTATCTGCAACAGATGTGCATTGTCGTACGAAAGGTCGACAGTCAGGAACTCGGGTGCTAATCGTAAGCCGTGCTGTACTAAGCTCAGATACTGCTCGACTGGGCGGCGTGGCGCCTCAGACCCCACGATACTATCGACATGGTAAATTAGGGGCACGACTATGTTCCGTCTGATCATGGCTACGATGTGGCTGATCCTGTCTTCATGGGTTGGATCGTCTCCGGGAGATGTCTTCCCCACGTCAACCTTTAACTCGAATGCGTCCGCAGTGGACTCCAAGTCCTCGATGTCTAAATCACGCTCGAAGAACGAAGAAATCGGCACGCTCACTGCGTAGGTGAACGTTCGCGTCTCGACCGGCTGCATTGACAGGGGGAACGACGCCAGATGATTGCTCAGATCGGTGGGGTCACCAGTAGCGAATGCGATGAAGCGAAGGAAATCCCGTTGCAGCCGTTTGAGCGTCAAGAAAGGAGTGACGGGTTGATGCCGCTGATCGACCTCTAGATCCAGCAGTGTATGAGGTCCGTCTCTGATAGTCCTTTCCGAGACATTGAAGAACTCGAAATTGGAACAGTCCCGATAGATCGGACCAGAGAGTTCCAGGAAGCGACGGATTTTGTTCGCATCCCATGCCTTCAGGTAAGATTGAATGCTCTCCGGATCTCGAACGATATGGATCACCGGATGGGTTTTTGCGTACTCTCTAAGCAGCATCTGCCCACTCTGTTCCATGAATCCAGGTCCGCACACAATCACCCAACCCTCGCTATGTTCTGCCAACACCGACTCCATGACCCTCGCATCTTGACGGCGATATTCTGTCAGACCGAATGATTTTTTGAACGTGGCGCGCGAGTGTCCCGTCACATGCTGGAAGTACCGGTCTGCGTCTATCAAGCGACGTCCCGATGTGGCTGCCAGGATGACCGCCAGACTGGATTTGCCCGTGCCTCTGATACCGATAAGAACAATGGACGAATTCGGGGTAAATATGCGATTGGTTTGAAACGACCTCTCGAGGCTACCTTGAGATGTAGAATCGGAATTTGTACCTCTCTGGGTTTCGGGCTCTGTAGCTGTCGCGCAGAGGGACTCATCATGGGAGAGAACACCCGCGATGCTGCGAGCACTAATCAGGGGCGTCGAGTCGTAAACATCATGTCTTTGCGCGAAACGCCGTCGATTTTGCTCCTCCAGTCCCTCTAACTCGTGTAGCTTTCGTTTGACCGGCTTCACCAGAATGGACATGACCGGAGTTGAGACTGCGTCGTCGATTAGATGTACATTAGAACGTCACAGGCCATGAAATGCGCAGTCGCGAGGTCTGTCAAACCGCGAAACCATGGAGAGCCGACGAAAGGCGCGTCGCATGTGTGAATGGCCGTTGATTCGAGGGACTGTCATAACATGAAGCCTTTTGACAATCTAATCTCTGTAGTAAGGACAACAAAATGGAGACTTGGAGGGATGTGCTGTTGTGAAGTGTGCAGAGTATCCAAGAAACCACAGTGTGCCGAATCACACCACACAGCGTTACCAACGGAAATTGCTCTGGCCTCGGCGCTTTTGCGGGGATGTCAGACTGTGTGCGGGAAAAGGCTCAGCCGGTCAGCTTGTTCATTGCCTGGCTCGAGTGTCGCGTTGTGGAGCAGTTCGGTAATTTCCCGTTCCCCACGGGGGATGCCGACGATTCAGCTGATTGATGTTGGTCATAATGGTTTTGCCCCAAACTTTCCCCTCATGGTTTTCTCTCAACAATTCTCTCGATTCATAGATCTCCATTATCACCGCTTGCCAGTTAATTCCTGACACTGGTGCTTTTTGGGAATCTCAATTAATCAATGCGCTTCTGTTGATCACGCCCTTCGCACCCTTACCCCAAGAGGTGGGGCCGCTCTCGATCGCATTCCCTCAGATGCGTCGCCGGCAAAACGTTCATTTCGATGGCATGATCGGAAGATGAACGTGCATCTAGAACACTCAAGCGGGTCGTTGTACATACGATCATGACCGGCGACACGCGCCACACCGCAAGGGGCAGCAGCAGATTAAAACGACGATTAACGGGGGACGACGACAGCGGCAAATCGAATCGCGCTGCAGATGAGTCGGTCTCAAATCCGAAGCGGCAGCGGGTGTCGCGTGCTTGCGACAACTGTCGTTCGAAGAAAGACAAGTGCGACGGCGTCAAACCGGTGTGTTCGACATGCGCTTCGTTATCGCGCCCGTGTACATACAAAGCAAATCCGAAGAAGAGGGGCCTGCCGACGGGGTATATTCGCTCGCTTGAACTACTATGGGGTCTTGTGTTCTGCAAGATACAGGGGAGCGAGGATGTGGTTCGGGCGTTGTTGAAAACGGCCAATTTACCGAGTCATTTGGCGTCGATGGGTAAAGAAACGGAGGCGTCGGATACCCTCCTAGCTTCGTTCAAGAACAGCGCTATGCTAAAAGATATCGAGAAGATGATTTTATCTTTGGAACAGCCAGAAGAGGATCAGGACAAGAGTGATCATATTCCGGGAGATAATGACTCTCCCTCTGATGCAGGGAGTAGTGCGCTGGCTTCTCACGCCCTCGAATGGCATTTGCCCCAGATACAAGCATATGGGGGAGAAGCCTTGACTACACCTGGTTTTTCTCCCACCAAAACACCTAGTGTTACATCAACTGCTAGGCTTCCTCCAAGTATGACTCGTGATTGTGGAAGTCAAACTATGGACACCGATGTGACGATCCACCCCCCGTCCCAGCCCTTGTCTCTCCGAGTTGACCACCATACAACACCACTCAAACTTCCTTCCAATGTATGGCCTTTGCTTGACATATACTTTTCCTACACGCAATGCTGGTTTCCTATACTTGAGAAGCATGACATACTTCGCACCGCATTTCGCCATTCTGAAGACGACGCGCCGGTCGATCCCTCGTCGCCTGGTTCCGGAGATTATGCTGCTCTTTGGGCCGCTTTGGCCCTTGCTTCTGTTCAAGATACATCAATCTCCAAGACTGGCGCTCGCAGTCGACAGGACTGTAATGTGTTGTATACCACAGCCAAGAGCCTAATCCCTGACGAGAGTGACGCTTATGAAATGGGCCACGTGCAGGCATTATTGATCTTGTCCCTCGTGAAGTTTGGCCAGCACAAGTGGATGACATCCTGGATTCTTGTAGGGCAGGCTGTTCGGGTTGCACGCTTCTTTTCAGGGTTAGACTCTCTTCAGGGACAGCCCGCGAATCGAGACGGTATGGCTTCTCCGCGTACCAAACATGTTCTCTTGGGCTGTTTTGTCCTGGAAACATTGATATCTATGCAAATTGGCCAGGCTCCCTCCATGCGGAAAGATGATGTGGCGAAAATTGGTTTGATCAACGAAGATGGCTTGGAAGAGTGGCACCCATGGGAGGATCAGACCGGCCTCCAAGCAGGCGAGCCATCGCGTGGTTCATTCCACAGGGGCCCTCTCCTTGCTTTAAGCACGTTCAATCGTCTGGTCTCGCTGATGTGTATCTTGAATGAACTTTGCTGTTTACGACAAAGCCCACCCGCCGCCCTACCACAGCTCGAGACACTCCAGCGACAGCTACAATCGTGGGCGTCCGCGCTTTCGAAGAGCTACCGCGTCGATCTACAGAACCCTGCCAAAGTGGGCTCGCCACATATCTTTGGCCTAGAAGTGATGTACGAGAGCGTTACTACATCACTAAACACTCAATTCGCCGTCCAACAGGGTGATGGGCACGGTCTAGAGTCATCGTATATGAAGTGTGCCACGGAAAGCTCCAGAAGGTTACTATTGCTGCTCCAAGCCTATGTGGAGAATTACAGTCTGGCTGCGACATGTCCGACATTCGGAATGATCTTGGGATTTGGAACCCTACAAACCACCCTGTCCTTGGAGGCTGAGCCTGAGCTAAAGAAAGAGCTCCAATCTTTCGTGTCCCGCTTGTCAGCAGTATGGGCAGATCCAAAGATTACCGTTCCAGAACTGACGCCCGCGGAACAACCGCCAACATCAGAAACCATGACTCTCACAAGGACTCGAGAGGAAACTCACTCTCACGTACCCTCGGATAACTCTACTGTCATACCTCAAGCCACAACTAATATCTCCATAAACCCGTCACGAAGCACGCAAATGACGAACGAAAGCCGCAGAGACCTCGCTACCCCGGAGTCACTCATAGCCAATCTATGGATGAGGACGCCGAGCAACACCGAAGGAAACATACCGTTATCTTTATCAACGCCCACGCCTTCGCTAAACGTGCATGGATCCCCAAAGGAAAGCCGCCACCGTGCATCTATGTCTGAAAAACCGTCGAACGAAACACCAATGGCTATACCCGACACAGCAACCCAGTTCCACAGAAATGAACCTCAATACCCAACACCTTTCACCGAGCCCAACCTTAACCTCGGCGCCTTTGTAGGCGTTGACGGATACGGATCTCTCCAAAGACAGCGGATTGCCCCTGATTTGGACGCATTGTTCGATGAACTAGCATCCCTTGATGGGACAGAACAGTGAGCGTCCTCGTCAGAACATTATTTCAATGAATACAAGCTAACATATTACTGATACAGCGCTGATAACCAGCCGGAGTTTATGCAGAATCTGGGGTTTGTGCCTGATGCTGGGATTCCTGAGTTTTATCCTTATACACATCAGGTGGATCCTTCGTGATGGTCTTGCCCTGTTTCCTCTGTCTTAAGCGACTGTTAAAGATATGAGATCATGTTACCTCTGGCGGAAGTAACCTGGCTTTCCATTTCCAACCATAAATTAGTGGCGACGGAGTATTCCATACAAAGTTGGATGCTTCTACATTTCGCAACAATCTATTAGAGATACCCAATGAAATACTACACATTGCATTCCCCTAGCCCTGTTACAGAAGATAACAGTCTTCAAAAATCATAATTATAGCGACATATGTATGCAAAACAATCACAAAACCGCCCTCCCCTCCCTCTTCCCCCCAAACTTCCCAACCACATACTCCACCGCAACCTTATATCCAAAGACGCCCAACCCAACAATGACACCCGCCGCCTTATCGCTCAGATAGCTATGGCGACGCCAAGACTCCCGCGCATGGACATTACTCACATGCAGCTCGACAAAGGGGATATCAACCGCGAGGAGTGCATCGCGGATGGCGACCGATGTGTGCGTAAATGCGCCTGGGTTGATGATGATGGCGTCGATGTGGTTGCGGGCGGCTTGGATGCGGTCGACGATGGCGCCTTCGTGGTTGGATTGAAAGGTGGTGAGCGAGGCGCCTAGTGAGGCGGCTTGGGCTTTGCTGCTGCTTTCGATGTCGGTGAGGGTGGTGGTGCCGTAGGTAGTGGGTTCGCGGGTGCCGAGGAGGTTGAGGTTGGGGCCATTTATGAGGAGGATTGAGGGGGGCATTTTGATTGATTTATTCGTCGGGGAGAGGAGGGAGATGAGTGGGTGATTGTTGGGTGTGGTGTTATTCAAGGTAGCGGTGTTGTGTAGATTGAGAGTGGATGATGATATGGAGTATTTAGGGTTGATATAGTTCACTACATTGAGTATGATACGCTTTCGGATATACGAATATGCTAGCTATCAGTCGAGATGTTGACTGGATATGCGGTGTCTACTCGTTGTATTACTTCAGGTCTACATAGTGAGCTGTCGTGGGCCCAACCATGGTTAAGATAAACCGGATGGATATTGTAGATACATAGTTGGATAGAGTGGAGAAGGTGGCCGGCTAAGCGTACACCCGCCATCTGATTCATACATCCGTACTGCATCACTACGTTATAACCACTGATTATGATTTCTGAATATATTTCCATCATGAAGCGAATGACAGAATGTTGTTAGATACTTCTGGACACGGCATATGAGAGAATGTATAGCATGTCGACATCTTATTATCAATCTCGGAAAACCCCCGATTGAGTCACTCAGAACAACACCCCTAGCCATGTAAAGCGAAGTGGAGACGACTCCAGATCAGCGGCGGTTATCCACGGATGCTCAAACCTCCAAAGCGTTGATTTGCGTTTCTGGATCGTACCTTTCTTTTCAAAGACCTGCTCCAAGCACTTTGTCTTCGTTTTCTGATTGTCGTCGCGAGATAACACCCTGCAGAGAATACGATCACCGTTGAACAACACCGCTAGCCCACATCATATCATGGCTGTGACCGAGTTCTCCCAAGATCAGCTTGATGAGATCTACATCTTCGCGGTAGATCTAGGCCGCAAAGCGGGCGAGATGCTGCTGGCCAGCATCGAGAGGCGAATTGGAGACGGCGACAACCAGTTCGAGGAAAAGGACAGTTCAGTCGATATTGTGACTCAGACAGACGAAGGTTCTACACCAATATCCGGTATTCCAACACATAAACTAATCATTACTACTGGAAGATGTGGAATCTTTCATCAAGACTGCGATTCAGAATAAATATCCCGCGCACAAGTCAGTCTCTACTGTCCTTCCGCTAAAAAACAACCAATGTCTTATATAATGGATACCACAGATTCCTCGGAGAAGAAACATACGCCAAAAGCCAGTCGCGCGAATACCTCATCGACAAGCATCCAACATGGTGCGTCGACCCATTAGACGGTACGGCAATCTCATCTCTAATCACTCAAACCCTCCCGACCAGTCAGTCAATATCTTACAGAATCCAACAGGAACAGTCAACTTCACCCACCTCTTCCCCATGTTCTGCGTCTCCATAGCCTTCATCGTCAACCACAGCCCCCTAATCGGCGTAATCTACGCCCCCTTCCAAGACCAGCTCTTCTCATCCTGCGCCAACCGCGGCGCCTGGCTCAACGAAAAGCGCCGCCTCCCCCTCATCCGCAATCCCTCCATTCCGCCCTTGCCGTCCAATGCTCCCAGACAATGCATCTTCTCCTGCGAGTGGGGCAAAGACCGCCGCGACGTCCCCGACGGGAACATGCACCGCAAGGTTGAGAGTTTCTTGAACATGGCTGCTGAGGCTGGTGGGCGGGACGGCAGGGGCGGCATGGTGCATGGCGTGAGGAGCCTCGGTAGCGCGACGTTGGATTTGGCGTATACTGCTATGGGGTCGTTTGATATTTGGTGGGAGGGAGGGTGTTGGGAGTGGTATGTTCTCTCCTCTCCTCTTTTCGCGTTTGTGATGAGCGGTTGATTTATGTTGGATAGGGATGTTGCTGCGGGTATCGCTATTCTTCTTGAGGCGGGTGGGCTCGTCACTACGGCTAATCCTCCTAAGGATCCGATGACGGATCCGATTGAGGATTTTAGGCTGGGGAGTCGGCTGTATTTGGCTATTCGGTGTGTATCTTTTGATCCTGCACTACAGTAGGACAGTACTAACATGTTCAAGACCAGCTGGTCCGTCGTCGACAGAGACAGGGCGACAGTCGCAGGAGAGAACGGTGCGGGAGGTATGGCGTCGGGTACATGAGCTCGAGTACACGCGGCCTGGGGTGTGATCAGTAGTCTACATTGACAATCTTGGTCAAAGACTTGGCAGTTACAAGACGAATACAATGATAAAGAAAGATATGCTTTGGTTGACATCTAAGAATCAATCTATTACATCAATGCTCTTGGGTATGCTATACACGCACGAGAATCATGAGTACGTAAGGCCAGTAAGACACGCGCAAAGAAGAATCACATTTTCGACAGCTTAGGCGTCCGGTCTGCAATCGACTTGCTCACCATGTCGCGGACAGCCTGCACCAGACCAGGTACAGCGACGATATCCCGACCTGTCCAGAGCCGCGCCTGCTCCAGACCCTGCCAGATGAGGGCTTCGGTGCCCATGATGACCTTCCAGCCGGTGGCGGACGCCAGCGCCGCGATCTCGGTGTAGGGGGTAGGGTGGTAGCACATCTCGAGAATGACGCCCTTGAAGGGTTCACCGGACGACTGGCGCGGGCCTAGAAAGGCTTGCAGGGTCTCACGGGCGCGGAGCTCCTCGAGCGTTTTGGGCGGGTAGTTCGGGATGCCGGAGACAATGGCCGCGGGCTTATCGGCCGCGGCCGCGGTGGCTGGGTCAGAGACGTGGATGAGGGGCGCCTTGGTGGAGTCAGGATTGCGCTGGTTGTCTTCCCGGAGGATGGCTTCGACTTCTGCGTTGTCGCGATTGACAATGTAGATCTTGCTGGCACCTAGCCATTTGCGCATCACGTAGATTGCAGTGCGGGCGGTGCCGCCGCCGCCGACGATGAGGGCGGGCTTGCCGCGGAAGGGGTCTTCGGGAGTAGCGGGGGCGTTCTGCACCAGGGCTTCGCGGATGCCGATGCAGTCGGTGTTGGTGCCGACGTAGGTGCGCTTGTTTCCGGCCTCCCGGCGCACGAAGATGGTGTTGCAGGCGCCTGCTTGCTGTGCGTCTTCGGTCATCTCGTCTAGGTGAGGCATGATGGCTACCTTCCATGGCATCGTTACTGAGGACCCGACGAACTTGGGGTTGGCTCGGATTGCCGCTAGGTACTTGTCGATTGGTGGTGATTTGGTGTATGGCGGTGGGTAGGTGGCTGATTTGCCTGTGACGCTGGACAGGGGGATCTGCGTCCAGTTCAGGCCCAGCTTCTTGTAGACGGTCTGGTGCAGGGGCGGCGAGAGAGAGTTAATCAATGGGTGCCCGTACAGGTAGGCTACCCCATCCAGATGATCTGGGCAAGTAATGGGCTCTTCAAGCGGCGGTTGCGCAAAATTGGCAACCTGTGTTGTGGCCATTATATAGGAATCAATATGAATCAATTAGGGCTGAAGCACTTGGGAGGCGTAGAGGAATTGAGGTGGACGAAATTGGCAAAAATGCTCTGAGGTGTAGTTTGAACAATTATACAAGAGCTATGAATGAATCCAACCGTGAATAACCTCGTTTAATAAGGGACAGCCCGAGTGGATGAAATTGAAGAAACAATCAATGTTGGTTTGCGGCGGAGAAACATTTTGCTGCCCACGCGACTTCGAGTGCCTGAGGCAGCACCTCATCTCAAGTGTTGCCCGATCTCAATCTCTTTTCTCTTTTCCCTCTTCTACACACCCCCATCTGTGGCTATTATCCTATTATCCCGTCCTGGTTTCCCCACTGACTGACATAGATCAAACATCTCGAGAATGAAAAATCCGGTGTGCGATCGGAAGTTATCCGCTCCATCTACCCTTAACCACAAGCTTTAGGGTCGGGGAGAACTCTTATCCCGGCCAAGCGTCCCTAATCCTCATTCAGCTCGCTTAATAACTGACCCCCATGGGGAATGCCACAAGGATGTTAGAGCCGGGGAAGCCCTTTTCCCGGCAATTTGATACCCAATAGCCCAGGACTCATTAGACAGGCGTCTCGTGGGATCCTTGACTCCTGGCTGCGAAATGCCGAAGATTCGGGGGTTCACCTAACCTAGGATGGTCCGTGCCGCTATTCACTCGATAACCACGGACCTAACTGGCGAATGGTTTACTAGCTTCTTCGGTTCAGCCATGCTAATGGACTGCCTCTCCACCTCTGGCCTCCAAACCTTCCTGCGTCTCCACAATCACTTCGAGAGCGGGATCGGAGAGAGACGTCCAGCTTTTGGCAGAGATTTCTTGACAAGGCGTAGCTTGGGCTGGACCTCGTGGAAGTCACCCGAGCAAGAAACCTGTACAATAATTAGGTTTCTATAATCCAGTCGCGTGCGCTGCGCTCCCTTGTGGTAGAGTGTTTTCCGGCTCTGAGAGTGAGATATACGTTTTGCCGCCCCTAGTCTCTCTCCAACGACATTGGCCAGGAAATTGCATGTTGGGGTTTCCTTCCCCTTCTCCCCTGTCCGCATTCCTACGCCACTGCGTGATCCCCGGATTTTCTCTCCTGGGATTGAATTAGCGTGACGTTAAGTCACCCCATACTATTTAGACCTGGTGCCCGGTCAATCGTATGGTGTTTTTCTCATTCTTTTGGTTCTTTATCTACATCTACACATCTACCGTCTGATCCTAGCGCTGTTCACAATACCCCTGTCTATACCTAGCCCTTGGCATTATATAGGAGGCCTCGATATTCGCGCCCTCCCTGGTCGGGCGAGTACACTCACAATGGGCGTTCTATCGCTGGTCGAGGACCGTCCAACTCCCAAGGAGGTCTACAACTGGCGGATCTATCTTCTCGCAGCCGTGGCATCGTGCACGTCATGTATGATCGGTTATGACAGCGCCTTCATCGGCACCACAATCCAGCTTGACTCCTTCAAGGACGAGTTTAACTGGGACGACATGCTCCCGGGAAAGCAAGACCTTGTGAGCGCCAACATCGTGTCGCTGTACCAGGCCGGGGCATTCTTCGGCGCTTTCTTCGCCTACCCCATCGGCCATTTCTGGGGGAGAAAGTGGGGCCTGATGTGCTCCGCCTTGATCTTCACCCTGGGTGCTGGTCTCATGCTGGGCGCCACGGGTGACCGCGGTCTCGGGCTCATCTACGGAGGACGTGTTCTTGCCGGTCTGGGGGTGGGTGCAGGCTCGAATATCACCCCTATCTATATCTCCGAGCTGGCTCCGCCAGCCATTCGGGGTCGGCTGGTTGGTGTCTACGAGCTGGGTTGGCAAATCGGTGGTCTGGTGGGCTTCTGGATCTGTGTAAGTGGGGAGTCGCAAGAGTCATATGGCTCTGCTAAAAAACCATAACAATACATAGCTGACGGTGCTTTAACAGTATGGGGTCGATTCCACCATGCCACCCAGTCATAAGCAGTGGATTATCCCCTTTGCAGTGCAGCTCATTCCGTCAGGCCTGCTCATCTGTGGTTCCTTGTTCATCAAGGAGTCTCCGCGGTGGCTGTTTCTACGGGGTCGTCGTGACGAGGCCATCGAAAGTCTCAGTTGGGTTCGTCAGCTCCCCGAAGACCACATCTACATGGTCGAGGAGATCGGAGCGATCGACCGCGCCCTGGAAGAACAGCGGACCACCATGGGTCTGGGGTTCTGGAAGCCGTTCATGCTGGTCTGGACCAACAAGAAGATCATGTACCGTCTGTTTGTGGGCAGCATGCTGTTCCTATGGCAGAACGGCTCGGGCATCAACGCCATCAACTACTACAGTCCTACCGTGTTCGCCAGCATCGGCGTGAAGGGCGGCAATACCAGTCTGTTCACCACCGGTATCTTCGGCGTCGTCAAGACTGTCGTCACGTTCGTCTGGCTGCTTTGGCTGATTGACCACGTGGGCCGACGGATGCTTCTTCTGGTCGGTGCGGCTGGCGGTTCGATCTGTCTGTGGATCGTCGGTGCGTATATCAAGATCGCCGATACCAAGAATAGCGACAATACGGAGATGGACGGCGGTGGCATTATGGCCATGTTTTTCTTCTACTTGTGGACGGTGTACGTACCAGCCCGTGGCCCCAAATTTACGATTTCCCTGGATGCATCCCTCTAACCTACTCATACAGATTCTACACCCCCTCATGGAACGGCACCCCTTGGGTAATCAACTCCGTAAGTCTACCTCCCCAACACTCGTCCTCAATAAACAACCACTCACGTTAGCCCCAGGAAATGTTCGAGCCCAACATCCGATCCCTGGCACAAGCCTGCGCAGCAGGCTCCAACTGGCTCTGGAATTTCCTCATCTCGCGCTTCACGCCGCAAATGTTCGACAAGATGGACTATGGGGTATACTTTTTCTTCGCGACGCTGATGATCTTCTCCATTGTGTTTGTGTTCTTCCTCGTGCCGGAGACAAAGGGCGTTCCGCTTGAGAATATGGATGGTCTGTTTGAGCATAAGCCTGTTTGGCGGGCTCACGGCGAAGTCATTGCTCGGCTGCGCGAGGATGAGATGCAGTTCCGGAGGGATGTCGAGGAGGCGGGGGGGTCGAAATTGGGAGGGGAGCAGGTTGAGCGGTTGGAGACTGTTCAGGGTAAGGGGGTTCATGGATGAATGTGATTGTATATATGGGTTTGGTAGTTCAATTCACAAGATGAACTGGAGTCAACATGCTGCAGGATCTATCTGTCGAGTGTGGCTCAGTGACCAGATTGATGTATGGCTTTTCCTCGCTTCTTTACAGTGATAAGCTATCGACCATTTCTCATCTCTCTATCTATATATGTCTATGCTCAAGTATCAATCTATCAAATCCTAAAAAGCACCAACATCAACATCAACATCAACAGGCACCCCAGTATCCAACGACTCCCTAACAGCCCCACAAACAAGCAAAGCCCTCAACCCCTCCTCCCCCGAACACCCCACCTCAGCCCTCCCCAAAATAACATCCACAAAATGCCTCACCTGCTCATCAAACGGCCTCCTCCCCTCCTCCACCTCAAACCTCTCCACCCCCAGCCTCTCACCCCAACCCCCCTCCCCACACCCATCATAACTCCACCGCGTCATATCCGGCACACTCAGCGACGCGCGGGATCCAAAGATGCGATAAAAATCCGCCCCGCCGCCCTCCACCCGCGGAATCAGCGGGTTCTCGCCGGTCCCGGCCTCGAAATTATGCGGGGAGGGCGTAGCGTCGCAGACGAGGAAGGTCCCGACTGCGCCGGATGCGAAGCGGAGGGTGATGGCTGCGCCTTCGTCGGCGGGGTTGGTGCGCTGCGGGGGCGTTTGCTCGGCGTGTACGCGGGTGATGGGTCCCAGGAGGTAGTGGAGGATGTCGATGTCGTGGATGAGGTTGATGGGGATGACGCCGCCGCCTGTTGTGGATGAGGCGCGCCAGGCGGTTGGTGCGGAGAAGTAGGAGGGGGGTTTGAGGAGGGTCCAGAGGCCGTTGATGGCGATGATGTGGCCGAGGGAGTTGGTCTCTGAGGTGAGGATTTCCTTTGTCTTGAGCACGTAGGGGTTGAAGCGTCTGTGGTGGCCGACGAGGAGCTTGAGGTGGGAGTGTTGGGGTTGGTGGAGGAGGGTGAGGAGCTCGCGGGCTGAGGCGATGTTGTCGCCGAGGGGTTTCTCGACGAGGACGTGGATGTCTGCGAGGAGTAGTTGCTTGGTGATGGCGACGTGGGTGTGGTTTGGGGTGCAGACTATGGCGGCGTCGGGCTTGGGGATTGCCTGTAGGGTGGCTTCTATTGTTGGGTAGTAGCTTGTTCCTAGCTTTTGGGCGGTGGTTGCGGCGCTGGGGAGGGGGTCGATGAGGGCGACGAGGTCGGTGGAGGGGTTGGAGAGGATGGATTGGGCGTGTCGGGGGCCGATGAGGCCTGCGCCTACGATGATGAATTTGAGGGTCATGTTTATTTGGGGGGGTTTTTCTTAGGGTGTAGTATGCTTGAAGTATAGCCTGACAGGGAGGAAAGAGGAATCGCACAAGATCAATCATACAGATCAATTCCATTCAACTACGGACTCAGGAGACAGTGGCAGACATCGAAACAAGACTCCTGCTCATACGCGGGTAAATGAGGTACATGATCCACAGCGCAGGGAGAAAGCTTAGCCGGGCTGTTTTAGCCCTAAGTCTGGGACAGTTTCTAACATCCACTTATAGTCAAGTTTGATATCAACACCAGACTCAGTAAGGATAGGTTTAAAATAGGATAGAACTAGACAGCTACAATTGAAAGAAGTATTAGATGTAGATCACGATCCTCTGGCACTCTTGTGTCTGCCATGTGTCTTGCTTGGGGGCATATACTCCAGATAGTGCCAGGATGGAGCTATCCTAGAATGACATTATTGAACGGGCAGTCTATGAGACTGCCGACTCTGTCATTACTGTAGACAGTTGTCTACTATCTGGATGGATAATCCAGCCAAGCAACTGCTGATAGATGAATAGATCCATCCTGCTCACCGTACCTAACTAGAACTTCATCAACCGTTTACGCAAGACCCCTGATCGCTCCGGGTAGTAACATCCCAGACATTAAGCAAGTCTACTCTACCAGTGATACTCTACCAAAGTATAAAAGCATAAACTGCATCATATAAATATTACGCTATGCCCTCCTGCACGCCAATAGACCAAACACCAGATCAATCCGATCAAGCCAGCCAGCCAAGTCAGTCAGTCAGTCGTTGAAGACGAGAGAACCCATACATAAAAATGCCAATGCCGTCGCTGTCGTCACTCTTGATATACCTTGTGCTTTTTCTTTATATTTTTTTTTCCTTCTTTCCTTCTTTTCTTTGTTCTTGGGTTTTCATTTTTTTTTATCTTTCGATTTTTGTTATTCCGTTGGTCGTCAGGCGGCATAACGTCTCTGCTGCACATCCCCGTTCGTCAATCCGAGAGATATTGTTGAAACTCCCGTTTCACGCAAGACAGAGAAAAGCATAGGACGATCGCTGCGTGTCAACACTGGCGATCCGTCCTATCGCCGCGAAATGAAAGAATGTCTAGTGGTATATATAGTAGGAAATTATGTGAGCGCCGTTGGATGTGGCGTTTCGGCCTCGTCGTGAGCGACGGGCCAGGGTGCACAAGTCAGAGTGCGATGTTTAAGCTTCTTGCGCCCACCGCCGCTCGCGCAGCGGCATCTCCTCCCCGGCCTGGGCTCGACTGCCGTCCGTTTCACGGCGCCAGGCATAGTATTCTCCGAGACGGTTCTCGGCGTACGTTGCGTAGTCGAAATCGATCTGGGAGATCTGGGCTTGAATCAAACCCCATACACCCCTATCACTATTAGCCCGGCTCATCACAATCGCAAGAGGCAAATATACCAGTAGAGACCAGGGATTCCCCGGAATCGATCCACGTCCTCGTACAGCCGGTCGACCAGGTCCGTCTGCGACGATTCGGGGATCCCCTTGTGTGAAGTGTAGCTCTTGATATATTCGGTCAAGAACTGCCGGCGCACCGCCCGGGTGGGCATCATGCCGTAGTCGCAGTCGTATCCACCCCACTCGGCGAAGTGGTTGGCGATGTCGAATGCCGCCGGGGAGGGCGTCGCGTATTCGTAGTCGATGAAATGGACCGTGGCGTCTTCCGAGTCGTTGGTCGACGGCAGCGCGATCACGTTGGCGCAGAGTAGGTCGCAATGGGCAAACACCAACTAGGACACCATCGGGTTAATCGCGGGCTCTCCCAGAACCCGTTGTGGGGAGGAGTCTGAACTACGTACCCCGTCTTCACCCAATCCCTTCCCGTCGTCGAACTCGCCCACCACCCGCTCTAGCTCCCCCTGTAGGCGGAGCCGCCGCTGGCGCTGATCCTCCGAAGTGCTCGGGAGGGCAAGGATCCACTTCTGGAGAACCGTCCACATGTTGGGCCCGGGCTGGCGGGGTTTGATCAACGGGAAATCGTGCTCCCTGGGCTGCAGATGCGGCTGGGCGTCGGTCTGCGCGTCTACTTGGGGGATGATGGGCATCGCCGCCGCAGACATGGAGGGCTCCGCCTTGCCCTTGATGGGCAACACGGCGTGCCACTGTGCGAGCCTCCGAGCCACCGGCCGCCAGATCCGCGGGGTCACCAAGTCATCGTGGGTGGCCGGACGGCCCCGGATGAAGCGGTAGAGGAGGCCATTCTGGAAGCGGGCCAGCAGGGGCGGGGCTAGGCCATGGCGAGCCAGGAGCGCATGGGAGTTCGTTTCTCCTAAAGACAGCACAATCTACTCAGCAAGGTCGCAATGGGCAGGGAGAGGAATGGGCACCGGAGTATGGCATACTTTCGCGGTCTATGATAATCTCTGTATGGTTACCGTACGCTCTCATCAGTACTGCATCATTGTCTATCTGCTCCTCGGACCAGCCCGGTTTGCGATTAATGATTTTGAGGAGCTACCGGCGAGTATTAGCGACGGACTGATCGCCCAGGTTTACGAGAAAAGAGCCGCGGAAGGGCAACGCGGGAAACACACTGTGTTGGTGATCCCGTCCGTGAACCGCACGAACTCGATCTGGTTGCCTGGGCCCTCCCAATGTGGGTTCAAGGTCAGAACCAGCCTCAACGCGGAGGCGTGCGAATCCGCATGGTTATAGGACTGGGCGATATACCGAACGGAAGATAAGGCCGTCGACTCGGGTGTCGAGCCCATATCGCGGAGGGGTCAGGAATGAGCGTCAATCGATCTATTCAAGTATGCTTTGCCAAAAGTTAGCCAGAAGGATAAGCAATCTTCTTTCACTCAGGGATCTGCTATGTACACCATGTCCTTCCTTGCAGTTCGCAAGTTCAATCAGGAAGTTCCTTACCTATTTATCCAGTCTATGCAACGTCTGAATCCGTGCTGATCGGCGCATTAGCAATCGAGACAGCGAGTGAAAATCAACCAGTAATGAATACCTAGTAATTAGTACCTTCGTACAACAAGAACAAAAAAAAAAAAGCCACTATGAGGGGTCGGGGAGAGGGGCGGGGTGAAAAGAAGAAATAGTGGTTGATAGCCCCTGTGGCGGAAGGAGGAGAGACGCTTGAGTATCAACGGGCGGTTGGACTCGGGGGTGTGATTGGCAGATGCGGCAGGGAGCCCCTCACTCCCTCACTTTCTTGCTGACTTAGCAGTGATCAAGACCGGCGTTTCATTCTTCTTCATCCTTTGAAATGACGACACGGATTGATATGCATGGAGGGGTGGTCAGAACTTAATCGTATTATTGCTTACTAGATACCCTGCCTTTAAAACAGTTTGTACAACCCTTTTATGATTTTACATAGTAGTGATCTAGACAGCCTAGACTTGAATGCTACTCTAAGAATCATGTAGTATACCTCCACCATATTAACTCCTCAGCCTAACCAAAAGCACCAAATCCACTCAACCATTCCCATGTGATCCCAACATGTGACTTTGACGCCCACTCCATCAGGCACCACTATTATATCACATGACTTCCCCAGCCCCAGCCCTACACCCCTTTCCCCTCGGCAATCACTAGTCAGAAACCCCCCTAGCGCGACCGCCCCAGCCCGACTACAAATAGCTCCTCTCCCCCCCATCATTTAGGATCTTTTTTTTTTCTTTCTCTATCATCAGTAGAGGTTTACATTGACCAATGTAAATTTTTAACACCGAGGTCCCTCAAAGAGGCTTGCTGAGGGTTATCCTGTTTGGAATTTTTCTCTATGGGTTTCCCTCCGTTCCCAACTTCGGAGAGTGTCGTGCATGTTCCTTTCTCCCTAACACCATATGGCTTACATAGGGATTTCATTTCGCAAGATTTGTGCCCCATGCTCGTGAGCTGTGGAGGAGGTGCTACATATTTTTTTCTACTTCATACTTTATGTGGTGTGATGTGGATTTTATTATCATTATTACCTAGACTTGAATGCAATTCTTATATCTTAATGATTATCTGGACATCGTAAATAAGTATAGACGGCTAGCATGACAGCTGCTGATCAACATACCATCGTCTACTCGAGTTTCAATCTCGACCAAGAACGAATGCAATGAAGCTCGTGACTCGTTCCAAGCATCCATCTAAAGATGCTTTTTTTTATTATATAGATCAAATACTATATCAAGCCCGTCCAGCATTCCCAATCTGGATCCTCTCCCCACTCCACCTATCGTCGCTGCGCAGCACCGGCCAGCTCGTCCCATCCGCCTTGGCCAGCGTCAACTCGAGCTTCGTGCCCAGCACCCGGAACCCAGACTTCTCCACGTCGATGGGCGCAAACAGGTTGTAGGTATCCTTATACCGCTTGTTATCGGCAGTCGGCAGATCGAGCTCGACGGACTGCGGCGAGAACTTCACGCTCGCCCTGTCCTTGTCGATCTTTTTCAAGTAAAGCGAGGCGTTCACAGTCGACGCCGTTTGGTAGAAGTCATTCCTGTATCAAAGCCCAATTAGCCTCCGCCACCCCCCCTGTACCTCCAAACTGGAGATGTGTAGAGATGCCTACCGGACAGAATCCACCTTCTCCTCCCCAGCCGGCTTCCCCTTCCCAACAAACAAATGCTTGGCCTTCTCCGTACACCCGGGCAGCTTCAAGAACTCGTCAAACTCCAGCACGCGCTTCTTGCAGCACGACCACCCCTTGCTGCCCTCATGGAAGATCGGATGCCCGGGATGATGCACGCACTTCTCGTCCGCGCGCGGCACCGCCGCATCGTAGCCCGCGCCGCAGCCCTTCCGCCGACAGGTCGCATTCGCGGGGATCTCGAGGGTCTCGTCGTCGGACTCGGGTTCCTCGGGGGTGGGGGTGGGTGCGTTCGACGGGGGCGGGATCGCGGGGGATATGGTGTTTCGCGGCACGGCGCTCTCCGGTGTTGCGGCGATGGGCTTGACGGACGGTGTAGGGGTCTCGGACTGTTGCGACTGCTCCTTGGGAGCGGGCTCCGCGGGCGTGTCGTCTACCGTTGAGTGTTTGCCGGTCGTGCAGGGGGGGATGGCGAGGAATTCGTCAAAGGTGAGCACGCGGGGCTTGCAGCATTTCCAGCCTGTAGATCATGACACCAAGTAGATTTCAGTTAGTTAGTGTCTTGCTATGAGGGACTAGTTCCCACCGTCAGGTAGGTAGGTAGGGTCGAGCTTCCACAAGGCGGAGGTCGATAGTGTCCCGAATTAAAAGAAGCTCCAAGGTCCTCAGGACTTACCCTTTTGGCCTTCATGAAACACCGGCGGACCGGGGTGATAGACGCAAGGTTCGTCGGCGTCGGAGAATTCCTTCCCGCAGCACTTGTGCACACACTTGGACGGCATCCTCTAGCTTGTATGGTCGATCGTCACTGAGAGATAGGGACGGAGAGTGAGGCTGAGAGAGAGAGAGAGAGAGAGAGAGAGAGAGAGAGAGAGAGAGAGAGAAAGAGAGAGAGATGGTCTGCAGCGGGGAAGGAAGATCGCGGGGAAGAAAAGCGAATCGCAGACAGAGGTACTCTGGTACAAATCGAAAGTAAACCCGATCCATGATGAAAAGCTAACACGCCCGGCCCCCCCGAACGGGCTTAGTCTCAGGAAGCTCGAAGGTTCCAGTCAACATCCATCGTCTTCTATACCTACTTCATTTATTACATTTCTACTGGTTCTTCAATCATTTCACTCCTGACCCAATTAATTAGAAAGAAAAAAAAAGGAGAGAAAATCACCATGTTCCCGACACAAATCCTCTCCCAAGCCGCCCGCGTCACGCTCTTTACCCGTGTCGGCTGCGGCCTCTGCGACACCGCCAAACACACCGTGACGCAGCTGCACAAGCGTCGCCCATTCGCCTACTCCGAGTGCGACATCGGGCTGCCTGAGAACAAGCCCTGGAAGGACGTCTATGACTTTGACGTGCCGGTGCTGCATGTACAGTTTCCCAAGGGCGAGAACACGTCGGAACTCTCGGATCCGAAGAAGCTCTTTCATCGGTGGACGGAGCAGGAGGTTGAGCAGTTGGTTGATGAGGCTGAGAAGGCGTCTTCGTCGTAGGGTCTCTTGATTCTCTGTGTTGTAATCGAAGATACCACGACCTCGCTGGGCAGTCGGGGTCACGTGCGGTGCCCGGACGGTGTGCAAAGCAGCTGGGTTGTATGAGCCATCTCCAGATATTGGGGGTATGGACGACTCTTGCGGCGATAAATCCCCCCGGCTGGCTCGATCAATTGCCGCTAGGGGCTAGCTTATAGCTGGTGCTTTCTTTGCCCGTTTATGACGCTTGCGTGTCGCCCTCGGAAACCTACGCCCATATGGTTGGATCTTACAGCAAGGCCCCTGCAAGAGGCTGTTATCGACGAATCAACAGAATTGCCCAATGATAATAAATTAAATGTAAATAGGATTAGACTATATACAAGAACAGCCATTCCACGCTACCACCATCAATCACTCCCACCCCCCACCAAGATCAACCGGCAAACTTTCAATCCACGCAAACTGCCCCCGGCCAGCATTCATCTGATCCCCAAGGCCCAGTCTACTATAACTGCCCCTCCCTCCAGCCGTCCCATTCTCGAGTACCCCATCTCGCAAGGCCAACCCAGCACTACCTACACTCTCAGGAATCGGCCTTCTAACATCCTTCGACAACCCCATCAACGTATCCCAGCACCGCTGCGCAACGCGCTTCAGAGACCCATGGGGCCAAACATCTCTATACCGGTCGAGAAGGTCAACTGCGCGCGAGCGGGTCGTCTCCATCGCTTGGCTGTCAATTCGCGCCGGGTCGGCACTTCCAGGCCCGCGGAGACGGGTTGCGAGGGCGATTATCCCGCAGGCGTATGCGTAGTGGATGTTTTCCCAGTATGAGGTGATGGCGTTGGATGCGAGCGCGTCGGGTTGGTTGTTGAGCAGTCCGTCTTCGTTTTTGTAGAGGATTTCGGCTAGTTCGGCTGCTGCGCCGGCGCATTTGCTTGATGAGTCGCGGATCATGCTGAGGGCTATGGGTGAGTCCGGCGATGTGGCATTTCTGTCAGTTGCATGGGAGTGGCTGTCGGTGGGAGGGTTGTGGACATGGCCTAATGCGCGGCCGAGGATCAAGAGGGGTCGGTGTAGTCGTAGTCTGAGGTACAGATAGCGGATGCGAAGGATGTTGCGTTGTCGGTGGACGAGAGGGTCCTCTGGGTTGCTGTTTGGTGTCTTGTTTCGGAGGAATGATGGTAAAGATCTCTGCCAGTCGTATAGGAAACTGTCCACTTTGAACAGGAGCCTGAAGTCCAGGGATAACATCTTTTTCGAGGCGCAGCCGCTGGTCTGTACCCTCGACTCGTCTTCCCAGGCCATGATATCCTCGACGTGGCAGTAGAGCCTCGCGCAGGCTGTTAGAAACTCTATCGTGGATGGCCGCTCGGCATGTGCCCGAGGCTGCTTCTCCGAGATGGCGTCGAGGTAGTCCGTGTCCGAGTGCATGGGCAACGGGACGCGGAGCGGGTTGGGAGTCTGCGGTGGGATCCCCAGCTGCAGCGCAAGCATTCGCTCGATAATCATGGCACTATGCCAGAGCCTTCGGGCCAGGTCCCGATCTCTTCTCTCAACGACGTCCCGTCCTCCTGTCTTCAGGTGTAACCCTTGAGTTTGGGCAATCCTGATAGTAGATCCAATGACCGACCACGCTGACTGCAGCTTCCCAGTAGCATACAGGTAATGACTCTGCAAAAGGGAACTTTGTATGTGTTCCCATTGATTCCCAGGTTGCACGATCCCCGGGGTTAGATTCTTACCATAGGCGAAGAAGCGGTCCACATCAGCAAAGTCCATCTGGTGAGAGTTCCATCCGGAGATAGCGAAGATGACATTCAGAATCCCGTGGAACGTGTCCGTGGAGGAACCCGTCATTCGCCCGGTTTTTGCCGCTTCATACGCAGATCTGAAATGGGCCAGGTCAAAGATAGGCAGGTTTGCGTATTCTCGCGTGAGGTAAATGTGTATGAGGCTATCTGCCAACTCCTGGGTCAAATGCACGGGGAAGTCACGCCGCGTCGGGCCTTTGGCAGATGATGGATCCCCTCCAGGAGGACTCATAATCGGGGAGCAAAAGGCGCCATCTTCCAGTAGTTCTTCCGCTTTGATATCACCCGTTCGTTCGCCGACGACCCGCTGCAACTCCCTAAGGCGCGAGTAGTCAGTTGCCATCTCAGGTGGCTCTGTCGAAAAATTGGCCGTGTGGAAGCTCTGGTCCGAATGGACAGAAACCTGCCCATCATCAAGGTCAATGCCGGCAGGCTCATCCAAGCTCTGGGGCGTCTCAACGCCGTTCGTGATGATATCTGGACTACCGGAGGAATGGAAGGGCTCGATGACCACCATGGGTATCGTGGACGGACTCCGGTGAGTGTCTGAGGGATGCCAACCCTGGCTCCGGCGTACTAGGGTTTGAGACTCCCTCTTACGCTTGTTGTTACTGTTTAACGGTTAGGACGGTCTGACGAAGGATGGCGATATGTCCATACATTGGCGGGGGCATGTCAGAGGGCTTGTACGAGCAGTCCTCCTCAAGGCCCCGGGCTTTACAGCCACCACAGCCTAAGAGATGCATCAGCTGTCGTTACATAGACAAGGGAGGTGGAGCTACGTACTTGGTCGTTTTCGATCACATCCTCGCCGTTTCAACCGGCACACGCAACAAGGAGTGGGCGGGAGGGGGTCGTTGGCATAAACCATTTGTCTGGCAAGCTGGTGTGTTAAGATGCGATATCCACTAAATGTACGTCAATTTATCTGTATGGGATGACCAATGTGTGTGTATCAAAGCATTCGGCAGAAAGTGAGGAGGGCATCAACGAAGAAACACCTGAAAGTCAAGGCTCGCGTACCAGACACGACCGTAATAGGAAAAAGGAAACGCATAAAACCATGAATTCTGAGAAAGATAACTATAACATAACAATTGAATAAAAGAACGAAACCCAACTGTGATGATGACAGCCAGTCAGGCCATCTACGCGTTCACATACCTTTATAATGAATGATTGGACATGTAAGCGCGGCGGGTCTGAATCTGGGGATGCTGGAGACGCTCCAGCCAGGGAAGACGCGGTCTGGGACGGGACAAGTCAACCCAGTCCACAACCAGACAGTTCAATCAACAATCCCAACAGGACAATCGACCAACTAAATATATATATGAACAAGTCGACAAGATACGATAAGGTTTTGGTACTAGAAGAATGATGGTGATGATGCTGGTAGTGGAAGTTGGCTGGGTCTGTCTCCAGGGGCGGACGCGGGTTGTCCGTGCACCTTATCGTTATCAGCAACTGGCCAGAATAGTTCCCACCGCAGGTATTATGAGGGGAGATTAATGAAATCGATGGAATCAATGGAATCTATAACATCCATAGTCTGTAGACAGATTCACAAGAGGTTCCCATCTTGCAAACATCTTAGTACCAAAACAATCAGGTCTGTTTGTGACCAGTCAGGTGATGAACACATGCGGATGCTTCGATTGGCTGGTCATTTTACATCTGGATCCATCCTACGCACCTGGGTACCTATGATGATGGATTTTCTCGGTGGCCAGTCGACTACAGCTAAAGCCAAGGTAATCGAAACCAGTATCTAATCATCATTGCTAATATGTAATGCATTGATTCATTTCTGAAGTAGCCAGTGGCATGTATATCTGGAAGCTGGCCCATGACACTATACCCGGCCATTCAAGTCAGATCCCAAGGATCCGACACATTGTACCTAGGACAATTCTCCAGACTCCACACGGAGCCCTCTCCTATTATGTATGTCCAGTAACGAGGTTCGTAAAACATTAACGTGGAGCCCAATATTTGCATGTGTAAGAAAACGGACGACAAGATGGCCCCGGGTCATCGGTCGCTTTGACAGATAGCGACAAGAAAAGGAGTGGGGGGGATATAGAAGAATGTACACAGCGATAAGCACCAGTGGTGCAGGGCATAAATAAGCATCAATCATGAATGAAGAAAGTAAAGGGGAGGTATGGGGCCGTATGGTTTTCAGTGTTTTGATGAGCCACAAAGTGGTCAGCATTATCAAAACCACATAACACCCACGACAATGCTAATCACAATCGCCATGCAACTGCCGCGCAATCTTTCTGGGTCCCGATCAAGTTTTGTAGCTTGTGCCTCAGCTGCTGCGGGCTCTGGGGTATGCGCAGGTGCGGCTGTGAGATTGACATGGGGTGTTGTTTCTGGCAAAACGATATTGTCAACTTTTGCCAGAGATGCTGAGTTAGAGGTAGGAGGCTTTTTATTAAGGAGTTCGGGTGATGCGAAAAAGGTTTGAAGGTGGTGGACAAGATAGCAGGCCCGCTGCCATGTTGCGGTGAAGTGGAAGGAGAATCTCGATTCGGTGAGGTTGATTCCATTCGTAAGCCCGCGCGCGTGGCCTTTTTCAAAAGATCCCACCACGGCAGGCGTCGCTGGAGTAACAGGTGAATCGACAGTCGGTGTATGGGGAGTAGGGTCCGTCTTGCCGGAGCTGTCGAGCAAGGACGGTTGAGGAATAGGAAGTTGTTCGTCAGCTTGTTTATAAACAAGAGATCTAAACGCGCGGACGCCCCGCACGAGACTCGACGGTTGCTCAACGGGACGCGTTATCGGACCATCGAGAACAGGAGCGGTTTCAATCAGATTCTCAGCCAACGAATCCAACGTCGTCCGTCGAGGTCGCGACTTGCGATCCAAAAGCGGCTGATCGGTGCGCTCTAAATAAGACTTGCTCTGCCCACTATCCGTCCGTAGCAACGGCTGCACATCGACCAAGGCATCGCTAACGCGCGGAACATCTGTCGGACCTGCATTGTCAGCTCGAGAACCACTATCATGCAATCACTCCTGGGGCAAGCAACATACGGCGAACGTCAGGACGGCGATAGCCCAAATATCCAAAACGGAAACTATACAAATCCCATTCTTTCGCGAACGACGGCACCAAACTGAACAGCGAGAAGACAAGAAGAGCAAGAAACGGGACTGCGACAGGTTTCTGTAGGCCCGACCGCATCGTACACACTCATAGAATCTCTCTCGAGCAGGCTTATTTCGACGGCCGGCAAAGTATCCCACTCGGTGTAGACGCCTCAAAAGCAGACAGCAATTTCATTGCATCAACGGAGTTTGCCAGTGCGTCAAAGTAATAAACCGATCGCGGTTGGGATGTCGTAGCCCCGCAGTGAGTAACTATGTCACAGTGGCAAGCTCAGTCGCCCAGCACAACGATTATCGTTTCGATCGTGGACCAAAGAGATCGGCCGATGGAATGCGCAGAGAAAGGTGGGTTTGTGGTGGCCGGTTCGGGAAATTCTTGCAGGCAAGCACGTATTTTCTTGGAAACTTGGAAACGAATCCAACGTCCCCAGCAACGGTCGGTCGGTGGGGGACAGGGAAGGCAACAAGGTGAACCAGAAATAGAAACTGCAGCCGTCTGGCCTTGATTTCAATTGACGCGACGCCTATCAGTTCTTTCTTCCAGTAGATATGGAAGAATCACCGAGGAATGACGTAAAGGACGAGTAAGGTTGTGGCTGAATAGCTCGGGATAGCTCCGGCTAATGATGGTCGCAAGCGGAATGCCGCCCAACTGATTGGACAAGGGAGAAACAACCTAAAGTCTTGGAGTAACAGGGAAAGAGGGGAAGATAAAAAGAAGTCACAGACGGTCAGAACGCATCATGCATGGTTTTATTTTGGCGAGTCCGAGCTGCAAATGAAATTTCAAATCTCAAGGTCCGAAAATCCCAAACGAAAAAGAAATAAGAAAAGAAGAAAATTAAAATTAATCAAATGAATCGATTAATTAATTGTGTCTTAAAGTTGTGGTTCGCGCCAGATGCCTTGTTGGCCTCGAATAAAGGCCTTGACCGCCTCCCCTATCATTGGCTCTTTGGTATCGGTGGAAATCATCGTGGATCCTGACCACCGATGGAGTCACGGCCGACCATTGCCCTATGGAGTACACTCGACGCCGTTTGCAGTTACGGGCGGATGCAACCTCACACTCACGATGATCATTGTATTGCGTTCAATGCCCTCTATTCAACATCGGATCTAACATCGGATCTTTGCTCTAAACGGCTGGGTACCAGTACCTTACCCACCATGATAATCGATTGTTTTTTCGACTTGCCCTGCTGGGAAACTTGATCCTTAAATTGAACTAAACCGCTTCAAGAACCCAATTTACCACCCGTCGTTGCAGGGCGAAAACCGGGTACACTGGGTCAATGCTGAGTAGCCATAGAATTCTTAGACTCTTGGTGGCTCGTGTCAGGGAAATCTTGGTCGACATCAGATCAGTTCCGTTTCTCGTTTCTTTCTTGGACAAACCGATGACTGGTTTATATAATCAAAGGCTTATTAGTTGCCATATCGGGATAGTACAAAGACAAGATACACTCCAGGCCAACAATTGCGAACAATACTACATCATGCTGGTATTATGGAAACCCATGCTCTACCCCACAATGAAAAAAAGTATACAAACAGGAGGTAAGAAACAGGAAAGGAAATTTGTGAACGAATCGCAATTCCAGTCGTCATATATAATAATAGTCGTGGTCAAGACATTTCACATCACTCGTAACGGTCTTCTGCACGGAGGTAAAACACCTAAATAGGATTCATAATGGTTGGATCAGGCACAGCAGGCGGCCACGCCTTCTGGCCCATTTTGACAGGGATCGGGAGTCTCGAGGCTGCGACTTTCGCCTTGGGCTGCGAGGCCCTTCTGGGCGGTGGGGTTTCGGCTTGGCTGCGACTACCGTCACTTCTCGAATTCTCGCCACCGGGTGTCATCGACGGCGTTGTCGTACTGCCGCCTTCGAGGGTGCTCGTCTTCCGTCCGCGCTTGACCATCTTGCCGAGGACTCGCACGATCTCGGCTGCGTCCGTGAAGCTCTCGTCGTCCATGCCTTCTTGTGCGTTGTATACGTCGGAGATTGCTTGCTTGGCGAGGCGGCGGCAAGCGTGCGAGTCGTGGAGGCAGTCGTAGAGGTAGGCTGCATATTCGAGTTTGATGGATAAGCGGAGCGGGTGGGAGCCTGGAAGGAATTGATCCGCTAGAAGCACTGCTTGATCAAAGCAGGCTGTTGCAGTGGGGGTATAGTCGAGGGCTGGGAGGAGGAAGGCCGCCGTGTGGGAGGGTCGGACGGGTGCGAGGCCCGGAGGTGCCTTGGCCACTTTTGCTCGGGAAGAGTTCCTGGAGGAAGAATGCCGCTCGGGAACTGTCAATTCCTCTCCTCTCCCTTGAAAGGAGAACCGCGACATCGAGTCTTTGGAGGGCGATTCCGATCTGCTGGCGGGATTTCCCGCAAGGCTGAGGATCCCCGGCGAATGGATGGCCGGTTGGTTGTGGAACAAGACGAAGATATGGTAAAAGGAAGCTCTGAGTTTATATGCAAGGATCTGTAATTCGACGGAGACATGGACCATCGGGAACACAAACTGTTCCAGTATTACAAGCCCTTCGCGGGAGAGCCAGATAACATGATGGTATAACTGAAGAGACTTGGTCTCGCGAGTCGGATCCAGTCGCCGCAGCCGCCGCGCACGAAGGAGCTTTTTCGACAACATAATTGATAAGCCGAGAATCTTGTATAACATTGCTGACAACAAAGGACTTTCGAAGGTCGTGGCGGCCGCGACGTTGGCCAAAGCCTTCTGGTCCACCTCAGATGAAGCCATCCACAATGCTATGGATGCCGGATCTATCGTCGGCGCATTGGAAAAGCTATAGTCAGCTGAAACGATCCCAAACAGAGACATAATGTAGCGCAGCTAGTCAGGATGTGAACAGCCAAGGTAGGGCGCGAGAACTTAATTGAGCTCGGTGCCATCAAACTCCTTCCTCTGCAAGAGGAAAAGAAAGACATTGACAAATGAAACGAACTACAAAAGAAATAAGGTGTAAAATAAAGAAAGAAGGCCAGGGCGAAGCATAACAGCAGCGGTTACCTTCAAACGGAACCCAAAACAAGACGAAAGAAGCAAGCGGCAAGGCGAATCCATGAACTTACCTCCGAGGCGCGCGCAAACAATTGATGGGAAACAATTAACCGTTCAAATGTTGTTCTTCTGCATACCCGTGCCAAGCGCTTATGCGAGTCTGGTTATTCAAAAAATTGACCTTGAAGCTGGGGGTCGCTGGTGTTGAATGGCAGGGAGAATCTCGTCACTCGTTTTACCGTGCTTGATTTCCTGCTCTTGAACCGTTGCTGTCAAACCGGGTCAGGGAGGATGGATGCACGTAAAGATAAAACCACAAAAGCCGCCAAGTCAAACAAGCCGTTATGATATACTACATGGGAATCGGGGTATAAATTTGGACATAAAGGTCCTGGTGTACAAGGTGCGTTTGTGAAGCGGGGGGAACGATATCAGAGATCAGCAAGGGTCAGAACATCAAACGGCTGAACAATTCGACCATTCGTCTGGGTAATTGCCTTGGGAAGCGAGTACGGCAAGCAATTGGGGATAGTATAGGGTTCATGCAGATGAAGGGGTCCAGGGGGTGTATAATGATAACAGATCTTGGTTTGATAACCATGCAAGGTACGAAAAGGGGTAGTCAACAGCAGAAGGTCAAGAAAGCAGTCTCAAAAGCATTGTGTGCGCAACGAGGAGTGGTAAGGCATATTCATATGTGCTGGGTAGTAGCTGGGATCGAAGATGTTGCTGGCAATGCGAGGTGATCGATTCATGAATACCCAATCACTCTGACAGTTGGTTAAGTAAGTTGTGTTAGTTCGTTCCGGGGATCGCCATCTCAGGCAAAGAAATCGAGTTGACAGTGAGGCATGAACATGAGGACACCGAAGCCCTATGGGAAAAAAAGAATTGGACGGGAAAACAATGCAAAATGCAATTGACGAACAAATCAATGACAATTAGGAGGATTAGAGAGAAAACACCTGGGCAGTAAGGAATAGAGACGGGCAATGCAAGGGCAGGGAGGTTATCTGCATGGGGGGGAAGTGGAAAATCGGCCTCGGACAGCAAAAGTGGACGGAAGCCCACCACAATAATAATAATATATATTCCACCCCGCCTAGGGAGCGGCAGCTACTGCACTGGATAGTCAATACACATTACCTCGCTACTCCACTTGGCAGTTTGTACACTGCCATCCGCACAAGACTGGCGGATCTTCCTTTTGATACCCGGGAAAAGGTAGCAACAGTCGGGCACGAATAGTAGCAGAGTGACCCCATCGTCAGGGTCTTCGTCATAGGTGATAGAATAGCAATTTTGTTGCGGGGCACACGGTAGTAGAATCAAAATAATTAAATAAGATAGAATAAAAATAAAAAATAAAGTGGCAAGTTGGACAGTCTCGGATCTCCAGACCCTAGTAATTAGTGACTGCTACTCAGTGCTCAGCCATGAGGCGCAATGGACAGCGCATCAACCCTAATAATTTAGCCAAGTCAAACCCAATCCAGTCAGTCAGTCAGGCTGTTAGACCCGTGCCGTCCCGTCAATGAACCGTGTCTTGCAATTTCCAAACCAGTCGAATGGGACGGTAGGAATAGCTTCTGTTGAGTAAAGAACCGGTGAGTCCACTCTAGACCCCGAACATCGCCACAGCCACAAGCCATGGCAGATACGGATAGAAGTGGCCTGCGATTTGGTGCCTGATCCAAATCTCCAGTCCGCGTCAGAGACGGTCTACCCGGCTAACCTGGAATGGCTGCCCCGCGCGCTTCTTCGTATGCGACGTGAGGATGGCGGCAGAATTAGCTCGGAAAGACGCAACACTGACAGCTGGCTGCCAGCGTGGCATCGGAAAATTCGATCCTGTCGAGGGGTTTTGCACGGCGTCTAAGCGAATCACGTTGCTTCAATGTTAGCCTAGCAGTTGGTGAGATCACCATGAGTTTAGTTTCTATAGGTCTACGTCTATTGAATGTCGGATCAATCGTGGAATTGGAGAAGTTGGGGAGATATATATGATGACATAACATGCCAACTATAAGAAAAAAATTGTAAACAAAAAAAGGGAGAAAAAAAGAAACGACAAGGGCCGGATTCGAACCGACGACCCCGAAGGGATAAGATTTCTAGTCTTACGGATTAACCGCTCTCCCACCTTGCCGGGTTCATATTATCACGTGTCTCTCTAATGATATAAGTCTCAACAATGATTAGTTTTAGTCTCAAACAGTGAGGTAGACATCATGTACGATTAACACTATCTCTATTCCTGGGTTTAATCATCTTACCAAAGGATCTGATGCAGTATGGGAAATGAAACACGATCACTGGGATGGTAGTCAAGTCTTATAAAAATGACCAACATGGTATAAGAGCGAATGTTCCACAAAATCTTCTGAAGAATCACTACAATATATCTGAGTACACTCTACGCGGGCACCACATATCACACTATAAAATCTACATGATCACTCAGTTTATAAAGCCCTACATGGTTACTTATTTGGACCACTGTTATAGTTGAACTGTGAAACATACATCCAGCAACACTGACATGTTGCTGAGTTTTTCCTACAGATTGTCAATTTGACTCTTCATGTTTCTTGCAACCTTGTAACTACTCGCAACTTCTTTCTATAGCTTCAAGATTCGCCAATATCATCAATGTTTGGTCGTTCTTATTGGTCTCCCACAAACCACAGCCTTCTTTTTTTATCTAGATATTATGCTGGGATATCAGTCATATCAAAACCGATCAAGATGCTATTCGATATTTTGGTGCAGTGGTTGAGATATTACATATATCGTGCCTGTCCAACATCTCTGTTGACCGCATATCTGTCTACCATGTCTTAACAACCGGTATTGCCGGCCACAGACCCCGCGGCACAGTCTCTACGGAGCAATCTCAAACGCAATATATCTTCTAAGCTCTCAACTGCTATACCCGAACCTAAGGGTGTCCCAGCGTAACTAATCGAGAGAGTGCAATACGAACAATATACCAGCAGCCAAAGATTTACGAAAAACACTTGAACGTCATCAAATAACGCTTCATCAAGATAAATCCCGCAATCAGTATATCCTCTTCACAGTTATCCCAGAGAAAATCCCCCAGATCAAGTGATGGCCATTCACGAACAAGCAAATGCAAACGATTATCCTACCATGAAGGAACAGAAACCTTATGTGGGAAAGGCACACGAAATTGCAGCAAGATCATTCAACTTGCTATTATCCCTTGATATACATCCCATGGTCTTATAAGATAGCATGGAAGCTCTCAGCTCAACAAAAATGCAACCAGAAACTGGAAAAAGGAGTCCGACTGTTTTTGGGCACATGCTTTGAAGGCTATAGAGCTGAGTTTTGTGGCAGAAGCAGGGTTATCACAGTCGTCTCGAAAGCTAGGTAGGCTATTGATGCTCGAGGGTGGGTTGAGATTTGTGTCTTGTTAGTGCAAATCGCCATCACTACGAATATCAACCGGGTATATCTAGAGACTATCATACAACGATGGGAGTTATCCTCTAGGGGGATCGCATTGTCTCCTAGCTTCCGAATTTGGACGCACTGCGTCCTTGAAACTATCTCGAATGAAAAATACAACTTCCGTCACCGGAGAATCCTACAGGAATGGTCCGAATTTAACTACGACGCAGCTGAATCTACCCTTTGACAAGGTAGTTGGGCGTCCACCAATTCCGCCTCCGCAAAGGGATCTTGTCCATTCACGAGCAAAAGTTCAAAGATTCTGCTGAGAGGATATGGAGGGAGCAATTTTTCCTATGACTTAATTGGGCTACGTTGTTGGTGGTTTATGTGATGCGAGTTTATGTTGCTGCTGTTCTGTCGTACTCGTCGCTATAAACGGAGGAGTTTACTCGGCTGCAAAAGATATTATGACACGTTGACAAGCTTTGCGAGTAACATTATATTCACTGTGACTATATCCCTGTGAGGGAGTCTCATCTAAAGATTGAGGATTTAGTTACAATTGAACCCAGATAGATTTCTAACCATTTGGAATCTGGATAAAATCAAAAATACATATAAGACTATCAGGTTCCTCTCGAAAGTCTCAATTCCACCGAGTGGAGCTGCGTATATGATCACTCCTCACAGACTTCAGACAGATAACGACCTGCCTGCTGAGAACCCCCTAATACACCCTCATAAATCATTCGATATCATCAAGTTCGTCATAGGACATATATTTCACAAACGCGCGTTTCAAAAAGGCCCTCCACACTCGATTCTTCTTCTTCATTGCGGGGGAATCGTCATCATCATCGTCATCAGACCCCTCGCTACCGGCTGCGAAATTGTCCGCAGCCCGGGTAGCCAGCTTGAAGAAGCTGCGCACTGTGAGATCGTCCATCTTATAAATACGGTCTTTTGTGTCATATTCGGCTTCGAAGGAGAAGAGGTTCTTGCGGATTTCCTCGTCGAATTCTTCCAAGACCTGATTGGTGGTGTTGGCTGAGCTTTCGAGTTCGGCCATTTCATCGTAGATTCGAGTCAGGTTCGCGAAGTATTGAGTATAGCTTAGCCATGTTAATGGCTGATTGGAGTAGGCTGGCCCTGGGGGTGCAGATGGCGATGGGGGTTCAGGGACTTTGAAATTTGGCTCCTTCTTTTTCTTTCCATTCTTCTCCGGTGTCTCTTCGTCGGCAGAGTCATCGTCGGTATAACCATCATCGAAAGAGCCACCGGTCTCATGAGAGCGTAATTCATGAGACAAATCGCTGGAATTTTCGGCCCATGTGGCCACCCCTTCCAGTCCGGTGGTGTTATATTCGACAACTCTCAACGTCGGAAAATAGTTCGGTACCAGACTGGGAGACACCAATGACACGCTATATCTTTCGGCCCAGGGGCCTCCAATTTTCTTGAAAAACTTCTTCCTCTTCTTCTTTTTCTTGGATACCTGCGATAGAACCTCCCTCCCAGGAGGCGATTCGCCCATCCGTTCTTCCATGATCGATGAATCGTCCGGCGGTGAAGGCATGTCGGACCAGTCCTTTCGGAGACTAGAAAGATAGTCCGAACGGGACTGAACATCGATCCTATCTGAAAGCCCCTCTGAAGGGACGTCGGACGCGGAAGCCCCGAAATCATCAACGATGTCAATCTTGCGACTGTCTTGGAGCATGAAGTGGTCGATATTCATGTGGCCGTATGCGCTGCCAACGATCACATCACGATACTGATGGACCCACAGGGTGTACTTCTGCCAGCAAGTCTCGTCCCAATTCTGTTTGGAACTTGTCCTCGCGGGGGGCACATGCCCGATGAGGATCGCTTTCATGCCCCGGGAGCGAAGTATCTTGAGTTGCACCCGCAGCCACTCCATGTGTTCGTAGCCTGGTTCCGACTTGTCGTCGCACCCGTCGACCGCAGAGTTGGAGTCGAAGAAGTACATCGTGTTCAGGCTGATGACCGCCAATTGATTGGGGATGACCTCCGAGGTGAACCAGCCACCCTCCACGAAGCTATGGCGCTGGTGTTCGGGAATAAATCTGGTCCAGACGTCCAGATAATGCTTTGTCCATTTATTGGGCCCGTCCGCAAGAATGTTGTGTGGCATGATGTCGTTGTTTCCGAGCGTGGGGATGACGGGGATCGAAAGCGTGTGCGGAGCATCGGGGTGTTTGAAAGTGTCGACAAACTTGTCTGCGACGAATTTGTTTAGGGAGATCACTTCGTCCGGTGTTCGAGGGTTTTTTAAATCGTTGTCGTGGCGAGCTGAATCACCCGTCCATATCACGAAGTCGATCTTGCCCTTCAGGTTGTTTTCTATCCAGCGAAACGTTTCGTTGATGAGGGCCAAGGGCGCGTCGCATTCCGTGCCTTCTGCGCCGAAATACCCCGCGCGCCCTTCGCCTCGGTGGCAGGAAACTTGCTCCGAGGTGGATGCTCCATCTTTGTATAGTCTATCCGGATGGAGATCTGAATTTATTAGTGAATGAGTCTTTTTTAATTCCATCTGACGATTAAAGAGCGTAGTGTTGTACATACCTGTTATGTGCAGAAAACGTCCCGACAGTCCGCGCTGGGACCCTGCAGAGTTTGCGGTATCTGCACCTGCGCTCGAGGATAAAGCCTCATGTCCCAAGGGGCGTTGGTCTGACAGAGGACTGGCAAATACACCGCCAAGGAACAGGATGCCCGCGAGCAACGGATTCGGAATCATTGGGGTTTCTTGTCAAGGAGAGCTCGACAGCGGGGAACGAGCAATTATCCTTGATCGATAATTTCAATCATAAAGCAGACATCGGTACATGCGATTTAGAGTGGAAGAAGAAGCGACCGCTGATAACGAGAATAGGGACACCGTTAGTTATTTTGTTGATCTCTTTCCATTTTTTCTTTCTTGACGAACAGTGCAATGTCGAAGTTACTCACCGTCAGTTTTAAAAATGGAGCAGTAGCTTCGGCCAAGAGCACAAGACAACAACGTCACCACCAGTAGTAGTGACCTCCCAACCGTGTGGAACGCGCTGACAATTCTCCAATCAGGTTAAGGCCTCCCGACGGTTGATGGCAGATGACTCCACACCATGGTACTGTGAAATAATAATGTCTTTCTCTTCACGGTCAAAGGCAATGTATTTATTGCGACTGCGACTCGAAATGTGGGGCGGATTATTCTGGTCTCAATGGTGTAGGAGGTAGGTTGGTGGCTACTGCAGTGTCACCAAATAGGCTTCAAACCATCCCCCCTACACAACATCATGCAAGGGAGACAACTGTATTTCGGCCTGTCCGATTGTCCAGGCGCTCCACGTGCTCGTTGGCGTGGTTCCCACCCCACGATATTCCCAAACCCATCCTCAACGACCATCCAATCATTCACTTTCTCCGCCAGCCAAGATGCCTTCTCTGCACATCGTCCGAGGACCTTGTGGATGATGGAATGCTATGAACTACCAGGAGGCAATGGATGATCTAGTCAGTTGAGCACGCTTTGATCTCTCAACTTCGTTCAGGGTAGTACCGATCTCAGGTCTTATGATGCATCTTCTACGGAAGTGTTTAGCCTCAGCGTTCCATCACCAGTACAGTCCAGCACGGGTTGAAACCTCTTCCCGGCCGCTGGAGACGAGCTTATCAAAAAATCTGGTCTATACCTTGACAAGATGGCAGTCTTCCTACATGACAGATTTGACTGCATTAAATACATGACCGAGAAGTTTTATTGTCCATATAGCTAAAAAAAAAAGGTCATCGCCAAAGTTCATAAGCCCGGCTGAAGCCCTGTCCTCCCACACTCCCTAAGACGACTGCTCCCCGGGTAGGAGGGCCAGTCTCCCCACAAGCTTGTTCGCCACTGTTCGCATCTGCACCGCGCTGAATCTTCTGTACGAACCCTTCCGGGTGATCCCAGCATGACGAAGTCCCAGCACTGTGGACACACCGGATAAACGGCTGCCCGCTCAGCGCAAGCACATAGTCCCGTGTGATTCGCCTGGGTTCATTCGTGAGGGTGCTGCCTTGCTTCCGGCATAGCGTCTGGATAGTCTCAACTGGCGATGCCAGTAGGTTCCGGCCGACGGGTAGGTAGTTGCATGGAGAATCCATTTTCTGGCCCTCGTCCCCACGATTGCATCTCCCAGCCTCGCGCAAAAAAGACAGGGTAGCTCGTTCAACAGGGGCGCCCATCCCAGACCGGGTCGCTCCACCATGATGGTCTTCAGGTCACTTCGTGGAGATCCTACCACCAGGTCCATGAATTCATAGCCGTAGATCCGGGACCCCCTGGGCGGCTGCAGGGACGTCATAGAAAAGTTGATCGAAAATCCCATGATGAGCTCGCGCACGGTCAGCGTGTCTTCCCCGACTCCCTCCACCACAACGGCCCCGTTGGCCCGCAGGCTTTCTAACGAGCTCGCGGATCCATTGGAAGGTATCGCGACGGGAACCGGTCGCCGGTCACCTGGCGGCGACATCATGGAGTGATAGACCAATAACATGTGATGGTAGATGGAGAGAAGGGGCACGAGCCACGCTCGCCGGGCGCTGACGTCGTAGAGAATGGCCTGTTCCAGCATACTACTGGCCAGACATCGTGTGTAGTTTTCTCCCGGCGTGAACCGGACGGTGTTGACAGCGCGCTCCCACGCAAACCCAACCTGGGCCCCGATCTGGATGGGTGCCGCCGACTGAGCCAGCAGCTGCAGATTAGCCCCCTTCCAGCGCCACGTCGTGGGCTTGACCTTGGCATCCGACCAGCTCACATTGGCCTCGAGGCTGTCCGTCCCTAATTGGACCTGTGCCGATGTGCACCAGCCTAGCAGAGCCTCTGCGGTATGAAGTTCTTCCAGCCTTATTCTCTGTAGCCAGGGCCATTGAGTCGCCTGCAGTTCGGATTTTCGGAGCTGCTGCTCTCCAGGAGCAACCTCAAGGTGCCATATCACCTGGCCGCAATCGTTGATATCAACCGGAACTAAGGCGGTCGAATAACCCATGAGAACCAATCCTGATTCTATTTCTACAGGATATTCCACTGCCGCAAGCTGGAGCAAGGCCCCGAAGCTCAATTTCAATAGCCAACTCGAGGGGAAGACCTTAGTAGGCATTACGACGACGACTGCGTTTTTAAATAGCCGAGACCAACATGCAGAGGACGACAGCATATGAGTTGCATCCATTGTGAACCTCGAACCGTTGAATGAGCCCGTGGAAACCATGACTGTGACCCCGTTTCTCGGCGTACGGAATGTCAGACACAGCCACACCGCGATGTCCTTGATCTGAGGGTCCTCCCTGGAAGTCTTGATAGTCAGTCGGTCGGGCGTTGCCTTGATTACCGTATCTTGGTCAACTAGCCATAACGCGTCAGCATCAGAACACAAAAACCAACTTGATAGGGAAGTACTTGCCAGACACATAACCCGGAGAGCTCAGAGCATTGATGAAGGTCTCCACTAGCTCGACCCCCCTGTCTGGGTGAGAGCCCTCAAGGTACTGCCGGCAGGTCATCAACTCGACCGAATTACCCTTTGCCACTAGAGTGATTGCATCGAGAACGGACTCTCTCCTGGCATCAGCATTTGCACTGGAAGGAGTTTCCCGGAGCAGTGATGGCAATTCCCAGTCAAACGTGATCACTTCTTGAAGCCGGCCGATCTCAGAAGCAGCTGGGCCCCACGCGCCCTCCTCGATAGAGACCCTAGAGCTACCACCCCGGCCTACTCCTATATCATCATCATCAGTCCATACAAATCTTTGAGATCCTATATTATTACGGACTGGATACCTAGCATAGGAAGGTACCGGTGATCCAGAAGTCCAGCATTTTCTTGCACGGCTGAAAGCTCGGCCCAAGGGGGTACCGGTTCATCACTCGATAGAGTCGTGGACGAGATGCTGCTGTTAGCCAGCCGCACAGCTCTCATGTAACCCCCTCCGTAGCTTCCTCCGTAGCTTCCTCCATAGCTTCCTCCGTAGCTTCCTCCGTAGCTTCCTCCGTAGCTTCCTCCGTAGCTTCCTCCGTAGTTTCCTCCGTAGTTTCCTCCGTAGTTTCCTCCGTAACCCCCAATCTCAGCTTGGCTATAACCTCCACGGCCGTGAAATACTTCGCCTCCGGGCCTTTCCTGGCGGCTCGAAGCGTGGTCGACTCGGATCACCCGGCCATCAAACCTGATGGAGAGAGAGATTTTGTCAGCAACAATAGAAATTCTATGAATCAAATGAAGACCAGATCTCATACTCCTCGTTGTTCATGGTCAGCCGTGCCACCGCGGCGTCTCTCTCGTGCGTAAAAAGGACGAATCCGCATCCCCGACTACGTCCCGTGTCGCGATCTTTCACCACAACCTACTTGAAGCAGCACATATCAGATTCTCTTGATGCATCAATCTAGCCGGTAGCGATGACAACTGACAGCGCTCTGCACCTCCCCATATATTTCAAACCTACGCCGTAGAGTTGCGTCATCTGTGTGCGAGGCGAGGCCACTGCTGCCGTTAGCAATGGGCGCGGAAGCAAAAAAGCGAACGATTTGCACTCACCTGATAAATAGCTTTGACATGGCGATTTGAAGGTCTTGATTGTTGTCGTCGCTGGGAAAGAATATTCGTGAATTGGAGAAACTGGGAGACGGAACTGGCAGCGTCACAGCCTTGGGCTCAGCCGTGCGCGCACCCCCCCATGCTTGATTGGCTTCCTTCCCTGGAGGACTAGCACAAATAATGCTGCCTCATTAATCCAACTAATAGTTCAATTATCAGATCATAAACATTTGTAAAAATTTCGAGCCCCTGATCATTGTTGCGACTCAAATAACGCGGCCATTTACCATGCACCCTACCTCTGGCTAGTGCAGCGGGAATTCAAATGCATTAATAAGTGTTTGATGGTGAAGCTGGCCTGCACACCTATTCAACTAGCGGACATGTTAGATTGAGAGTTCCTTGGTGAATAATCATACAAATGTACATGTATGTAATCATATATTGAACCTCTACCAGACCAAAATCCTCGAAAACTTCATCCATGTGGTATTGATAGTTCACAATACCTAGGTATATTTGTTGTTTGACATGCCATTTGACCGCCTTGATTCGGTTGAAGAATGTCTCTCTCTTCATGTCCATAACCAAGCAGAAGATCCCAAGGATATAGCCCTTAGTTGCTCGGCAACAATCTTACCCCAACCTCGTGAGGCCTGGGTCCGATCTGCTCGGAAGTTTATATATGTGCACTTCCAATACATGGATGGCACGTACACTACTTGATGGACGTACACCAGAGCCTATAATCGCTCAGCATGGTTTATAAGAAACACCTATGGGCACTATTGTGCACATCTCAGCTTCAATGACAACACTGACTCTGTTCGCAACAATATTTAGATATTCCTCCAAAGTCCAAGATAAAGATAGAAAGTAGAGAAGGAGGGATTCACGGGCTGATCTACATAAAAGTGAATTGATGCCCATCTGAATGTACTTCTTTTCTTATCTTGGCCGAATAAGGCGAGCCACCCCCTCATCATCGAGTGCGGGGTTAGAAACCATGACTTCATCTTCTGATAACTGGAACTCTCCATCTGCAAACCATCAATATTCAGTTACTGTTGTCGCATAGTAGCATCATACTTTCTCCTCTATATATCAAGTCAATCTGAAAAGCATCATGTCAGAGTTCCCTTCGCTGCAACCCGCCTTTACGGTCAAGGTCGGTAGAAGTACCCTCGCAGCCATGATCAGACACGCGGAATTACGAAATCACATTCCACATACTGACATTCGATCTATAGGTCAATATTGATGCGCCACTGCCTGTTGGTGAGTCTCATTTGATGTGCATCAATTATGTAAAGCCCATGGAGCTGATTGATTGGAAACAAAGGGAGTGCGTCTCGTACTGGCAGCCTCCAGGTCGTGGTAAGCGCACCTCACATCTATCTACTCCATGATGTAAACGCGCATGATCTCACCATATATCAAAATGCAAGCCCATGACCGGCGGCACCGTCAAGAGCGATCCGAGTTATAATCTTCCCATCGATTCCGAATTTGTCGGGGTGGGCAATGACTACATCCACGGGGATCCGGACGGTAAACACCTGCGCTTGAACGCCCATGGCGTTCTCAAGTAAGTGTGCCATCACAATACATCCCATTGTCATCTGTTATACTGACGTGGTGTCTTATCTTCTAGGACAAAGGATGATGCGGCATGTCTCTCTTTTCTAGGTGTCTTAGTATGGTCGCAGTCGCTGACCGTCCATTGCACAGCTGCTCTACTTGAACTATACCGGTGTCATCACACTCGGCCCCGCGGAGCTCGCGGTTTTTGGCGGTACCGCTGGGGATGGATCTACGCCTTTTGGGAACTCCTGTCAGTTTTCCTTTGGTTCTCCTAGTGTGAGGCTGTGGTTGCTAATACTCTAGTTTCCTTTCAGTCACGCACTTTACGTTCGAAGTAAGCCTACTTATTCTACCAGTCACCCGTCGACAGATCATAACTAACTGTCTTGATACAGACCGGAGACGAACGCTACAAAGAGCTGGAGAACCGCGTGTTCGTCGGCCAGGGACGATTCAACGTCGAAAAGGGAAAGCCTATTGTTGTTGAGTATAGGGTTGGACAGGTTGTACATGGCTAGCAGTTTGCTATATTCACTCTCCAGCCTCATATGGTGTCCATGTCAATATCACACATCCCAATGGTGTTAAGACATACCATTACCATCCACATAGGAAACACAGATATAATCCACAGCTAGGTCCTACCCACCCGCACCCAGCAAACTACATACATACATACGTACTACCCCCCGGCAAGCAACGGCCTCCTCTCACCATCATCACGACCCTCCCCCCAATACCGACTCCTCCCCTCCAAATCACCTTCCTCACCCACACTCCTATCCCCAATCCCATCCGAAGCCCCATAAAACGAGCCCCCCAGCTTCCCCCATTCCCAACAACCACTCGACCTCTTCTTCCACAGCCGCACGGCAAGAACCCCCGCCCCAATGGCAGAAACCGTCCCCAGGACAGACACAACAACGCTCAGGAACGTCACCGTGCTCACGTGGCATCCAAAGGGCGGCGCGCGCAGCTCCCACCGCTCTTTTTGACCGAGCGGGCAGATACCTGTGTTGAGGACGGGGGCGAGGATGGGGAAGTGGGAGGGGTTGGGGACGCAGGTTGATGTCTGTTTTTGGTGTTGTTAGCTCATGTTAATTGAGTAGTGTAGTACATGTGCAAGTGTGTATTTGGGGCTGGGGATGGAGCGGGATGGTTCGAGTAAAAATCAAATAATTAGATGGACGGATAAAAGAGAAAAGAGACTTACAACCGCGCACCAACTGCAAGGTACATCCCCCTCCAGACACCATCCACACGACTGACGTCGCCAGCAGATCCGGAAGAGCGGATCGTCGATATCCGACGCGAAAGATGTATTTCGGTCCATGGTAGTCTGAGAACCTCTCGCTACAACGCCGACCTAGGTTTAAATAGCGTTGCGGGTGCTCCCGGGGGGTCGATATTTCGGCTTGATTAATCTTTGAATAATTTAATGTACTATTTCGAAGTTGCTGAAGCTCGACAGATGCGAAGAGTGTCGTGATGATACTTGCTGGTGGCTGTGCGGGGTCCGGCGGTTCGTGCTCTGGGTTTTAAATTGTATACTACCTACCTGGGCTATTCATTTTGTTGTGGGTTCCGTGTACCACCTAGAGGATTCTCCCTTCCAGTTGTATATTGTTGTATGGGCTTTTCGGATTATAGTTCTATGATATACCAATCTGCACTCCAGGTTCATAATATGAGATGGCTCGATTAATCCATTCGTGACTGTGTACATGACATATAATTAAAGCCTCTCCATTTACACCCTAGAGCCCCAATGATTCCTCAATGCTAGAACGAAATCCCATTGCAAGCCAAACAGGAGAAAGCCCGCTTTATAAGACCGGCGAGTGAACATACATCAGACAACGCGCTTGACCTGCATCATAATAGCGTTAGCGAGCAGTCCGAATCGACTACAGAGTTCACTGGAAGGATTTACCTCGAAAAATCGCTTCAGCCACCACACCTGGAAGACTCCTTCGCCAATGACCACAGCCAGCTGGAACATACTCCACCACTTCACCCGGGCGTTGGTGCTCTCCGCAGTGTTCCGGTGGACTCGTTCCCTCATCACGATATAAGACTGCTCGTCCTTGACCTGGGCCAAGGCTTCGGAAAGCCGGCGGACTAGGGATGACACTGTTAGCTTGATCCAGATCCTCGGAGCAGAACCCCCATCCGTATAAAGATAGTCCTCACCTTCTGTCTCCAGCGGATCCTGTGCGAGTTCCGATTCGGGGACGTAGACGATGCCGTGGACGTTGAAGGAAACCTCCTTTGAGTTGGAGGCCCAGCCCTCGTTGCTGAAGCAGTAGGTGAATTGGCCGTCGGAGTGGGCGTTGAACGAGTAGTCTTCGGAGGAGATAGCTTGCTTGAAGTACTGGCGATTGCCGCGGGGGTCCTCGACCTATAGACAAAAACAGGACGTCAGTATTCCGTTTGAACCGACAAAATGTAGCCCCTTCTCTTCTATGCACCGAAGCTCTTTCCCTGCGTGAGTATCCAAAATAACGACACCTCGCCCCCCTCACCCGGAACCAGCACCAAAACAACACAAGGAGCCCTTACCCAGAAGTCCACGTCGAGGTTCCCACTCCCTCCAAACTCCCGATCACCGACCTGGAAGGTCACCGTCATCCGATCATCCTTGTGCAGCGACTCGTGGAAGCATTCTCTGGAGTGAGCTTTGAGCTGGATAGTGTGTGCGGTCGCGGCCGTGATCCACCCGAGCGCGGTGATCAGGATCGTTGTTGCGGAGAATCGCATGGCGGTGGTGTATTTGTCGTTCCGACAATCTTACTCTCGATCAAAAACGGTACCGGATCCCTTTTAGTTGAGGGGACGATTAGTGGTGGAGGTTGAGGCCTGATGGTTGATCGTCGACCCGACGCGCAAGGTGGTCTCTCTTCCATCTACGGAGGAATTTCGAGACGCACGGACCAGCTAAACAAGGTGTCTGTCCCTCAGGAACATTGGACAAACCATCAAGCTGTCTAGGTAACTTCATGGAATTTTCAGTCCTTTTTAGTTGGAAGAATAATTATGTTGGATTGATAGCTCTTTTTGTTTTAATTTCAAGCAATTTTTGAGATTATTCCTTACCACAATAGCTGATTATGAGTATACATCCCTTAAAACCTTGAGCAAGCTTCGGTAATGTATCAATGGTTTTTCACTTTCCAATTGCTTCGTCTTTTATTTGTCTTATCAGTACCTTTTAGTTGGTGCGATCTTTAGCTTGATTGGACATAATATTCGTTTACTGTTGTCCACGCCATCTGGTTGATCATTGGAACCAGGTGTATACATACGTGTTGGCAGCAAGTGTAGACGTTGGTGACATATCAACACCGCCCATTTCTCAGTGAAACCAAGTCATCCAATGTTATTATAAGAAGGGTACAGGAAAAAAGCAAAAAGGAAAACAAAAAAGGAAAAAAAGAAACCAAGGCCCTACAGCCGTTTGGTATCAGATGTCGTATTTACCATACCCATCTAAGTAGTATAGGTCCATACTTACCTACTTGGTTGTTGAGGAAGTACCGTCCTCAGTACGCCTGCCCTAGGTAGCACTTGATACTTTGGGAAGGGGTGTATAGATTAGGCAATAGGTTCAGGATCCATAGCTACTTCCTATTTTATCTCGCCCGGAAAGATTTACAAATCGTCAGCCCCACCAATAATACGAATTGAGATATCAGTCAATGGCACCTCCTGTGATGTTGCGGCTTCTTTCCAAACAACATGCCGGTTTTCATGATTGACGGGAAAAGCTATCGAGTTCCATTACTGTCATCCTGGAGGAAGCCCAGGATTATTTTCGGAGAACCACCAACGGCGGTCGAAACTAAACCTTCCCGATGGACTCCAGCAGAAGAGGCACTTTTGAAGGAACTCAAGGCGTGTCATACACCATGGCAATCTATATCCATCGCCATGGGACACAAACCAGTCGCCGAACTCAAAAGACGCTGGGACGATCTGGGCCGCTACGAGAACAACCAAAACCGATCTCTGAACGGGAGATCCCACAGAAGGAAATTCTACGAGAATCCTCCGAGCACGGGAATGTCGGGAGATGAGGAGGCTCCGCGTAATGTGTCCTTCTCGGATCCGTTGATCACCGGGGGCGATGTGGGTACAACCGTCGAAAGGCCTTGGGTTCTTGTTCCATTTTGTGAGAAGTCAAATGATTGACGGCTTGTTGCAGATGGATTATGTCGGTAGCCGCTCGTTTTTAGAGACTAAAAGAGCCCTCTATATCGATCGCGAGATCTCGTGGCAAGAGGCGGTTCTGCTGCATCAGATCGCGGCCGGATGGGAGAGAGAACGGTGGGTGGCAATCAGTAGCCGGTTCAATGATAGGACCAGACGAACCATTACCCCGGAACAGGCGAAAGCAATTCTTGATCACTAAGCATATATTTCGAGAATGCGTTGACGCATCGAAGAACTTTGGAAGTAACAAGGGCATGGGAAGAGAAGAGCCGACACGTGTGTCATGATCTCGGGTTCGTCCGGATGGAATGCTGGAGAGGGCTCAATTCGATTCTACTCGGAAAATGCTCGATATGAAGGATCCATCGGCGAGAAGGATGATGTTGTTTGTGCTTGTTGCGCTGTTTCTTTGATCGTTCGCCTCTGGATGAATCCAGAGATTAGATGTCCAAGGTTCTTGAGGAATGTACTCGCGTCCATCGGCCGAGTGACATCATGGTCCTTGTACGCAGAACCAGTACCTTACCTAAGGCCATGAACCTTATAATCAAACAGCCAAGAATAGAAAGTTCATTTCCCACGTTTTGGCTTTCCGAAGGTTTGTGATATCAGTGATAAGGGTGCATAAATCCGCAGGGGCCACTAGGGAGATCAATAGCTGTACGGATATTATAGTTTATAAATAACTGTGGATGTCTAAACATTCAGGCAACAGGAAGTACGGCACATCAGGAGTTGAGACACAAATTTCGAGAATAAATAGAGAAGTCACTAAACCGTTCTAGCGTTGCAGAAGGAAGGGGGTTGGGAGTCTGGACCTTTGGCTGGCCAACTTGGGCCCTGTAGTGACAACACCAGTGTTGCCCATACTCTGAATGGGAGCAATAAATTTAGTAGTCAGGTACCATAGTGGATGGTCTCACTCCGAGACTCCCCCAGAAATAACAGAATTAGAACAAAACTTATAGGGATCGCCAACGCATTTTGGCATCATCCAGTTAGCCCGTCAACCAGGGGTCGCCGGGTGGAGCCATCGAGGGTCTGGAATTATTGAATACCTTTGTGGATTGGATGAAACGGACGGTTGTGCCCCTCCGACGTGCCTGTTCTCATCATTGGCCCTCATGTCTCGTGCGCCCCGATCGGATCCATGCAAATTGGGCCTTGTCTCTTTTGGCTCGTCGTGCTCAGGAGGCGAACTTTGGGTTCTATCGCCGCTGCTGTCGTGTTGTGTTCCAACTTCTTTCCTTCCATTTCTCCACACTCTTTTTACCTGGCCCTGACGTACGGTTCCCGATTTTCTTTATTTAACCTCAAGTCGCTCTTTGCCAGTCACGCCGACTCCCTTACCTCTCTTATTCTGTCCTTTTGAAACATCCCTTTCTTTCAATACCCTCGCTCAAATCCGATTGACGAGGAACCTTGTCTTTTCGCTCTCGCTATTCCCCCATCTCTGCTTCTGCAGTTTTGATTCTTTCTCTCCAAGAGATCCCTCCATAATGCGTCTCACCGGATTGCTTCCTTTCCTGATGGCGGCCGCCCCCGCGGTTGCTAAGCGCGGTACCCTTGGTTTCGCTCTGGGCAACCAGAACGGCCCCGAGAGCACCGACTGCAAGTCTACCGAGGACTACAAGAAGGACTTTGATGCGCTGAAGCCTTACTCCACGCTTGTGCGCACCTACTCCGCCAGCAACTGCGATACCGCGGAGAACATCATCCCGGCTGCCAAGGCCAAGGGTTTCAAGGTCGTGCTGGGTGTTTGGTAGGAACTCATTACCTGGGATCACGCGCATTTGTGCCATTGCTGACATTTGATTTTACTTAGGCCCGATACTAAGGAGTCCTTCGAGGAGGATTTCGAAGCCCTTAAGTCTAGCGTTAAGGGCAACGAGGATGTCGTCCAGGCCATCACCGTCGGCTCGGAGGCCCTCTACCGTGATACCATGAAGGCGGATGCTCTCCTGAAGCGCATCCAGCAGGTGCAGGATGAGTTCCCCAAGGTGACTGTCGGTATGGTCGACAGCTGGAACAAGTTTGCCGATGGCACTGCCGACGCCATCCTCCAGAGCGGCATCAAGTACATGTGAGAATAACCTGCAATCTCGTGTGTCTGCACACGGTTCAACTAATTATTACGTTAGTCTTGCCAACGGCTTCGCTTACTGGCAGGGCCAGGCCATTGACAATGCCACCAACACCTACTTCGACGATATGTCGCAGGCCAAGGCTCACATTGAGGAGGCTGCTGGCCCCAACGGCAAGAACATCCGCTTCGGCAACGGCGAGACTGGCTGGCCTACTAGTGAGTAACCCTGGTTTCCATTTCATTTGACGACGCATGCGCTGACGGGTTTGTAGACGGCGGCTCTGATTACGATGATGCCAAGGCTGGCACCAAGAACGCCGAGATCTACTGGAAGAAGGCTGTCTGCGGCATGCTTGCCTGGGGCGCTGATGTTTTCTTCTTCGAGGCCTTTGACGAGGCCTGGAAGCCCAAGACCAAGGGTGACAACGGTGAGATGCAGGACGAATCCCACTGGGGTGCGTTCACCGTCGACCGCAAGGCCAAGTTCGACCTGTCTTGCCCTGACAACTAAGCAGAGGACATGAAGATTTGTGATCTTGTGTTTTTGGGTTCCGTTGGATGGTCTACTTGGACTGGGCCTCGGGTCTTTTTTCTATGATTCTTCTGTATCATATACCACATATATCAGAATTGACAAGCGATAAAGCGACTTTTTGAGACCATCGCATCACGTGGACTACTTCGGTAGAGTAGGCAAGATTGATCCACTGCTGATCCAGACGCGATCCGGCCTAATATGGAAAGGATAAATCGTTACTATTCACTGACTGTAGCCACTATAAGATTGATCAGTTGATACCATTAGTCAAATTGGGTCGTATTATCCATCGTGTAATCTATTCTGAATGGTGGTATGGCTGTATGTATGGATGTATGGTAAACATGTGGAAATAGCCGACTGCAGAACCGTGGTTCATAGCGTAGTTTTTACCCCTGAGTGGCCGACACGAACCAGAGTCTGTTGTTTGTTTATGGGGTTGGATCCTGGTCATTCAGGGGTTTATCTATATCTATTCCTCCTTCTCCTTCCTTTGCTATCGTATCTCCGAGAGAATCCTATAATAAGACAGATAGAATAATCAGCCAACAATCACTGTATGATTGTAAGCCAGACGAGGCTCGCAGGTAAATGTACACAGGTTGGTACGTGTACCGACAGCGTATATGCCGAGTCAAAACTGGAGCCCACCCACCACTAGACAAGAGACCACTAGACAAGAGACAGAGGCAGATGGCGGTCAACAGGTGGAACAGCCGGCCGATCCTCTGAATTTCGAGTTGGCGTCAGGAAACCATTCCCACTGCAGTATATTTGACCGTCTTCCCAGGCCTGGAGAAGGGACTATTTCCGAGGTCCATTGGCCAAAGTAGGTAAACCTTTGATTTGATTCTTACCTTAGTGGTATATTGGCTGTAAATTACCTGCCCTTTTTCCCTTTCCCAACGGCCGTCCGCAAGTTCCCTCCCCTCCACCTATGATAGTCTGCATAAACGGAGTCCTTCTTGGCCGATCGTGACATAGACCAGAGACCATTTCAACTGATTTGATTATCATTCAGAACAAAATAATACAAGACTCGGGTAACTGACTAAC